CCTTATAATTATAAGCTACTTTACTTACTTTAGCTTACTTAGCTTTTTAAAGCTTTTTAAGCTTAGCTTATTATTATTATTATATCTTATTATCTTAAACTTATTTAACGCTTATTAGTAACTACTAAATAGCTCTACTATAATACTTAGGATAATCTTTAAGCTATAAAGTATAAGATTTAGTTTCTTACTTTTTCTTAATAGCTAGAAACTACTTAAGGCCTTAGAGTTTACTATAAAGGAGTATATTTTAAGCTATAAAGTAGTATAAACTTTATTAAAGCTTTTTAACTTCTTTACTACTTTAATCTCTTACTTTCTAACGTATAATTAACTTTAGCTTAAGCTAATTCTTAGTAAAGAGTATAGAGCTTAAACTAGCTTCTAAATCTAACTTTTCCTTAGTAAACTTATTAAGTATAACTACTAGATTAGGTAAGTATATACTAGTTACTTTAAAAGACCTTTTAATAAAGAAAGGTTTAAAAACCTTAACTTAGGACCTCTAGAAAAGTAAGAAGAAGTCTCTTTTAGTTATATTAAGTAATCTTTAGTAGTTTTAAAAGTATTAAGTTAGCTCTTTTAAGTAAGCGTTTACTAAAGGTTTAAATATTACTTTATTAAGTAGTTAAAGCGTATAGGTAGTATAAAGTAGATATATAGCTAATAAGATCTTATAATTATAATAATAATTAATAAAGTCTATTATAATATAAGATCTATAGCTGTTAAGGAGTAGTAATTAATACTTAGTTAAAGTATACTACTAAGTTTCTCTTTTAAACACCTCCTTAAGCTAATATAATCTAATATTATTATTACTTTAGCTAGAGGGCAATAACGTAGTAAAGACTAAGTAGTTTTCTACTTATATAGTATTAACTTAGCTAGTTTATATAGCTTTATTAGCTACTTTAAAGATAAGAAAAAGACTTAAAACGCTCCTATCTAAATAAATATAAGCTATAATAGTAATCTACTTACTTAAGCTATCTTTAAGTAGTTAGCGTACCCTCTTTTTTATATAACGTGCTTTAGAGAAAATACGCTTTATTCTACTAATCTTTCTAAGTTAAAACTTCTTTTTATCTATATTAAATATATAAGATAGCTAGACGTTATACTTCTCTATCTTTTTAATTAAAAGCTTAAAGTATAAGCTATACTTAGCTTCTAAATTAGCGTTATAATAAAGTTTACTTAACCTCTTACTATACGCTAAGATAAGAGAGTTAAGATAACGCTAAAGAAACTAGGTAACTTAAGTTTCTAAAACTTCTTTTCTAGCTAAGTCTATAGTAAAGCGTTATATTATCTTCTTTAAAGGTAGTAAACGTTATTTAGTAAGCGTATTAACGTATTATAGAAGCTCTTTTTCGTATTATAGATAGAGAGAGAGGTAGCGTACGCTATAGGCCTTAGTTTCGCCGCAGTATTATCTTATTAACGTTATCTATACTATACTATACTTTTTTATAATTACTTAGTATAAAAAATTATCTCTTAGTTCTTATAATTTAATTTCTATAATTACTTTTTAAATTAGATCTATATTAGTTAAGTTATAACGCGTTAAAGTTTTGTTATTAAGCTAGTAAGGGTGCTCAACTGGCGTTGGTGCTCAACTGACGCACGGGCACTGTAGAGCCCCCCGCATCGCGCATCCCTGCCCCACCGAACATGTGCATCTGCATGCACGCTCGCTGCAAGCCAACACACGCATGCATCGAGTCTGATACATACTCCAGATCTCACTCTTTACTTTCTACCGGCTCTCGGGTGCTTGCCGATTGCGTCACCTCCGATCGATTTCATCCCCGCCTTCGCCTCTAGCCTTCCGAACACGCTTCCGTAGCATCTGGATCCAAGCGGAAACGAACAAAATTGTCGCGCCGCATACTGGCCGACGCGTTGCCGTAACTCAGTAACACAGTGGAGCTTCCTATGGGAGTGAGAGACACACTATGGATATCGACGATCTTCTCGCAGAGGTCGCAGTAGGGTCGACGCCAAGGGAGGTGCTCGATTTGCAGGAATTGACGAGGTGTTGGGTTGCAGAGAGAGTCGCACCAGAGATCTTGCCATGGCCCGAGGAACTTATGGGAAGGGTGCTCGAGCGAATTCAGAGACAGGTGAGCGCATAGAAGCTTCCGCGAGCGCAACACAAGATAGCTAATGACGCAGCCAGATTGAACTGGTCGAAGACCAAACGGGCAACATGGACCCCAAGACAAATTTCAAACTCATCATCATACAAACAGAGCTCGAGCGATTCAAGTTCTTGGTTCGCAGTTTCCTGAGGGCGAGAATAAAAAAGGTAGGGACAATACTTACTCTACGAATCCTTACAACGGCATACTGACACACATTCGTAGATCGATTCACACCCTCTACACATCCAATCGCTGCACACGGCTTCCCTCGAGATGCCCTTCCCCCTTCTCTCTCCATCCGAGTACCAATACCTGACGTCCCATCAAGCGCTCCTCTCCTCTCACTACACATCCTCGTTCCTCTCACAATTTCCGGCATCGCTACAACGACTCGATGATACGACAGGTGGCATTAGCATGATCGATAAGCCTGATGAAGACAAAGCGGTGTTTGTGAGGGCGTTGCGCGATGTTGGGGAGATTTTCGTCGAGGGGACAGATCGCAGGTTTGAGATGAAGAGAGGTGATGTTTGGGTTGTCAGATGGAGCGCAGTAAGGGCTTGGTGTGTAGGCTGTGGGACAGGCGACGTGGAACTGATATAAGGTGGCTGTATGCGGGTACCAATCTGAGGAAGAGCTAGAGACCGTGGACGCGAGCGACATGGCTCAAGATAGGCCATCCTCGGTTACACAAGAAAAGTACTGTGTTTAGGTCGTCGCGAAGCCACTCTGAGTGCGAACAAACGCCGGAGCGCCCAGTGTCTTCAAGAGCGACACAACGACTTGCCGTGGAAGAGTTGATAACGGTCAGAAACTTGGAACATGTTTTGAGGGAACAACTGCGTGTGCACAAGCTGCATTGTCGATACTCCTTCAATTTAGCAGCATAGAACCATCAGCCAAGCAGATCTATGAGAGTCCAGTCTTTTACATGTTTCCAGATCGTGTTGATGATGACGTCTATGGCCATCCAAACTTCAAGTCATCGTTCAATTTCTCCTATGCGATAGTGAGAGTTCAACTTATGCGCAACATCACGCAGGAAATTCCCGTCATGTCGAACAGCTCAATCTTTCATCAAATATCCAAGAGAAATACCACACTTCAAAGGAGGTATTTGGTTCTGGAGATCTTGCCTTTTGGGGATGCGATCTAGCAGAGGAAAGAAACGGTTAATACAGAAACTCATATGGTAAACTCAGTCAGACATGTTGGTTTGAGCCTATCGAGAAGTGTCGCATCAGAATCTCCCAGGTGTAATTTCACGAATGCAAGAAACTTCGTTTACTAACAGGACGAGCTGTGTTTGACGCAAGCGCGACATCCTCAATCATTAAGACCTTATGGTAGCTTCTTCGTACGAAGGCGGCAGATCCATTGACGTGCCGTAAGCACCCACCCTTTGGATAGCACCGTGCCGATTCTCATCTTGCGTACTCATATCGTCTTGTGAACGCATACTAATCGGTACCAGCTCTCCGTTCAGAAACGACTTCTTATCGTCCCCGCTCTCAAGCCTTCGACCAGGACGTATCCCAGAAGACACGTGTACCGGTGACCTCAATTGAGCCAATAGTACCCGACCAGCCTGATCCTAAACATAATTAGTATACACTTGACTAACCAACACTCCCCAACAATCCTCCTGATCACATGTCGAACATACCTTTGTATCCCGACATTGAAACCCCATGGAGATATCCAATTCATATCTTCTCGCCAACCCACACGAGTGAAAACTTGGGACAATGGTATCTGGCAGTGCTTCACCTTCCCATAGACTCCTATCAATGTGTTTTTCGGTACCGACGCTTTCAGAATAATGGAGTATAGGCAAACCGAGGTTGCTCATGCTTTGGATCGTCCAGCAAGAGATCTGCGTATTCGTAAGAGACGGACCCTTGGCTTTGACATCCGTATACCCAACCAACAGCATCTGAAAAGACTGCAGGTAGAGGCTGCATGCAAACTCATTGAGTTTCGAAATGCTGAGTTGTATCATCATGTGGCGGTTGCGGAGGATTGAGTAACCCGGCAGAAAATGAGCTGATATTGATATCTGAGCTGAAGGGATGGCCGCGGAGAGGTGATGCATGGATTCCGTCGGAGAGATGAGTAGTGCTGGAAGGTGAGCGTATGGACCCATGATGGTTGCTTGCACTGTTTTTACGCATGAAAATGTGCTATTTTCCCTGGACAAGGAGCCGAGATACTGATTACGTGTTTCCATAGGCCATACTGTGATGTTCAAGTTCTATGTATTGTCAGCAACAGCACACGCAAGTCGGAGGCAGCGCTTTTTCAAGGTAATGATCTAGCTTACCGTTTTTATCGTCGATTTGAAAATGCTGCATATGCTGGTTACTGCTACATCGATACGATATGAGATCGCTGCACCACCAACAACATCGTGCATTGATGGTGGGAGCATATCGTGCGAAGAGAATGGCGACTGGACTGCATATTTCTCATTGCATACCGGCGATACAGCCGGGGAGTTTGGAGGGCATGAGCTACACTCCACTGCATCAGGTATCTACATATACACTTAGTAACGAGTGCTTGGATATAACTTATGCGTGTAACCACTAAGCAACTTACCCGTAACGCAAACCGAAAGCTGTGATATCCGAAGCCCAGTCTTACTGACTTTTCAGCACCTAAAACCCTCTGATCATGGCGGGAAGGAAATATCATCTGGAGATCGTGTGCGAACTAGATACATTAGTCTGTCAGCTGTCTCAATCGAGAAGCAAATCCCATGCCATGGTCACCTACGCGGTGCTTGTCTTGTTGCTCTCGGTCCATCAAAAAGCCGCTTGTGTCGGTATAAGATAGTACACTCTCACCAACTAATGTCGCTGCGATTTTTGAAACCTTGGTGATGCTTGTAGGGCAGTAAATGACGATATTGCCAGTGATTGGGTCGCCATTGCTGAAGATGGCCTTTGGGTGATCTAGTTGAATCGAAGTGTCCATGTCTGTGTGAAGGAAGGGCTCGAAACAGACGACGCTAGCACTGGCAGTGTTGTATAGAAATGATAATAGAAGTATCTGATATCATCAAACAGAACTTGTAAGCGGTTTTCTGTGTGTGAATGCAGGATGGGCAAGATCGACGATATTATGCCTCTGAAATCCTCCTCCAGTTTTATCTACAGTAAAAACACTTTGTCTCCCGGTGTTCATCCAGCAGCGAGTGTAAGATGCTGGTGTCCGGATCCGGCTATTTTTAGTCGGCACGCCAAGATTTTCGTTACCGTCACCAGCCCCTCGATACGATGATGCGTTTTATAGCAGGATGATAGGCTGGGATCAGGCCAGTAAGTATGAAATTGGCGATTCTGAGCTGTGTCGTTCTGACGTTGCGCATGGATAGGATACAGATGTCAGGAGTCGCTATGGCACCTTGCCAAGAGATAATTTGGCCATAGAGGCTCCCAATGGGTACATGCTGGAATTTTTGCTCCTTGTCCATAGTCGTCAATCGATGAATCATTAGAGTGGAGCTGTACCATGCGCAGACACTTTGATCGAACCAACGAGGTGAAATATACAACGTCCGTGTCTGTCATTAAATCATTGATTGCCATCAAAGAATGAGAAGTCGGCGTCTAGCCATCCCATGGTAGGTTGGGTATCGAACAATTCCCAGCTTGGGTCAAGTAAGCCTAAACCATTATCGATCGGGAATTCCATCGCCACATGGTCAGCGGACTGAACCAGACGTGTGTATTCAGCGTTGATCCCACTCGTATTCGTAGGCAACTGCAGTTGTCCCCCAGCCAACTGGACAGGAGTCTGCGGTGCAGACGTAACTGCTCGGTCCTGGCCGGTGGTCTGCTGGGGGTGCATGCATTGCGCTGCGTATGGTGACGTCTCCTTGGTTCCGGTGACAAGACCTTCGCAAAGCCCAAGGAATGACTTGAAGAGTGTCTGTAATTTGGCAATCGGAGGGCTCAGATCCGCAAGTCCGTCGAGCTGTGACGTAACGGTGGTAAGCAACTCAAAATCTGACTCGTTGGACGAGGCTACAATGTTACAGAACAGGACGAAGAAAGGCGTCAATGGGTGGTAGAGTACGGTCCTTTACCAGTTAGTTGAAATCCAGGAAATAGTGGTAGATGCTCACCAATGCATATACGATATATGTGCTCGAACATCAGTGATGGTCATAGACTCTTTCTGAATGACCTTGAGAGTAGTCATAGCCATACGCGCGGACTGAAGACAATCGATATCAATATGCGGTTTTGCGGGCTGACAGATCTGTCTTGAGCGTAGAATAGAAGTCCGGAGTGAATGATATGAGAATTGAACGGTACTCAGCTCACTCGCAACGTGTAGGCCACACCACGACTCCGACTCAGCATGCAACTAGACACATCAGTCTCATTTCCTGGAATTTGAAGCTGCATTGACTCACACTTGTTATTCTGCTGTATACCTGCTCCAGTCTCTCAAGCAAATCCTTGACCACAATTTGGACCCTCGATAGAAGCGACTTTTTGTTCGAAATCCGATCTGAATGAAGCTCCGACATGTAAATCGCCTGGATAGGGACGAAGTGCAAGTAGGTGGATAGCAGAGATGACATGTCTTTGTTGAAGGGTGACGACAATGCCGCATCCAAGCCATCATACTCAAGCAGAAAGCGGCTCTTTCCCTGCATCATGGAGTAGTTCTTGTCAAGGATATGACACCATGTATAACAGTAGTAGATCTCCATTTCATCTTCTGTCTCGGTTCTGCAGGCTTTCACCCGGGCTTCAAGGCATAGATCTTCGCACATTCTACAAGCAGCTGTGATGAACGTCCAACAATTTGTCAACTCTCCAGCGCCTTGCGCGATGAACGCCTGTAGTCTTTTAGCTAATTTTGCTATAACCGGCGAGAGGCTCTTACACTGCACAGAAGTGACTGTAAAAGAACAAGCGAAGGAGCAGATAGCAGGTGGATACGCATCATGGCCAGCTTGATACTTTTGAGATATTTCGAAGCACTTTCAAGCATACCCGCTCCAACATCTCCCATACTATCCTCTCCTAGCACAGTATTGATGAACTTGAAGGCAGCGGAGTTCACGCAGATTGAATAGAGTAGCAAGGTCTCAGGATCCACGGTCTTGTAAATTAATGCGTGTCCCATGTTCTTGAGAGATTTTGGCGAGACATGCTTGAAGTAATCTAGCACGTGGGGTCCAAGGTTGCGTCCTTTCAAGTCTTACATCAGCGGTCAGCTGTGAGAATTTGTGAGTGCTACTATGAAACCTACCACGGACCATCCAATAGAGAACCTCGATGGTAGGGTACGATATGTCTTCCAGTACGTCAAGAACTCGCGAAGTAGGTGAGTTAGTGCGGTCACATGGCTTGTTGACTTGAGATAGATGGTTCACAAAGGACATCGCCTCTTTCAAAACAGCTAACCTATCCGCAGGCATGTGATTCCCGGTCTTGATCTCCCGGCGAATAAAGTCCTGAGCTTCCAGTATTGGCAGTGATGGAGGCATACTGGGAGAGTGTGAGGATGCGGGTGATGTTTGGAGCTCGTGACGTCGACTTTGCTTGTGTGCCGGCATGACTTCAGCGCCTCTTCGTCGTTTGGTTGTGCCGCGGGCTGAAGCTGTACGTTTGCATTGTATATTGCCGTCGACACAATTGCCACAGGGATCATTACGATCGCATTTGACCTTCAACAGATGTCAATGAGAAGTCACTCCATGAAAGCAGAATAAGAAGACAGACCTTTCGCATCTTGCATGTATCGCACTAGTCTTAGTTAGGTAACCGTTGTTGCTCAGCGTGCGATACTAACCACGGGGTTCATCTCCATGATGACCTAGTCAAAGTAAATCGAAGTGATTGAGTTGGGCTGTTGGGAAAAGTCAAGGGTGAAGAAGAAATCTAGGGTATCCTATGGTGAAGCAAAACGAGGGTATCAGAAAGTTTCGTGAGGTTTCCTAGCAAATGAGAAGAACGACAAAACATCGACAGCTCAGACGCATATAGGGCCGAGGAAGTTTGAGATCTGGGCAAGCACGCGAGTAATAGTTCAAAACGGTCGTAAAGCATGGGCGCCGGCCGAGCCACCTGCCGTAAGATCGAGCCGCACAGGTCCCTTTGCGGTGGCAGTGAACTTCGCAAACACATATTCGACGACTGAAACGTCGATTTCGTATCGAACGCTTGTCATTCGCTGCTCTTCGTTCTTTGGCGTCTCTACGAACAACAGTGCGTTGTGGGCGGTGCATACCTGGATAGGGGTGGGTGCGGAAGCGAGGAAGGTCCGCGGACTCCGAAACGTCCGATCTTTCTTAATGTACTTTCCTCTCTTTCCTCTCACGATCCATGAAGATAGACATGCTTCGATGTCGTTACCTTCATCAGTTCAAGATCCGCGTATTTCGTTTCAACATGGTCGTCCAGAAAGCACATCGTCAGTAACAGCAATATTCATTGCGCGATATAACGCTTCTACACCACCACATTCTACCAACCCTTCTATATTCAAACAACGGTACTATATCCCCCACCATACCCTCTCCTCCCTTTCCATCTGACGTACCACTTTCTCCCTTCATCTGCCCAAAATACACAACTTGCCACTGCGACAAGATGCGCGAGATCGCCCAAGCCGAGCGCCTCAGTTTGGAAAACGCTTTGCAGCGGCGGAAAGTAGATGACTGCTAACTGGCCAATCAAGCTGCCCGACACGGCATAGTTAAACATCTTGTTGTCGAATACGCCAATCTCGCCTGCGAGGACGGACTTGCTGGAGGAGCGGCAAGTTAGTGCGTTGAACATATCGAAGAGAACAAAGCAGGTAAACGTCATGGTGGTGTCGCGCGCGGTGACAATGTTATCGGTGGACATCTCGAGGTAATAGGTTGTAAGTGTGCCAAGCATGATGATGGTGGCGGATTGGAGGACGCGCTGAATGAGTGGGCGGGTCAGGACGCGTGCCTGGCGTGGGCGTGGGGGCAGGGCCATGACGGCTGGGTCAACAGGTTCTACACCGAGAGATTGCGCGGGTGGGCCGTCCATGAGGATGTCTTAGGTTGATAGTCAGTAGATATAAAAGGGATAGGTACAGGTGGAACTCACTGATCCAGAGAATCTGCATGGCATTTAGCGGATTCTCGAAGCCAAGGAATGTGCTCAGGAGTACTAAGCTCAGTGCCGCCGCGCTGGTGCTGAGCTGGAAGGTAAGGAAGTTTTGGATGTTATAGAAGATGCCTTTGCCCTCTTCTATCGCGTTCAGAATGGTCGCAAAGTTGTCATCTGTCAGAATCATATCTGCGGCCTCTTTCGCAACATCCGTACCCAATCTACCCATGGAGATTCCAATGTCTGCTTTCTTGAGCGCGGGCGCATCGTTGACACCGTCGCCAGTCATTGCCACAACGTCGCCTCGTGATTGCAGCGCTCGGACAATCTTCATCTTGTGCTCAGGACTAGTTCGCGCAAAGATCGAGGTTGTCGCAATGGCTTGTGCAAGTTCTTCCTCGCTCATCTGATCCAATTCGTCGCCACGGATAACCGAGCGCCCGAGTGCTGAATTCGGCATAATGGGCATACCCAGACTCTTGCCGATGGCGACTGCTGTGGTCTCTGCATCGCCAGTGATCATGATGACCTTGACTTTGCCGGCGATGAGTCTTCGAATAGCTCTCTCAACGCCCTTTCGTGGCGGATCGTTCATGCCAACCAATCCAGCGAACACGAGACCGCGGTAGTGCTCATCGTCGCCAAGGGCCGAGTTTGTAGACGGTGCTGGTGAAGCGGTGCCACTGGCGTTCCTCTTCTTTCCTCTGGACGCACCACTTGCGAAGCCGAGCACACGCAAACCCTCTTGTGCCATTTGGTCAGCGGCCTTCATCGCTTCCTGCCTGCGTGCTTGGTCGAGTGCCACCTCTTTTCCTTGTGCCGTTACGTACATGTCACAACGGTCCAGAACTCGCTCGAGTGCACCTTTGATATAGGCATAGTCAGACCCAGGGGTGAGATTGCCAGAACTACCGCCAACGACGACACCCATCCACTTCCTTTCCGAACTGAATGGTGTCTCGAACTTGCGATCACCGAGCATTTCCCGGATATCGTCTTCTCCAAAAGCATCCATGAGGTCAAGAAGAGCAACATCGGTAGGTTGGCCAACCCATCGGCTCTTCGCTGCGGTATTGTCATCGCCTCCAAGAGTTGAGGATAGTACCGCAGCAGTTGATGCTGAGGCTGCCTGGTCGCTCAATAAGCGAGCATTATTGACAATATTGCCGATCCGAAGTATGTTGCGCGTAGGTGAGTCGAGGTCCGTAGAATCGTGCTTCTTCTTAACATCGACTGGTGATGCTTCGTCAAAATGCCATATCTTGGTCACGGTCATGTGATTCGTGGTCAATGTGCCTGGTGGTAGTGAGTAAATGCTGCATCTTGGTAGAATTGTTCAACTTACCTGTCTTGTCAGTACACACGACATTGACCGAAGCCAAGGTCTCAACACTAGGTAACCGTCGAACAATGGCGTCGCGCTTAGACATCCTCAGCACGCCCAACGCAAGCGTGACAGTAACAATGATGGGTAGTCCTTCAGGGATGGCCGCGACAGCAAGTGACACAGCAATCTGAAAGACCTGTAGGAATTTCCAACCACGCCACAGTCCCACCAGCCCAATGAAGGCAATGACTCCGAAGGACATGTAGCTCAGATCTTTGCCTAGGCGGTCCATGGAAAGTTGTAGCGGCGTGCGCGGGCTCTCGATTTGCTGCAGAGAAGCAGAAATGGCGCCAAACTCAGTGTTGCCTCCTGTGCCGACGACAATGCCCTGTCCATAGCCCGACCTGACCAATGTACCCATGAATGCAATGTTCTTCTGATCGTTCAACCGTATATCAGCACCGACCGTTCCAGCGGCTTCAGAGGCGTAGAAAGGCGAAGACGGTCGTTGTAGGGCCGGCGGGGGCGTGATGGTATCTGGCGACTTGGCGACAGGCTCGTTCTCTCCAGTGAGGTTGGACTCGTCAATGCTGAGGTCGGCTGCGTGCGTGATGCGGATATCGGCTGGTATGCGGTCTCCAGTGTGGAACAAGACCAGGTCGCCCGGCACCAACAGTGTCGCGGATATGGTAGTAGACTTGCGCTCTGCCGCTGCCAGCGATGCCGTGGTGTCTTTCAAGTTGTCCAACTCTATGCTCTCAGTTGCCGTACCATTTGGCAGGCGACGGCCGCGTGATGGCTCCACGCCAGCGCGAATGATGTGTGCCGAATGCGGAACCAGCTGATTCAGCGCCTCAATCGACTTCTCGGATCGGTATTCTTGTACGAAGCCCACCGTCACCACAATGGTCACGGCCACGGCAATGCTCACGGCGTCTTCCAGATTGCCGAGTACGAGGGACACGCCAGCCGAGCCCAGCAGCAGCAGGATGAGCGTCTCTTTGAACTGCTTGAGGAAGCGGAGCCAGAGCGGCTCGGGCTCCTCGTGGGGGAGTTCGTTGGTGCCATGGATGTGAATGCGCGCCGAAGCGTCCGAGGCGGAGAGGCCATGTGTCAGCGACGTAGAGAGCTTGTGGGCCGTGTCCTGGGCCGAGAGGAGGGAATGGGCCGATGTTATTGACTGTTCACACATGGTCAGCGGGCGTCGCCAGGGCTACATAGCAGACGTGGCGGTGGAAGCGCATGGCGTACTGAGGGCGTGGTGCTCCGCTTGAGGGCTTCTGGCGGCTGCAGCATGGGCGACGAGGGCCGCGAAGACTTGGAGGGCAGGCCGCCGGCATTGTAGAGGGGCAATGAGGGCGTGGGTGCTTTTGACATGTTGGCATGGCCAGGAGTCGACTGTTGCGCCGCCGTCCAACGTGGCCTATCCGTCCAAAGCTAGCGTAGAAAAAGATGGCTGTCGACTTGGATTATCGCATTGGTGCTGGGAACAATAAAAGACGTGTTGGATTCGCAAACGGGCACGGCCAAGGGGGTTGCGAGACGGTTACGTGCTGTCTCTGGACATGCAGTTGCTGGATGTCGATGATGGGCCAAAACGCCAAAGCAGCGGTACTCGCGAGCAGGGGTGTCGTAGCACCGCCATAGCCATCCAGGGTCTCGTCACGTTTGACACCACAACGCAAACACCTTGTGAACACGTTTTTCTTATTGCTGAAACACTCTCCGCTGCCTCCAGACGTCTGCTTACCGCCCCCCACGTTGCTTTCCGAGCTACATCGCGAACATGCTGCACGCTTCTACGATCCGAGCACACGTATTACTACGGCCTTGGCAGGTACATGTCCGCTGCATGTGATGTCATACTTCAGCGTCCCTCACATCTCATGTGCCTGAAGTAGCACTTCTTCATTCTCTTCTTGTATCGTACAGCTACTACATCTCTCTTACGCACTAGAGTAATAATACACTTTGCCCTCAAACAGCCGCCGAGCAGTCCGTGAAACAATACATCGATCAACGAAAGCGGATGATTCCGAGCTCGTAGCCAGAACATCAACCGCAATCGACCCGCTAGAATGCGAGAGCCACACTGTCCTCGGGCTCGGTAGTAAACCTGGAGAGCTTTCATCAGAGTCTGAACAGGGACTCGCTGCCCGTTCAGGCGAATGTCTTCGCCACGACGACTGTCCCTTGCCCTCGGCTGCAACACCATGTGCGACAGTGCCCTCGATGCATACTGCCGACGCTAAGCACGCCGCGCCTGTGAGTTGCAAGCTTGGATGAGGTTTGCCCATACTGAAAGCTTGCACGTGGATATCTGGCCCATGTCTCCTTGAGTAATGATCTGACCGAGGAGAAGACACGATAGCGAGCTTCGGTGTTCCGCGGACCTTTGCGGCGGCGTCTATGTCAGGAGCGAGACCCATCATGACGGCGCCGGCACATCTTATCGACTCCATGTGCCTGAGGTAGCCAGCAGTATCTTTCCTGGCTGTCTTTAGGTATGGTGGTAACGTCCTTTCGTCGACAAGGACAAAAGGATTCGCCGCGTCTATCAAGGTGGCCTTGACTGAGAAGCGATTGCCGTCTTGCTCCTTTACATGAATAGTATCGCGCCGTCTCCTAGTAGGAAAGAGGGCCCCCGCCATGCTCCCAGCAGGGTCGACAAAAGCAACTTTTATTTCGCTTCCGGTCCCCTTGACACCCGATATTGCGTAGTCTCCGTCTTCACTAAACGAGCCGTCCTCATCTACTTGGACAGTATCGACGATGAGCCGCGACGTGTTCGTGTTGAATATCCGGACATCCAGCTAGACAAAGAGTCAGCACCTTACAAACTTCAAACTCGATCAGAATGTGTCAACTTACGGTCTTCTCCCCAGGTCTTGCACGCACTAATCCTTCCTGAAGTGCAAACGGTCCAACACCAGCGCACATATTTCCACAGTTTCCACTGAAATCGACCGTCTCTTGTCCCACTGCTACTTGCACAAAAGTATAATCAACATCGACGCCCATTCGTGCCGATGGCGACACCACGGCAACCTTGGAAGTTGTCGAAGTCGCTCCTCCAACACCGTCAATCTGTCGAGCATCTGAGCCTTGCGAGCCCATGGCCGCAAGCAATGGTCGTACCCATTCTGATTGAGAAGCTGGCAAGTCGTGACGATGGATGAAGAGACCTTTCGAAGTACCAGCACGCATCAACACGGCTGGTAGGCTGTGTCGGACCTAAAGATTGGTGTACGAATTAGTATCTGTCACACATGCAGTTTGTACAGAGATGTTACATACCTTCTTTGGGGCGCTTTCGTATGCCATTGGGAATTCAGGTATGCGGATCGGTGAGATGTGTGAGACAGTTGAGGCATGTGCCTTTTGGAAAGCGGATGGTTTGACAAGTGCGCGAAGCATCTATAGAGAATTGGTGCTGTGATTGAAGGCGATGGAGTCGTTGCTTCGTTTCTAGCTAGAAGAAAAATGTGCCATAGCATTCGGCGGTACAGCTCTCTATATATGTCTTCAGATCCAAGAGCATTCGGATAGTGGATTCAAGATACGGGTAGATCGCGTTAGATTCCGCGGGAGTAAGTCGCCGAAGATCAGCCGCGGCTCGCGGGTGCTGTACGGTCGGCCGAATCGTTCCCGCACGGCTAGCCTGCCCGTTCTCTACTCCCAGTCTAAGAGCGGGAAGTTATCGAGGTCTGATCCATTGAAACCAAAGAGGAGGTCATCTACAGTCACCGGTCGCTCGTTAAAGAGTTGTTGTTGGTCTTGATACATCCAGGTCCCGGGATTCTCGTGAAGCCTATCTGACGTCTCAATAGTTGAATAGGCCGAATGCGACTGCCCAGGTACGGGTGCGCATGAAGGATTAGCAAGGCCTGTTGGTTCTGTTCGCGCCACATGCGATGTCTCCTGCTCTCGCTCCCGAACAAAACTCTGGATGATACCATCAATTTCCATACTCTGCAGACTCCGCTCACGGTCCATAGGCCTGCTCGACGCTGCATCCGTCACACTGCTTCTATGGTTGTCGCCATTAATATCCCTACCAATGCCTGCATCCTCCTGGTCAGGCGTGGAAACTCCCAACCTTGTCATCAAGTTCTGTATAATGGCGCTGGCGCGTCGCACAGCCCAGTTCGTCTCTTGGTTCTTGCGGAAGACAGCTAAGCAGGTCTCGAGGCTGCTGTGAGCTTGAGAGCCTGGACCACGCCTCGCCGCGATACGGGCATGTATGGTCGCAGCCACGTACGTCGCATACGAGATCAAGTACGGAGCTCTTTGCACGCCAAAAGCTTTGTCATACGCTCGGAGAAGTTGTACAATGTCATCCGCAGCGGTGGCACACGCCATGAACGAGTTGACGGCAATGGCGCGTGAAGTATTATAGAGATGGCCGTCAGCGACAAAAGGCCGATGTAGAAGGATTGTAAGTACACCGTAAAGGGCACTAGCATGCTTTCAGTATTTCCATGATACCTTTGATGATTTCAGAACTTACTGCAAGCTTAGAACATGTGGGGGAGGCGTTAGCGCAACGTCTTCTACATCCACGACGAGATGCTCAGGCAGAAGCCTTCGCCACGTTACCAACTTTTGTTGGATAACTTCCAGTTTGGAGGATAGCTCAGTGGAGCCTACTTCGAAGCTTCTTTCGGTGTATACAGTGCTAAGTATGTCGCTGAGGATCACCGAGAGCTGACAGAGCTGTCGAAATGTTGAGATACTGTATGCAGGAGAGCCTAGATAGGCAGAATCTGCTTGCGTAGAGTATGAAAAAGGAGTCCAGTGTTCAAGTTCCTCATATGTATCTTGGAATTTCATGGGTACCAGTGTGTCTGACTCCTTCATGCTGACTGGGCGACCTAAGGTTTTGGTGCATAAAATCAATGTTTGCTTCACGCGCAGTTCATGCATAGGAGTTATTACCTTGGTACAAGCTTTGGATTTTGTCGACGACTGAAGGTAATTTTGTTAGCGGATTTGAATACTGTTGGAAAATTGGACTCACCAAATGCAGCCCAAAAGACACGACGCCTAATTTCGCGATCCTCATCAGACAGTCTACGAGAACCTGCAAAGGCAGGTGTGTCAACGTGAATACCGAGGTCGACGATCATGCGGAATGCTAACCCAGCATAGAGCCAGGCAGCACTGCGTTCGTCGCCGAGGGCGAAGAGAGAATTGGTCATGACGAGTAAAGCTTGAATAGTAGTAATCTCACTCTTGTCCAAAGCACCTCCTAGAAGCTCTCGTACTCTCTGACGAAATTGCCAACCGGCAGTGCGGACATCATCAGCCACGCGGCGAACTTCGCGGCGTGGACTGAACTTGGAGGCGCCGAAGTAGATGGCGTTGAGAAGCAGCTTCGAGAAGTATGGGCCACCGCAAGCCATGTCACGCATGAAGGCAGGACGATACGTTGTGAGAAATGAGTGATGTTGTCGGTTCCAGTGTAATGAAAGCAAATGCATGCCAAGCTCAGGTTCGACACCATCGAACTCGAGCTTTCCATGTCGGAAATTGACAGTCTCTAATTGTCTCTGACGTGCGGCTTCAGCCACAAGACCTCTCTCAATCCATTCATCTGGCATGTGCGGACGTGCTTCAGTAGCAACACGGTCATGCGAGGCTTCGTCGAACAAAGTGCTGGTGCGCCCGTGATAACTTGAAGAGCCATTAGAAGCGACGACAATGCGCGACACATCTCTAGGTGCAGTTTCTTGGGCTGGCTCTGGTGCTCTCTCTGTTCGAGGTGTCTTGCGTGGACGACTAGCGGCATGCTGGACGGCATCTATACTTGCAGGTTCATACTGACATATTGTCCCATGAGTTTTACAGCTTGCGCATGTTGGTTTCTCAGCACTACATTTGATCTGCTAGTATCAGTATTCAGCTCCTAATCATACCCAGGCACCAACAAACCTTCCTCCGACGGCAAAAGGTGCATGCCTCAGCAGCTCTTCTGCGTCTACGACCCGTCGCCGTCACGTGTCCGTTTGTTTCGTCCGCACTCATAACGGCCAGCACGATGTGGATGTTGACGGGTATTTTGACGGGCGTGCAAAATCAAGTCCGCGAAGCCGCGCAGTTGCCGAGATCCCGCGGACCGGCACCCTCCGTGGGGCGAGAGCCTTATTGGATCGATGCATCATTACAAAGTACATGCTGTGTCAATATTAGGCTCTACTTGTAACGGCCGTGGCCAAGCAAGATTTCAGAATCTGTGATGATAATATTGATTGCATTCCATCTTCCAAAGCTAATGTGACTATCCTGATACCATGATACAAGGGATCAACTTCCCAAAAACACCATTTCTCATACCAACGCCAAACACCGTCCAAAGCAGCCGCCTACAATCCAAGTCATGCCAAAAGATGGGTATCCAGCCAACACCGCCAGACAGTACCTAGTCCCAAAGAAATTCTGTCAAGCGAACAGATTGTTGAACTTTTACGCGGACACGGAAACCTCAGGTGGTCCTTGGAAGATGGCCTCAGCAGGCGCATCGGGATCCCCTGTAGGCGCAGCTTGAGCCTGGGATGCCAACTCTCCACTGGCACCGGTCTCTGCCCACTGTCCCCAGAGACCACGCTTGGCGCGAATACGTAGAGGGCCACCAAGCTCGTTGGCTGGCTGCTCAACCTTGATGGCGTCCTTGGTTGCCAGTACTAACATCTCAAAGAACATCTTGGTCGCGTCTGTTCGTGATGTGCGAGCCTCTGGGAAGACGTCCTGGAAAACGATGCTGTTCTTCTGTCGTTCCGACTCACTCTCTTCAGCTTCCGGTCCAAACTGTTCCCTCAAGAAATGGACGGCGTGTTTGGTGCCTAATGATACGGGTCCGGCTTCATCGGGGTGGACTAGCGGCGCGGTTGTGTCGTCAAAGTTGTCTGGAACAGGCGAGAAGATGTCCTCCTCATCACCAATCTGCTGGAAGCCAGGGTCATCAGGGAGTTGAACAATGTCGTCGGATCCTCCAAGTGTGGGGTCGTTGTCCCCGCCGATGCCAATGTCCCCGCCGCCCAAAGTTGGCTCATCTTGCTCAAACTCTAGCTGGAGTTGAGGGGTCTTCTCTCCTTCGGCTGCTGCCTCATATTCCGTGGCACTACTCTCGATGTTCGCACCGTCACGCTTGCGCTTCTGAGCTGGACGTGAAATGACTTCCAGAGAGAGAATGCCTCGAAGCTCTGGAGCCCAGCCTTGACTTCGGCCATCACCCAGAATGCTTGAGACAAACCCTCCAGACTTCTGCATGTTAAGCAAGGCCATCAGAAGAGGGTCGCGAGGCAGGAACGAAGCAGGCTTGAGAATCTTCTCGCGGTTGTTCTGCTGCTCCCTCAGCTGATGACTTGAGATCATGGTTTCAGCATCGGCTCCAATCACTCTCCTGCGCTTGGCACGGGCTTGATGGATAGACTCTTCTTCTTCTTGCTCGGGCTCGGGCTCGAATATGGTAGTATTCTGCTCAGCGACCTCTTGCTCAAGGCGTGTAGCCTCCTCTTCTCCCAATTCGGATAGGGGCGATTCGTCGCGCTGTCGCACAGGGAAGTCGCCGGCAATGGAGGTGCCTGCTGGGAGTTCTGTATCCATGCCACCCATAGTGATGTCCAGGTCGTCGTCCAGATTGAATTCCGGGCGGCGCGCGAGTTCAGTTGGAGGGTCTTCGCCAATATCTATACCAAGATCATCATCGTCCACAATCAGATCCTTGCCCAGCCCGGTAAACTCCTCAGAGCGGCGTCGTTCCAAAGGTGCGTTACGGCCGACTTCAATGCTGGTGCCCTCATCGTAGGCTACTGTTGGCTCCAAGCCATCGTCCTCCCCAATGTCCAGGTTCAGATCATCGTCCGGGAGCTCCATTGGCTCCATGCGCGCCTGTTCAATGCTGCCGGACAGGAACTGGCTGTTGTCCCAATCGGGGACTGTGGTGTTGCCAAGATCGAGGTTGCCGCCAAGCGGCTGCGATAGAAGGAATGAAGGGTCAGGCATGGGAGCCAACAAATCAAGATCGGTAATTTGGTCTGGCAGTATCAGGTTGGTGGGGTTGGCAACATGAGTCTGAGAGGGCATGTCGATGTTTCCGGGACGGAAGGCCTGTATACAAGTCAGAAGTGTTCATGCCGCGCAAGCAAAGCTTGAACTTACCATCTTGATCTTCCACAAGGCTTCCTGACAGTCATCCTGGAGGTAGGTTGCCTTCTTGCTGTAGATGCGCACTTCACCAAGAAGCAGCTGCGCGTTCAACCGCAACGCAAGTGGACCGCCAGCAGCCACCTCTGGCCGGATGATGACCTCGCAACTCTCTGGGATCTTGTGCTGCAGCACTTGGGCCTTGGTAAGCTTCTTCTGCTGGTTCGAGGCAAGCCAGACGTGCGCAAGGGCACCCTGCTTGAAGAGGAGATCCTCTGGAAGAAACATGGTCGTGGTTGAGTCGATCGGTTGGTGGGTGGGGTGATGGAGGAGTCGCGATGTTGTTTACGTCGACGCGTCGCGAACAAGTCGATGCGCGTGGCGGGGAACGCGCGCCGGCAATGTCAAAAGTGGGTCCCCAGAATGCGCGCGGATGCAGCAATGGCGACAATGGTCAAAAATGGTTGAGCGACGATGGTGTTGCGAATGCGCTCGGTCGTGGTAGGATAAATGAGGCTGGTAAGGGCTGGCTGGGATTAGACGGCGAACGAGCCAGCGGCGCCGCTTAGTCATTGGTCGTGTCAACTAGTCTGGAGACCAGCCATCTTCATCTTCCACGTCATACTACGCTTTCACTCTGCGACACATCTGATATGCAACGACACCCAGAAAGAGCAAGAATAGCGGAATTAGCTTTCAGAACATTCGAGAGACTGTATACGGCATGTATTGAACCGCGGCGTGCCCATCGATGGCATGTTTTAATTTGGCCTGTCAAACTTGGGTCAAGAGCTTCAATAGCTACATTCTTCACATGCGCCTACTCCATCTTAAACCTGGATTGCTCGCTTCCACGTAACTAACGGTAACGTCTCTGTCCTGGGCCGCGAAGCCCCTTTCAAGCCACTGCACCAAACTCTCGATCAACGGTGTGCAATCGACCAGAACGTCCTGCATAGCCTGTCGATCACTCACTCTAATCCGAGGCCAGGCTTCAACTGTTAGTCTGTTCAAGTTCTTTAGCTTCAGAATTTCTGTCAACCGATACATCGAAATAATATCCTCCAGTCTCCTGATGCGCGTCTGATCAAAAGACCATAGTGTTGTTGGCGGTTGTTTCAGGTTTTCGGCCCATGTACACGAGTCTATGGTCATATATTCAACTTCGAACTTCAGCTGGACTTGTCTTAGTTCTGTACATCGCTTCATCAATTTAATGTATGCGTTATCGTTCCCAGCACTGGGTCGGTGACAACCGAAGAGCTGGAAATTGAGATCACGAACTGCAGCAAAGCCTTGGTTGTCGGCTTCAGGAAAGCTTTCAAGAAACAAGCTGAACGGCTCCACTTCAACAGGGCTGGAAAGACACAGCCTGGTTGTTTGTAGCAGAATAGAGGAAACGTCGATACGGGTGGCTTCATCTGTGCGACAGAAGTCTTCGAGCCACTCCAAGCAGAATGGGTTGCCACTATGTCGAAAATCCGCTACGCTAAGGTTTAGAGGCCGACACTGGGAAATGAGGTCTTCTGGACGCATCGCCCGATAATAGATGTTCTTTCTGAGCTCCCATGGTAGCTTCAGAAGTAACTTCAGAAAGGAGTAAGGGGCAGGGGCTGTGGGATTAGGTGTGGTCATCTCGTTCGATACCTAGATCGTAGCTGGTAGTGGAGAACACAAATGGAGTCGTTTGTTTCCTGGAACCCGTTCTGCCTTTAAAGGTGTCGGTTTGCGAAAAGCAAGGTACGACAGTCTCGCTTGAAACAACGAGACTGTTCTTTAGCCACAGGTACTCCAATCAAGAACGCCACGTGGGAAATTGTTAGTTTCCATCAGAAGTACCAGCTATCGACACGCAAGTGGATTTAGTAACCCTTTCGTTTCCACGTACTTACCATGTAATTGCGCGCTACTTGCAGATCAAGTTTTCGTTACAGCGAAGCAAGTACTTCTGAAAGCGTAACTAGCTGACGACACGGTTGTAACGTAGATTTATGGGACAAGAACGTGATAAGATGTAACCCTGGACCATGGCATTGCAGCACCTTTAGGTATTTTCCGGTGAACAAAGTACGTGGCTCTGCGTGCAGCAATGCACCAGCACAGGTGCTGTGAGTCACCCACACTATCCACATGTTTCATAATGTCGTTGAGCACAGTCGGCTTCTGGGCTCTTCAATACGATAAGCGATGGATCTGCAAGATGATCATCCAGCCCACTGGCCTCCACAAGGCTGAAAGGGCGTAATTCGGGGTACAGAGTTAATCCGTAGGCAAAGTTGTTGAGTCCCGACTACGCTTGGTGGGTGCGGATGGACCGGACGCTTTAATAAACCGTTGCAGATCAGGCGTTTCGGACGAGCTACTGCGAACCACTCGCATTCTCGTTTAGAGTCGAAGCTTCCACCGATTTCGCGATTACAGCAATTTGCATCCTCCACAATCAGGCCAGATGTCGTGATGGAGAAATCTTTGACCGTGAGGCGATTTTGACTTGCATGCGTTTGGGCGCAGATCATCATAAAAGCAAAAAGTCTCGAACGCGGACTCCGTACTCCACTCCGGCCGTCTTCTGATACCAGGTACGCTATCTTATCGGTGTCGCAAGCTTAAGCCCGTAAACCCGCACCGCACGTACATGTTTCCGGAGCCGTGTCTGACTGACCGGCTTATCATGTTCTGAGGCAGCAGCGAAGGGACCACATGGCACACATGCGCCATGATTACTGCCTCACGTAGGGTACAACTGCAGCACCACGTAATCGTAGAGGGCTGAATTGTGTCAAGCTAACGACATGTGTGGGCTTTCGCGAGTGGCCTTCTTGGGTGCTGACGAGTGCACGGATGAAGTGGCCGTGCAATTCTTCGCCTGATGTCCGAGATGCCGCCCACTTTAAGCCGCCTTCCAGAATTTGTTTGAAACGAGGTTTGCCGTCCCTGTCCTTGTAAAGACAACATGGCCGTTTGAGTGCTGAGTCGCACGCTCGTACGTAGTCTGCGTGATGCAACCAACGTGCTGGCGGTCGCTGGGAATAGTAGGCGTGGCGGCTGAGCGTCACAGAGTGCGTAGGAGGAGGTATGCAGGCTACAGCCAAATGCCGGAATTGACGGGAAGCCAAAAACAAGGTTTGGACGCTAGGCCGGCGTGATGAACAACCAGGAAAGGGTCTCGAGCATGCGTAAGAGGAGACCCTTGACATTGAGTAAGAACGCACTGGCCACGGACATTCTGGCCTCGGGTCTCTCCACTGTATAATCTGCCATGACACACACATCTTCTGGACGCGTCAACTGTCATAAGAGTTGCGGCTGCCATCGTCACACCTGATCTTCCACCTATCTCTTCCAAGTTTATGAAACGCACCCGCAATTCTTAATCTGCGCTTCACAGCTATAAGCAAGCCACCCATCGTGCAACTGCAGAACTTGGGCATCTTCACATTAACTCCATTTGGCACTCCACACTATTATTGGACCCATCCGCACGCTACCAAGACACGCCAACGGACACCATCGATTACGGCTACTCTAACGCCCAAATACGCAATTATTGCCCTGCATATCTTGAATTTGCTGGCTACATCATCGGGCATTCATCACCCTTCGGCGCATATATTACGAAGTTCACCCGCGGCTTCAAGACTTGCCTAAGTCCAGCACGCTACAAAGTCACTCGCACACCACTACACACTACTCAAAGACATCACCACACACTACTCAACAAGATCACCACAAACACTCGGCACATCTCCGACATTCAAAGCCACAATGTTCTCTTGCGCCAACTACGAGCGAGGATGCAGGGGCCGCTGCAACGCTATGAACGGACGATGTGATAGCTGCCACACACTCAACCTACAAGTCCGCAGCAACAGCGCTTCATCCACATCATCAACCAACGGCCTGCCATCGGCTGCCTACTCGGCAATGACCAACTCCTTCGCATCGCTCTCTCAGCTCAACTCATCCTCGTCATCGCAAAGAGCGCAATAGCCGATGAGTACTTGGCGTTCATCGTCTGAACGCACACCATCATGACATTCAACGAAATCATTCCCGCATCAGCGACTTAGCGACACAGTGTGCCGGAAACACTCTTCGACTTCGGCTTTGCGATTAGGGATAGTATTGGAGCACATGGGTTAAGCATTTACATGGAGCGTTATCTTTCTTTTCTGTTGTATGATATACCAGTTTTTTCTCTTCTTTCATTTCTTTATTCTACCAAGGACCACTGCAGGCGTTTGACAGGGCAGTAGACAGGGGGATGCACCTACGACGCATGACGCTAGGCATAGTTTCCCTCGGAGGACTTGACCAACTCCAACCACCACAACAAATAAACACATATTACCTCACTTGCATTTCACTTTGCATCATCTCGCGACTACTTCGGTGTTTCCTCTGATGCGCAAACACCTTTCACGGCACACATCACGAATGCAGCGATACGTAAGACAAGACTCTTCCCAGCCCCACAATATTGTCTAGAACTCCCCTCATCCACCCGCCCAGTGCTCATGATCACTCTGAATCCCTAACCACATGGTCAAGCTTTCAAAGCGGCTACTGCCTCCTTTCACGGCAATCACGGATCCATATTACCGTACCAAACGCACATCTATTTCCTTATTCCCAATAGCCTCTATAACAAAAACGTCCGTGATGTTCCGTGGCTAAGAGCGCAGGATAAAAACCCACCTTCCGAGGAGTCCAGACCCCAAGCGCACGGTTAGGGCCTCAAAGTCGGTATCGATCGAGCGTTGTGCTGGGGATCGGCTGCCTGGGGTGAGCGGGCGAATTGGGGTTCGAGGCATCTGGTGCAGCGCGACGTTGGCGACCGCTGCACTGTGACGTCAGTGGTGCATTTCACATGTCCTCCTTACTTGCGGTTGGCAGACGTGTGGCAGGCGTTGCGTTTCAACTCCGAATGAAGTGGGCACTCCCTTTGTGGCCGCGATAGCGGGACGAGGTTGTAGCTCTTTTTTCTTTCGGTGTTATGATGTTTTTTGCTCGATTAAACTTTGATGATCCGACATAGTGCCGCGGAGGCCAACCTCACACAGCGGATGAGTATTATCAGGTGACGGGAAAGCAGTGCCGAGGCCAATAGAGCCTTACGGGCCTTGCTGTTGAATGGCATTCTTGCATTCCCATGCCTGTGGTCCATGCACTTGTGCCCATTGTTTCCCCGAATACTGCGCACCACAGCACCTGAGGTGTTGCAGCTGCGCCGATAGATGCATGCACGTTGCTGCGGTTACACCACCCTCAATAGTGTTGCATGGAGTCAATGACGGCTCTTGAAACCCAACATGCAACTTCACTGCAACGCAGCCGAGCCCTAACATTGACTGCTCGCCAAACCTGACGCCCATGTCAAAGCTGTGTTATTGTTGTCAAGACTATCATGTCGATCAGCGAATCCTTTGCGCCGAATTTAGCACCGCGAGTACAACAACTCCACCACTTCTGCCTGTACTTTCTTTTGCTCTCGCTAAGAAAAGCCTATCGAGTCGATGACCAGCCATTCGGACTTGCACTACCGGCAGTCATAATGACTAGCGAGCACCCTTAGTTAGTGTCATCGACGAGAGGGTCCATAAAAAACGGTGAGTTGCTAGCGAGAAAAAGGGCGAGACGTGGCTTTGCGGGAACGGAAGACGCTTATTTACCTACGTCATTCCATCGGAAAAGCTCTCCAGGTCTCCACCATCGTGAACAGTCTGGAACAGCGAGTCGATATGCAGCCTGGATCTTGTCGAGGCTCCTTCCAAGATTCTGCTCAGTCCAGTCACGTGCGGTGAGTATCATCCTGTAGGCGTTCTTTTGTCTGGAAGTAAGAGAAGATGCTACTGTATAGACGCAGTATGCTGCATACCAACAGGCGCATGACTGGCAGTACGATATGACTGATCGCTATACATTCCACCCTCCTTTTTTACGCGCAACAAACCCGGCTGACTCTCGGTGAAGACTGCTGCGTAATCAACTCTAACACGCCCAATGTCACCTATAGAAGGAGAGCGCAACGTAGTACAAACTACCTTAGTCACACCTCCGCACGCCTACAAATACCCATCTATTTCTGACTTGTGACTCCCCAAAATAATATATGCTGACAAAAGCAGAATGGCCGTCGAAAACTACCGAGATCGTTATCCGTGCAAGAGACGACGTCACGTGGCAGCGCGACAGTAGCGTAGTCGAGCTGAAAAGGGTATACATGACGGGCTGATGAACAGGATATGCAGTCACACGGTCCGACAAACCAATAGCTGGATAGCGACGTTGCTTACTCGACACTGTCTTGTGGTGCGTGGATGATTGTTTCTAGAAGGAGGAGGCTCGAGGTGCATGCAGCCCTACCCGTGTGAGAAAAGCTTGGTTAGTTGAGCAAATCAGCGGTAGTGGATGGTGGTGGTAGAGCGAATAGCAGTGCAATGGTGTGTGTGTTGTTGTTGAGGAAGATGGGATGAGAGGATAATGCATGTCTTTACCCACGATCCTAGTACCATGTCCAATCAACACAGTGGCTAGCCAAGGCTGAGCCGGTCTACCAGCCAGCCACAATATCTTTCCATAGCCATTTCATCCTATCTGCTGCCTCACCTACCTCGAACGGGCATACATTTCGTGCTTTCCACTAACCCACGGTTCAGCCACCTCGTATACAACCCTGCGTTAGCATAACCACATGTTCCTATGCGCATCTCAAATTTCACTACGAATAGCGTACGTAAATAAATCCCGCTTACCAAATGCCTCGAACATAGACAGGCTGTAGCACAAGCACCTACAAGTCTCGCTGTCACCCACGCCCATCATACCGCTATTGCGCTGAATAATCTCGGGAAGAACGATGAGAAGAGCAAATAGCGCCGATGAACCGGATGTAGCGAAACGGTCATCAAAGCAGACGACGTGCATGTGTGTCTCCCACACCCCGCATCATAGTGCTGTGACATGGAGTACATATCCCCATTTGAAGCGGTGGACTTTCCTGTTTGTTGATACGAAACAGCGTCGGCTTTCTTCCTACTTGTTTTCTTCTTTCCACATCAAACTTGGAGGAACTTGCCGAGATAGGTCGACTTGTTCTTCTGAGCACGATTGCATAATACCCACTTGCCGTCGTTGGTGCCAAGACATACAGGCTTCGATTTGTTGTGTATAAGCTCTTTCTTCTAAAGCATGTCGTCGTCTTGGTCAGATCCCGCCCCACCAAGGAGACCCAACTACAAAGTACGCTTTCGACATGGTGTGTTTCCTGATCTGGAAAGTCAAGCTACTAGAGCAGACATCAAGAAGTACGACTACTTCTTCGGTGCAGGGCAGAAGTGGGTTGGTACGCCGGCAAATTGTACGTACACGGAAAAGTGATATCGAGTGGACCATGTTAACGAATTTTCTGCAGATGATTTCGTGGACGAATCATCACTTGTTGCTGAAGAGTTTGAGAACCCTGGAAGCGCCGATAGGAGGAAGGCACCGAAACATATGGCTCGCTCGAGGTCTGCTAAGAAGATTCCACAGTCGGAAACAAGAAAAGCCTCGAGGGCAAGAGACCAACGCGCGCGTCCGACGAGTGGAGCCTGGTCTGGTCGATCGCTCGTATCTGCAGCATCGCAAAGCATACACAGCTCATGGCAGCTTCCATCGCATGTCTGGCGACATACAAGCCCAGCACCTGGCTCAGTATCAAGTCTCTCTAGCCTGGACGAGTCCCAACTAGAAACTTGGCACTCTGATCTCCCGTCGCCAAATCCGAATATTGCCGCAAGCCAAAGTTCACTGGTAGCATGGCCGATAACTGACCCCACTGAAGCGTATCTGTTCCGATACTGGGTTGATAAAGCAGCGGAATCGCTAGACATAACTAGTTCTACCAGCATCTTTAAGAAAGTTGTCCCGAAACTCGCACTGGCAAGTCCGATGCTCATGAACGCCATCTTCATGATATCCGGACAGTGTATTCTGCGCTTCGATCCGTATTTTCCTACTAGACCGTATGAGTACCACGAAAGAATACTGCAGAGTCTCATACCGCATCTCGCAGAAAAGGGAAGAATAGAAGACGAAGCGACTTTGGTAGCTGCGATGCTATTGCGGAATTTTGAAGATTTTCACTGTATGTCAACATGAGCCAGGATATGTGTTGTTCTGCTGACAGTCAGCTAGCCGGTACACAGGGGCAGACACATCTCTCCACATTTGAGCTCTTCTATGGCCCTGAAGGCTGGGTTTTCGACATGGCTAGTCCTGTGGTACAGGCTGCTCTAGTACTACATGTGCATGCTGAGGTTAGCCAAGCGTTACTCAATCAACCAAGTCTGCGTATCGACTATGAGTCGTTCATTCTACCAGCGCTGGCCTCACCGGTTGATGAAGCCTCATGGAGCAACCGTATATTATGGCTGAGTGCGCGCATCCTGCAGTGGGCGCAGAAAGGCATGCGCACAATGGACAATTGGCTTTATCTTCACAGTCTGGTTGACGAGTGGGAACGGAGACGTCCCGCCAGTTTTGATGCCTTCTTCTACCAAGAAGAAAACTTGCACGCCGCGGGAACCCCTCCGCAACTGTGGTTCTCGAGTGCTTGTCACGGTGAGTCAAAGTAATCGCTAGCCTGCGAATTGCTTGCTGACTTGCCTACAGCGGATGCGAACCAACACCTGCGGATATGCCGCATCGCACTTGCAGTCAATAACCCTAGGATAAACACGCAAGACGCACGTGGGATAATCATCGCAGATTCTGCACACGATGAAGTGCTGAGAAGGTTGAGAGAAATGATAGCTATTGCTCGGTGCAATACGCACTGTATTTCTGCACAATGGAAAGCCGCTTATACAATACACAAGTTTGGCACCGTACTGCAGGATGAGCAAGTCCGATGCGAGATGATCGAATTTCTAGAAGAGGTGCAAGCCACAGGCATGCCGGCGGGAGCGTCGATTAACCATCTCAAAGAGCAGTGGAATTGGAGCTGGAACCACTACGGGATAGGAACGAATCGATTGTAGCAGGAGCTATGTGACTTGGGCTGTTGCCAAGATCACCTGGTTAGTGACCCAGCTAGGAACAAACTGCCCATAGCCACACCCACGAAAGTGATGAGAATGATTCGGCCCTTCCCAGTCAGGGCGAGATAGGACATGACGCCTACAATAAGCTCCCATCGTCGAGCGGCGTCCCTTCTGGCTTTCCACTGTGGGTTGATCTCGAAGGGTGGCCGGGACAGAACATCATTCACGTCCAGCTTGATAGGCTTCTCGTCAACGCGAACCGAAAGAGCTACCGGTCGATGATCCGATGTCGGCTGTACCGGTAAAGCAGTGTAAATCTGGGGTTCTAGGTCTGATGCAGATCCAGACGGAAGATAGAGAATACGATCACACCACGAGGGATATCGGTGCTTGGACCATTCCCACGAATCATTGTCTCCTGTATTCTTGCCGTGTGGGGTGGCGTACTTGTATGTAGGTGGGAAATTGATAGGCAGTTCCTGGAAACCATGTAGCGTGCGTTTGGCGTCCTTCTCTCTCATCAGCTGGTCTTTCTTCAGCAATTGCGAGTAATGCTGTGGCGAAGACTCGGACGCGGTGGGCTGGGGATAGGACTCATGCGCTCCTTCATCTGGCGGGGTATCGTGCGTGCGGTAGTTGAGATCTCCGTAGAAGAAGACGTGGTTGCCAGGTGTAAAGAGGCCATTGTGGTCGGCTGGGGTCTCGGATGAGGAGCCAAGCAGCGGCCTCTCTTCACTATGACTGTATGGGGAGTCGTCGCTGTTGACAAAGACCAAGTTCCGGACGAGATTTTCCCAGTCTTTGTTCCTTGCATCCACGTTGCTCTCCATGGGCGCGAGATGAGCAGCGGCGAAAGTCAGATCCAGTGTGTCATCGGAGCCTGGGCAGGCCAGGCCAACGCGCATGGCTACAGCGCCCTTGTTTCCCATGTTGGAGAAGCCGACACCGGCGCCTGCCGATTGTATCCATTGTATCCTCTGTGTGACGTGGGGTTTCGCGAAGAGCATCAGGGCGGTCATGCCCAGGCTGCGCGTCGCAATATGTTGGAACGGTTCGCTGCCATTGCTGCGGAGGTCTGCGGCAAGCTGAACAGTGGTCGTCACGCGGTCAAAGTAGGGCTTCAGATAAGATGCTCCGAGGAACGAGTAGGCGATGGGTGCGATTTCCTGCAGTGAGATGGCGACGATGTCAGGCAGAGGCGTGTCTTTGGGAAGGGCGTCGAACAAGGAAGGCGCGAGAGACTGCGGGTCGACCAGGTTCCGGGCAGCATTGAAGGTGAGGAGGTACAGCTCGAACATGACGGGTCACGATGGTGCCGCGTTGCTGGATGCGTGTCGGTCAGCACAATTACGGCTTGTTGAGGGCGATCACCATGCAGAGTTTAGACGAGATCTTGGAAGGTACCAACAGGGCGAGCGATGATATTGATAATATCTAAATGTTGCGCGTCGTGGAGTAGGCGCGTCCTGTGCCAGGTGAGTGGAATGGCTGCAGCGTGGGGCAGCAGGCGGTCAGGATTTGCTGGAGCTTCCCCCAGCCATGTGTAGTGCGGAGAGGAGAAACGGCTAGGGCGGCTCCACTGTAGCTCTGGAGGTGGAGTGCCAACAGCGACGGTGTATGATTTATATGGAGACGCTGGTAGAGGACAGGCCAGAAGCCCAGGATGCAGTGTGCGGAGGTGGGAGTGCATGCGGGATGAGCTCGCCAAACCCTTACCCTGCATACAGCTGTCGTCAGAGGCGTTTCGTCAGTCAACAAAACGCGGTGGGGGACAGCTCGAGCTCTTGGAAGGACCGAGATAATCGGGAGCTGCTTGGGCATCGTGAGCTTTTCTTCTGACGTCTGCATTTGATCCGCCTTTTCTCTTGCCCACTTCGCACTTCTTACGTCCTCACGGTGCCTTGAGATTCAAGCTCCCCTCACATTGACCCGAGAGCCTTCTAGAATCACCATAGATATTCATCCCCACTCGACGTTTACAGTCACCCTCTTAATTCAGCGCCTTCCTACAGCCCTTGCTGCACTCAATTGATTTGAGCACTCTACTACAGCCATGTTCAGGTCTCAAGTTTTCCGTCAAGTCGCTCGCGCGGCCCGAGCCCAAGCTCCCCGTTCAGCGTTCCGACCAACACAGCCAGCTATTTCCTCGCTGCGACACTTCACTTCATCGCCTAGCCGCTTCGACAAAGACCCCAACAATGATGAGGTCGATGCGGCAACAACATCGGGTGAGCCTGGTGAGAGTGGAGACCATGAGGGTCAGTATGCTCGAACCCGAGACGACATTGTCGTGGAATACCCAGAAGAAAAGGACCTGCCACCTTCAAATCCCGTTGTGGGCCGAGGAGGAGAGCACTTCAAGCGCACCCTGGCTTCCTTCTCCATGGAAGGCAAGGTAGCCGTCGTCACCGGCGGAGCTCGAGGTCTCGGTTTGGTCATGGCGCAGGCGTTGGTGACCTCCGGAGCCGATGTAGCCATTGTCGACATGAACAAGGAAGAGGGTGAGCGGTCAGCAAAGGGTCTTCTCGATGTCTTCAAGAAGGAAAATCCCGGTTCCAGGAGGTGAGAGCATTGTGTGCAATTACTCGGCTTGGACTGACCCAAGATACAGAATCCCCAAGGTTACAGCACATTTCTGCGATGTCTCAAGTCCTACGTCTGTCAACCAATCCTTTGCTGAGATTCTGAAGAAGCACGGCAAGGTTGATAACCTTGTTACATCGGCTGGCTTCACCGAGAACTACGACGCCATCTCTTACCCTCATGACCGCATACAGAAGCTTTGGGGAGTCAATGTCGACGGTACCTACCTGTACTCTGTCGCTGTCGCGAAGCATCTCATGGAGAGGAAGGCACCAGGAAGCATTGTCATGATCGGCAGCATGTCGGGAGCCATAGTCAACGTTCCGCAACCACAGGCTCCATACAACGCCGCCAAAGCAGCTGTCCGACATCTAGCATCCAGTCTGGCGGTTGAATGGGCTGGTGCTGGCATTCGCGTCAACTGCATCTCGCCTGGATACATGCTCACTGCGCTGTAAGTAAATCAATAGGCGATGAATGTGCGGTCGCTGATTACCATGTAGGACCAAGAAGATTCTCGACGACAACCCGGATCTCCAGAAGCAGTGGACTTCTCTGATCCCCGTTGGTAAGATGGGACGTCCCGAGGATCTGATGGGAGCTGTCACTTTCTTGTCTAGTGACGCGAGTTCCTACGTCACTGTAAGTGATCTCCAGATAGGCTGATGAGCTAAAGCTGACCAGACACAGGGTGCCGATCTCCGGGTCGACGGAGCTTACACATGCACATAAGCCAGAGGCTGATGTACTTGGTGAGGAGTGAAGAGGGGTGTGAGGTTGAATAGATGTAGGATAGTCGTGTAATAGATATGTTCTCTATCTGGGGTAATAATTTGTGGTCGGTCTGGCGGCTCAAGGCGATATGCTAGCTCTAATAGTTATCTACATCATCTTCAATTAACCAACTATTGATATGATGCGCTCTATGCCCGCGCGTGCCTAGGTGAACTTGCATGTCTTGGTCAGGAAGCAGGATTGGCAAGCGGCATGGTCTCAGACAGACTTGGTGCATCGCGTCTTAGTCATGTCCACATTTCAGCTCTTGTGGCCGTGCGCTGTGGCGCATGTGCGACAACTCCGCCAACGACGGCCCTGCATAAAGCTCCAGTCTCTCAAGCCGCTTCCCAAGGGCTCTATTTGTCGCGCCATGTGGCATGAATAGTGACACACTACAGTATAATTGACGATCGCTTTGTCTCCTTGGCCGGCCCGAAGCCATGTTCAACATCTCGAACTTGGTGCAGAAGGCCCAGCAGTACATCGAACCCACGCTCAATACCATAGCCGCTCCCGCATCGACAGACCGCCGACCCTCAAAAGCCACTCTCTTCCGCTACCAGTTCCGACTCCCCGACTCTCAGAATCCCCTCCAGGAGATCACCGCTGAGCTCACGCTCCAACCCCACCATTCCACGAGGGGCCCCGGCGACGTCACATCTGAGAAGGAGCGCAGCCAGGGAAACCACTATGTGGGCAAGCTGCACCTTAGCGAGCAGTATCTCTGCTTCTCTACACAGGGCTCGAGCTTTGCCAATACCGCGAGCCTGAGCTCTTCCAGCAGCTTCACGGGGCAGACTCATGGGGCGGGACCTGCGGGCAACGGTTTCACATTACCACTATGCGGCATACGACGGGTAGAAAGACTGCATAGCCAGAGCTACATGTTCGCACTCGCCATCACGACGTGGAACGGCATACCAGACTCAAAGTCGCAGGCGCCTGCTGGCCAGAAGCTTACGATTCAACTCGCGGGGTCGCGACAGGCATGCGAGCGCTTCTGCGATGCTTTGAAGAAGGGGCTGCGGGAGGGAGTCAAGGAGGTGGATAACCTGCGCAAGGTTGTGGGGCAATGCTACTCCGAGTACCTTCTCACCGACGCCGAGGAGAAGAAGGCCGGAGAGGATGGCAAGCAAGCGCGAGAGCATCCAGATACCGGCCTAGGCATGATCTTCAAGTACCCAGGCAACGCGCGAAAACTCAGGGACGCGACAAAGATACGGTTGTGGCGCGAATATCTCAGAGGTATACCCGCTCAGCCCGCGCAGTGGCATCGCTGACATACAGTAGACAACGGCCGAAGCGCGACCCTCATCCGACAACCCACTTTCCACAAGCTCATCCGTGTCGGTCTGCCGAATCGATTGCGAGGCGAGATGTGGGAGCTCACATCCGGTGCCTTCTTCTTGCGCCTACAGAACCCAAATCTCTATACCGAGACGCTACAAAAGTTCTCCGGGCGGGAGTCGTTAGCCATCGACGAGATTGAAAAGGATCTCAACAGAAGTCTGCCAGAATACCCGGGCTTCCAGAGCGAAGAGGGTATTGGTCGGCTCCGACGAGTGTTGACGGCATACAGCTGGACAAATGAGGAGGTTGGTTATTGCCAGGCGATGAATATCGTGGTCGCAGCATTGCTCATGTATGTGTGCCCCTTGATGCGCAGCTTCTCCCACCTAACAGACCAAGTTACATGTCCGAATCGCAGGCCTTTTTCCTCCTTTCCGTGCTGTGTGACCGTCTCCTGCCCGGCTACTATTCGCAAACCATGTACGGCACCTTGCTGGACCAGAAGGTCTTCGAATCACTGGTTGAGAAGACTATGCCTATACTATGGGACCATCTGGTTAAATCAGACGTACAGCTGTCCGTTGTCTCATTACCCTGGTTTCTTTCGCTCTATATCAACTCTATGCCTCTAATCTTTGCTTTCCGCGTTCTTGATGTTTTCTTCCTCGAAGGTCCAAAAGTTCTCTTCCAAATCGGCCTGGCCATCCTGCGCATCAATGGCGAGGAGCTGCTCGATGCTGCAGACGATGGCTCCTTCATCTCAGTCTTGAAGTCGTACTTCTCAAGACTCGATGAGTCCGCCCACCCCAAGTCAGAGAACCCTAAACTGCGAGCTGTGACTCGCTTCCAAGAGCTCATGGTAGTAGCGTTCAAGGAGTTTGCTGGCATTACCCAGAACACCATCTCTGAACAGCGAGCAAAGCACAAGGATGCCGTGCTTGAGAACATCGAAAGTTTTGCTAAGCGCACGTCGATCCGTAATCTCGGTCCCGATAGCAAGAAGCTGAGTGTGAATGACCTCGGGTTCTTGTACGACAAGTTCTATGCCGTGCTGTACGAACGACAACAAAGAGCAGAGATCATGCAACAAGAGGCCGATCGCAAGGCAAAGGCGAGTAGGATGAAGGCGACAGAGGTTGTGACTGGTATATCTGGAAGCGCGGAGAAGGGCCGTGTGGCACTCGGTCCTAGCCCTACACAAATGGATTACGATGCCTTTAGGGAGTTCCTCGCTGGTAAGTTTGAAACATCATCAACATGCGTGTTTACTGACCGTGACTCAGGTATCGCGAAGTGGGCAATTACTGATTCGCCAAGCTCTCCACCGGAAAGTAGTGGTACCCAGTCTCCTCACTCGTACTTTGGAAACAGCTTGAGGAAACGACCACCAATGTCCCCATGGGGATCAGGACCAGAGCCAGCAGATCATGAGTTTATGCGACGCTTGTTTCGACGCTGGGATGTAGACATGACCGACTCGTTATCGCTGCAGAACGTTGTCACTGGGTTTGCGCATGTCAAGGGTACCAAAGACATCATGTCCAACATCAGCTATTTCTTCGAACTCTACGATGACGATGGCGACGGCAGGGTAGATCGGGAGGGCATCTTGAGAATCTCAGAAGCCTTGCTGTTTTTGTCAAGGCGAGGCGTCCACGACCCGACTCCAAACGCGTCTTCATTGGACATAAGTTCTACGGCAGGATCGGAACGTGTCGGTCGAGACGAACAGTTCTTGAGTAGCGTCTCCGCCTTCATTCGGCATTGCTTCGAATATGCCGATCCTGATCATCCATCGAACCAGACGAATAAAGCCGTCGAACAGGTTCAAGAAGAGGTCGATAACTTTGCAATTGGCGATGATGACGAAGAGGATGACTTGATCGATTTCGGCTCTGAGCCAGCAACACCAAAAGCCAAGGCGACGACGTTCGAGAAGTCAGAACAAAACCCACTCTCACCAACACCATCGAATCACACTACCGAGTCAGACGTTGCAGAGCGCAATGACAAGGCCAAGTCGGCAAACCTTGCATTGGATCCGAACAAGCCTCTACATATAACCTTGCCTACTTTCCGCATGGTCATCCTTGCAGACGACGCCTTACTGAACTTCTTCGAAGTAGGGTTTTCATCATCTTTCCGCCTGGCCGACGAAACACTCTCGTCAGGTTCCAGTTTCCATAACCTCACCACTTTTGCGAATGCTGGAAAACAGGGCGGTGGTGGTGGCGGATTGGGTGGCGTTGTTGGCGGCGCCGGGGCTGGCGTTGTGCCACCCGGAAAGGGCCTGCGAGGCATGCTCGACAACATCGTCAACGACGGCATGCGTGTCGCGACTGAGGTCAGAAGAAGATACGATGAAGCACAGAAGGAGCTGGACAAGGAGGCACGGCATGGACGCGAGGATGAAGAAGACGAAGAGGAGGTTGATGCGAAAGATTTAGATCTGTTAGAAGGTGCAGAGACGGCAGATGTGGGTGCGTCAAAAGGAGAAGCACCACAAGAACTCTTGTCACCTACAAGTACTGGGGAGGAGATTAAGACGGCCAGAAACCGGTCGGCTAGTGATGCGAGTAGACGGGTACTTGAGTTTGAGAGGTAGCATTGGGATACGGTATGAGTGGTCTTCTTGGAGTCAGGAATCATCTCAAGACCTTACTTCTGGTCTTTCTCATCACTAGACTCGTGTATGAAACCGTTTGAAGCTATTTGCTGTTTGCTGTCTCTTAACGACCATGTCTGATGTCTCCATGGGGGGAAGCCCCACCCTTGACGGCTAGCTATCCGACGTAAACCGCGTGTCTTTAGCTCCCTACAGCTACCCCGCAGAATCATGTACTGGCCCGCGGCTCAGTTCCGAATGAAGCTCACTAACCAGCTTTCTCCACACCGAAATCGATCTCACGATGCACACAAATCTCTCCTTACATCCGATGAATTCTCCGTGTGAAGATGATCCGGTCGCTCTTTGCTCGTGCTGCAAGGTCCCCTAAATCTACCCATTGCGCGCGACGAGGTCTCCTTACACAGGCATACAGTGTTGGACCTACTGAGGTATCTTTCGAGCTTTCCGATGATGTGATTGTAGAGACTGACATTGTAATAGCCGCCATTGCTGGGGAAGACTGTGCCGCAGCACTTTGCGGGGGTTGTGAGACAACATGGCGACCGTGACGCGTACATGTCCCTCCCAACGAAGCTCCAAGGACGAGCTGGCTAACGTTTAAGTAGAGTAATATCACATCACCAGCGCATACGCTTGACCTACGACGCGCTTGATCGCGACTCGAACAAGCTTGCAAGAGGACTGCAGAAGCTTGGTGTGAAGAGGGGAGACCGAGTTGCTGTTAGCTTGGGGAACAATGCTGAATTCGCTACTCTCACATATGCACTATTCAAGCTCGGCGCGATACTGGCATGTGGAGTTAAATTAGACGGAAAGTTGGTGGCAGCTAACACGTACATAGGTACCACTGAATCCCTCGTTCAACGCGCCCCAAGTCCTTAACGCTATCAACCATCTCGACGCCGCACATCTCATCATCGGAGCCGAAACGAACCTCCCTCGCAAAGAACCACGATCCAACATCTCACTCCTCACGCACTTGATCCCCAACCTGGCCGGCTCGAGCCTCGAATCCGAACTTGTTCCGTCGCTTAAGAATGTCGTGCTAGTAAACAACGCGCAAGGGAGAGTGGATCTGAACGAGTACAGGAGTTTAAAGAGGTACGAGCACGTCATCGAAGATGGTGGCCAGGACAACGCGTTTGAAGACCAAGGGTTACATCCAGACGACATTGTAAACATTCAGTTTACGTCTGGGACGACGAGCATGCCAAAAGCTGCGTGTTTGAGTCACAAGAGTATCTTGAACAATGGCAATAACATCGGTGACAGGATGCTGCTGACACCAGACGACGTCGTGTGCTGTCCGCCTCCATTATTCCAGTAAGTTCTCGTGGGTCCAAGCATCAACATTATCTGACCCTCCGTAGTTGCTTTGGATGCATTCTCGGGTACATGGCTACAGCTACGCACGGCAGCGCTATCGTATTTCCAACCGAAGCCTTCAACGCCCTCGCCACACTCGAAGCCGTTCGCGAATACAAATGCACAGCCCTTTACGGGGTACCCACCATGTTTGTAGCCGAGCTTGAGCTGCTGGCTCACGGTGCCGTGCCTAAAGATGGCTTCCAGTATCTCAGGACCGGCATCGCAGCTGGCTCTGCGATTCCTTCCGAACTCATGCGCAAGCTACACAAAAATCTGAACTTGACCGAGCTAACAATTTGTTACGGCATGACCGAGACTTCTCCCGTATCAGCTATGACTACCACGGATGATCCTATCGAGAAGCGTATTGATAGTGTTGGTCGCCTCCTCCCGCACGTTCGTGCCAAGGTCGTTAATCCGTCAGACTGGTCGCAAACCCTCAACGTAGGTCAGCGCGGCGAACTCGCCGTATCAGGCTACCTTGTAATGAAAGGATACTGGGGCGACACAGCACGCACAGAAGAAGTTCTGCAGCCAGATGAAGACGGCAGGTTGTGGATGCACACTGGTGACGAGGCATCCATGGACGAAGAAGGCTATATCAAAATTACTGGCAGGATAAAAGACTTGATCATCAAAGGAGGCGAGAACATTCATCCTCTGGAGGTAGAGAATTGTCTCTTTGCTCATCCCGCTATTAGTGAGGTTAGCGTTGTAGGCCTGCCGGACGAACGTTATGGCGAGATCGTTGCAGCGTTTGTAGTCAGACATGGGGGCGATGAAGGGAACGTGACTGCAGATGAAGTGAGAAGTTGGGTCCGGGAGAAGTTGAGCCATCACCTAGGTAAGTCGATGTATGCCCAGGCTTCTGAAGCTTAGACTCTGGACCCGAGTAAGAGCGACGCTGACTGCAGAATTCAGTGCCGAAGTATGTATTCTGGGTGGACAACTATCCCAAGACCGCCAGTGGAAAGATACAAAAGTTCAAATTAAAAGAGCAAGGTATCGCATTGCTACAGGAAGGGAAAGGATTGGTCTGATCCGCCATAAGCTTTACGCTCTGTAATGAATCAATTCGTACGATATAGCGGACCCGATGACTAATTTACAACAGAGACTTTCTACCAGCTGCATACTTTAATTTCAATACCTTCTTGGCCCCAAAGTCCGGCAAAAGTCCTCTAGCTAAGCTCCTTCGGGTTTATCCAATCGACTAATGACATGGTACAGTACTTCATGCGAGTGAGATTAGGTAGGTGGGTCGGTTTATCCTGAAGCATGTAGCCGAGGGCTTTGTGTAGCGTGGGATTCCCTTCCTTTCCCAACATGGTCAAGAGTGCCTGCGAGAAAATTCGTTGCCGATACTGTGCATCACTGCGGGCACTTGTGTGGTGTCGGGCGAAGTTGGTCATTAATAAATGTACATGTTGCAGCTCGCCTCACATTCGAGTCTGTAAGTTGGTCGATCGCTACAACTCGACGTCTTTTAGCGCGGATACGTCTACATACGTTTTGTTTGACTCGTACAGTACTCCCTCTCTATTACCAATCTGTCCGAAACGATCACCTCCTACTGGCGGATTGAGTCTCTCGTTTGAGTCACCCCAAAACAAACGCCAAGATGTCCCAACCAACCAACACAAAGACACCTACTCCCTCCAACCCCTCGTCTCTAAAATCCCGCTATGAAATACGTAAACTGGAACCCAAACACATTCCCTGGGCCACAGCAATTGTGGCTCACAGCCATGCTTTCCATTCATCAGTCTGGCAGTACATTTGGCCAGACCGGGTACTCGGCCGCTGGGCCTTGAAAGGTGCTTCACAGATGGAATATCTCGTAGAACACCAAGTCAACTCTGGGCTCTCATACGGTGTCTTTGACACGGAATACAAGTTCAAAACCAAAGAGGCTGAAGAAGTTGGTGGGAAATTGTTCTGGGATGCGAATGAGCCAGAAGAAGCTAGTGTGGAGCAAACCCAAGGACGCAAAGCAGAAGGCATGCGATTGCTCCAACAGATGGATTTTCCACTGGTCAGTATAGCTCTATCGTATGATGGATTCAATGGGCTTGATCCCGCAAGGATGGGACCGCTGCTCAAATTGTGGCCTGAGTTTACTGTGATATACGGTACTCTGGAGAAGCGCGACCCGAGAGGTCCTTCGGAGTGGAAACCTACTGCACCGAGGCAGGTGTTGATGCGCAATGCCACGTCTACACGCCACGACTATGAGGGCGAGAAAATTGCGTCTGGTGCGGCGCGTTGGTTGAGGCGCGAGGCAAAGTTGATGGGCTTCCGAGGCATTCAGATCGAGTGTATGGCAAATGCTGTAACGTATCTTTGGAGTGATGGTGTTGAGGAGCCGTTCAAGGGAAGGGTGATTAGTGAGTTTGACACTGAGACTCTCGAGATTGAGAATGGGGACAAGCCGTTTGGGTTAGTGAAGCAGAGGGTTACCAAGTGTTGGGTCGACCTATAAACATGGTGGTGACTCAGACGGCAATGGAGAAATGATATATGCAAACTAGACGGGCAGTATATTACGTGATGGTTCTTATCAATCAACGATGTTGCCTTGGGGTAATTTTGGTGCGTAGAACTATCGTAAAGTCATAAGATAGAACTGAACGAACTATGACCTTCAATGCTCTGGTACCGTCCATTGCTCAAGCAACACATCAACGACGTCTCGGTCGCCTGGGTCAAAGGGTTCTTCGATCCCGAATATCTGTTTTCTCTTCTTCTCCCTGTGTGATAAAGTACTGTATGCGCCTTCGAGACCAACATCTAGAGTACTTCTTATACGTCGTATCTTGTTATCACGAGGACGGTCGGCTTCTTGCTCCAGCTTATCGTCCGACGGAGGGCGCACCACTGGGTCGTGCATGTCGTCTGGAATCGATGTTGTCTCCTGGGTGTGAGTGTTCCACTGACGAACGGCATTTGGCACAGTGGGACGCGACCGCTTCCGCTTCTGGGTGCTTCTCAATGATCTTGTCATTAGACTTTCGTCTTCAGGTAACCTTCCTCCATCAAACTCTTCAAATCGTGATCCCTCTTTTGCTTTTCGCCGGCTGGGTTTCACAATTGGGGACTGTCGTACGTGACCGTTGGCATTTGTCCGTGGTGCGTTCCTTTTGTTGGTACTCCGTAGACTCCTCCGTCCTTGCTCGTGTAGAACTATGGCAGGCTCACCTAACATATCTATATCGATGGGCGAATGTCTAGTAAAACTCCTAGACGTCGTTTTCTGCGACTGCTGATGTACATACTGATGGCTCTGGGCATTAAGGGCGGGTGATGTAACCGGGCTGAAGTAGGCTCCCGGTACGACGAAACCAGGGATCTGGAAGCGCGCATCACAAGAGGAAACTGCTTCGGAGTTCATCTTTGGTACGGCTAGCATAGACATAGGTGGGCCTCCATGCTGTGTCATCAGCTCAGCTAGTCCTGGCGACTGACTAATATCACTCCTACTCCGGCTGCGTTTAATAACGTTTCTAGGACCTTCAGCTGCAGATAGACCTATAGAACTACTCGGCTCTGCTTCTTTTCCGTAATTGCTTAGGTTCGTATTAATTCGAGGCGACTTCGGACGACCCCAGCTACCTATGCGCTTTGGCTTTTCGATGATCGATTCTTTAGACTTGTCCGAGGCTGTGTCGGACTGTTGTACAGGTATGCTACCTTTAAGTTTGAGCAGAGCGCGATTGGAATCGGATTGAAAGTCTTCTGGTTGCGGTTCGTTTAGGTGTCGTCGTGGTGGAAGCGGTGACGTTGGTTGCTGCTGCTCAGGCACTACTGGAAACGGCGGGCTCTCAGACCCGACATGAAGAAAACTGTCAAAGTCAAAGTTCTCTAGAGCGCCCCCTCCCATGTCACCCAAATCCAACGCGTGATTGTATTGGTTCGAAGACCGTGTGGCCGGAGACCCATACCTTGATGGACCCATAGCTTGAGTAACATTGATACCTGATTCAAATTTGCGGCAGAAGCGTTGGTAGATTTTGCGTACGCGTCGCTTCTGATGGGGTTCTTGGTTGTTTTCGAGGCTCTTTTGAAGCACTATAATGCGCCTGAGCAGTTTTGTAACGTGCTTCGCCGCTTTTGATAGTTCCTCTCTAGATATATGCTCATCGTCTTCGTCCGTCATTGTGGCATCGCTGTCGGAGGTATCGGAATCGTCTGTGGCAGAGATATCGATAGTGAGAGTGCTCGTCTGGGACTCTATGTGCTCCTCCAGAGGTGGCAGTTTCATGGTTTGAGCGTTAGTCATGAGCTCCAGTGTTGGAACACAGGAAGCGTTGCTTGATCCTTGGAGAGTCTCTTCGTCGTCGATTGCAACACCGCAAAATCTGCTTTCTAGAGCTTGTAGGCTTTTGATTGAGTCCTGCTGCCGTTGGTGCAGTTCACGGATCTTGTCGCGCTCTTCTTCCATGACGCTCTTTTCCATTTTGCTACGACTGTTGTCAGCTGCATTTCATGCGCGGCGGTGGAATCCTCGACTCACCCTCGCGACTGGCCTTGTGCCAATTGCAACACATGCAACAAGAGTACAAGGCTGTTCTTCAAGCTTTCTAGCCTCTTCCGATGTAATTCAACCCGCTGTTCTTTCATCGGCCATGCCAATTTACCCATCATACTCAGGGTCTTCTTTCCGTCCTTTTCTGTCTTTCTTCTCTTCTCCACCATCTCCGATAGTTGGTCGAAAACGCCTTGGCATCTTTTGATGATATTGTGGGCGTCCTGGACAGCTTTCTTCGAGATGATCGACTTTGTGTCTTCAGACTCAAACACCCTTCCTACGCTTTCGAGCGCGTTGGAAGTGAGTTCTACGTCGTCGGCGATGTCTCTAATGTCTTGGTCTGCTCGGGCAGCTGAGCTCGTGAAGTTGTATAATGTGACGCTGAGTTTGGCTCCAGCCCCCGCGATCTGAATGATGCTAGCTGCGAGGCCCACGACTTCGGCCATTGTAGGATAATCGCTACGTAAGCATCAATAGTGTGTTCGAAAGTATCGCGTCATTGTACTGATCATATGGAGGGCGAGGATAAAGGTGGTTCAAGGTCAGGGTAGGATCCACACACAGGCTGAGCCCCTGCTGCGGCTGAGGCGCATGCTGCATGGCTTGCTGTGGGGGCTGAAGCGAGCAACGGCATCATCCTACGAGATGTGTAGAGGCGCCAGCATTTCGACTGTAGTTGATTACCGCATGTTCGAAGTACGATGAGGCCAAGCGTCACTACGTAGGCAATATTGTAGATGCTCTCGTTATATGTGCTTGCAGGTCTAGATTCTCGAGGATGCACTTCACCGAGCAACACTGATATTGCGTCCGCCTCAGCCAATCTAGCTCGACGGGCTTCTCTTAATAGAGGATAATCAACACTTTCGCAATTTTTTCTGGCGATGTATAGAACGCATGTCGCGTCCCTTGGGTTGGATAATTGGAAATCGTACAGAATGGTGAAAGAATGATTCTGGAAGTAAAAGACACAAAGGGTGTAGACATTACGTTCCGGAGCTAGATTTTGGGTATATGGTGGAACTTTATCTTGGTGTAGAAAGAAAATACATCAGCGGCACAGCACTTGTGCCCCTTCGTCCATCGTCTTCTCATCTAACATGTACGAGTTCGGGCGTTTGCTGGTAGTAATCCTGCTGGCCATTGCCATAGGCGTACGTCGCTTGCTGCTGCGTAACAGGCACATATACTGGCTCGGTCTTCTCGATCGTCTGGCTCCAGGAGATGTGTTTGGCGATGCACATCAGAGTTACAAAAGTCAGGATTTGTGACAATGTCGAGATAAACGACAGGGCAATCATTGCCTCATTCGAAACAGAAGATTCATAAGGCCAGAAGTAGAAGGATGAGAAGACGATCCCTAATACGGAGTAGACGAATAAGGTGATATAAAGAGCCGTTACCCAGCCGATGAGGTCCTACAAACTTGTTAGTGGATGCAATAGTAGACCGTATTTGCCGTCAACTTACGCCTCCGGGTAGGCGTCGAGATCTCAACGCAGAGACATTCGATAGCGAGAAGGCCGCAGAGACGATGACGCTAATCAACCATAAGATGTCGACTGTGAGTGAGAGGGCTTGTGCAGTGACCATCGTGAGAGCAAAGTCGAAGTTCCAGTACTTGCTGCTTATCGAGACGTAGCTGGAAAGTGCCAAGTCGGCAATCATGACAGCGGCCATGACCCCAATGATGATCCAAGACACGGTCTTGGATCCAGAAGATGTAGTTTCGAGTTGCTTAAGCAGCATAGAGTTTAGGATGTAGACGAAGATGACGAGCAGCATCCAATTAGCCAGGCGGGACATGACGTTGGACGCTACCGATAAATTCAGATAGTCGTCGACGCTCAGGTCACTGCACTGATACATGAGCTCGCCTATGAGAACCAAAAGGCGCGAGCTTAGAGCAGTCAGCATTTATGGAGTCTGTGATGCAGGAGTAAGACTTACAGAACTTGGAAGAAAAGTGCGACGACAAAGGGTACGCCAACCAATTTCTTTCCGCCCTCGCTCTTCCTGCGAACGAAGAATGTCGCGATGGAGAGCCCCAGGAAAAGGACAAGGAATACCACATCGTATGCGAGGCTGGCTTGGGCAAGTGGTGACATGAAAGCTCCCGAACATGTTGAAGTCATATATCCGGCGCCACTACCACCCCCCCGTCTTGGTGCCATGATGAACGCTGTGTGGTAATGCAAGCGCAAATCTGGAGGCTCAACTGTCGTTGCGGTCGCTGGTTCAAGGCTCTGGGAATATAGGGACACAGCTGGATACTCAAAAGATGATGAAGTACAACGTCCGCAAAACACGGTTCACGGCACTCGAGAGTATTTCAGCATTATCGTCTGCATGCTATGTTCGTGCTGCGCCTCTTAAAAGCCTGCATCGTTCCCGTAATTCTCATTTTGCGAATAGGATCAGGGGCATTCGAGGCGTCGCTAAGCCATTCAAAGCACTTGCTGGCCGCCTTGACTGGTCCCACAAGGGTGGAAGCGAAGGTGCGCGACATTCGATGGACGCCTTAAATAGGACCTGCAGCCTCGGCGCGTAGGGTCGCAGCGTGTCAGTCCATGATCCCAGTGGTTCTGATGAAGTAGATACTAAGGGCACGGCGATTCTTTGTCGCACCGCTCAGTCCTGAAATGCGAAGGGGAGAACCGATCAAAGAGACCCGGGCAAGAGTTTATTCCGACCCCGATCCCGAAACGGTCGGGCTGTGTTGAAGCTAGCAGCGGTGTGCGGGTATTCGGAGGTTTGCGTGCGGCAGCTTAAATATCGAAGGCACGGTAGGTTGCAAAGTGGGACGATGGGTGGGACAATGCGACGAAGCCAAGGCACCCCTCCAGGGACGGCGAGGTGGCTGGAGAAACACGTGACGTGGCGGACTCGCGAGCGGATGAGCTTCCGCGACGCAGGGCTCGGCATTACATCATGTACATCTTCATCTTTGATTAAAATATGAAAGCCACTTCCCAGCAGCTGCTATTGACGGGCACCGGTTCTCTCGGAGACGATCTGTCAGCTGTCTTGGTTTATCTCACCAAAACCTGCCTGTCGTCTTACATCTGGTCGTGAATTCACAAAGTCCGCCCGTTCCGATGATTCCGTTACAAGGGACCCGTGCCACAGCTTCGTTTTGACAGCCACGAACATCCAGATCGACATCAGCCAGACAGTATATATCGCCAGGCTTCCGTTCATCAATAAGCCAACCCTCGAACCACAAACAACGCGACATCAAAGTTAGAAAGCCAAGGCACCCATCTGACACTGCAGACGCATGAGGGATCGGCAATGACACACGTACTGCAGGGACTCTCGACGCGACCGCCACTCAGCAGTCAGGATACGTGGACGGCCAACGCTGCATCGGAAACCTTGGATGTGGACGGCGCAACAAATTTAAAATCTCAAGATGATGAGCACGCAGGAGAGTCACGAAGTCAAAGCACCACAGCTATTCCATCTGATGACAGCGGCTCAGAAACGCAGTTGGTCGAAAAGCCAGGAAGCAGGAGAAAAAGTATCCAAGTTGTGCTAGAGCAATCAGGTAAAAAGGGCGAGTATACCTTCACGGCAAAAGATCCAGTTTTCCAAGAGGTTTTGCAGTCCGGGCTGCGGCGAGAGGCCGAGAAACTGAGCGGAAAACTCAAGGGCAAGCCAAGGGATCTCGTCTTCACGCAACAGTTTACCACATTCGACCGTCAAAATGCTTCCGCTGCGCATTCTCCATTCCATGGATTTTTCACATTATTCTGGATCGCGATGGCTTTGTTGCTTGCGCGAATAGCAGCAAAAAACTACAGGACCAAGGGCTCCGTATTCGGGGATGCGGAAATTCTGCATTTGATGATCGATAAAGATTTGTTTGTCATGTTGACAACGGATGTGGTAATGTGTGTGGCGACCAGCTTCGGCTTCTTTCTGCACAAGGCCATAGCCAAAGACTATTTGACGTGGAACGGCTCAGGCTGGCTTATACAGTCTCTGTGGCAAACATTCTTCACATGTACCATTATTTGGGTCACCTTCTGGCGAGATTGGCCTTGGACCCACACTGTCTTCATCGTTTTACACGTCTTCGTACTACTGATGAAGCAGCACGCCTACTCTTTCTACAACGGTTACTGTATGTCATGTGGTCGAACTTGGCAAGTCTTGGGCTAACTATCAACAGTATCACGGGTGCATAGACGACGCAACCTGTTGCGCGAAAAGCTACATCAGCTCGATGACATCAAAGCGAAAGAGGGCCCAAACCAAACGTCTTCTCCAGCTGAGGCGCTGACAGCCTCTGGTGTCAACAGCCCTGACCAAGGCGAGTTGACACAGCGAGGAAGTGTTGGCCCGAAATACTCGACGAATCTCTCAAAGGAAGAATCGGAAATTGCATCTATTGGGCAAGCTATTGAAGCTGGAAGCCCGCTCGATCCAGAACAAATTGAAGCCTTCCGACGCGTGCTCAACACTGAGATCACAATCCTTGACGAGGAACTTCGCGGAAAGTGTACCACGACGGACAACGTCTATCCAAACAACTTGACGTTCTATAACTTCGCGGAGTGGACGTGTCTCCCAACGCTTGTCTACGATCTAGAATATCCTCGCCAGGAGCGAATAAATTGGTGGTATGTCGCCGAAAAGTCGGCTGCCACTCTGGGAGTCATCTGGGTCATGATTGTCATCTCGCAAGCATACATCTACCCTGTGGTCGTTGAGACTGTGCGGCACAGAGACGCTGGCATGTCACTGGACGAGCGGTGGAAGGAGTTCCCGTGGGTTGGTAAGTGTTGCACCATCAAGAAATGATGAAATCTTGGCTAACTAGTCTGCCTAACAGTATCCGATATGCTCTTCCCCCTCCTCATCGAACAACTTCTCAGTTGGTACGTAATATGGGAATGTCTACTCAACGTACTGGCAGAAGTCACTAGGTTTGCTGATCGAGGTTTCTACGGCGCATGGTGGAACTCCGTGTCTTTCGATCAATACGCTCGCGACTGGAACCGACCCGTTCACAACTTCCTGCTTCGACATGTTTACCACTCTTCAATCTCTTTCTTCCATCTGTCCAAGATGCAGGCAACGTTCTTTACCTTCCTGCTGAGCGCTATCGTGCATGAGGTCCTTATGTTCTGTCTGTTCAAGAAGGTCAGAGGGTATCTGTTTACATTCCAGCTGACGCAACTACCATTGGCGGCGTTTAGTAAGACGAAGTTTATGAAGGGACGGGATACGTTGGGGAACATCATCTTTTGGTTTGGTCTCTTCATTGGACCCAGCGTCATCACCAGCCTGTACCTAATCGTTTAGACGTACTAGTACGTGGTAGATTTAGAGGTCTCTTCATTGATTGTTACGCAATTTGCTCAGCGCTGACTTGTGTTTCTCTGATTGGGACTGAGTTATTCAATCTTCTGAAGTATCCGCACCCTTGTTCTTTCCCTCCCTCAATACTTCCAACACCCGTCGCGTCAGCCTGTCGCGCTGACTGACATCTATAGTGCCGTATGCATCCTGAGATTGCCGGAAGATCTTTTTCTCCCACCCATCCCCGACGTTCGGCTTCCCAGAATCTTGCCAGCAATCTTGCACGGTACCTCCGATATTCTTGAAGAAGCCTTCCAACCCAGCCGGTCCGCCGCCAGCATGATAGCTCTTGAAAGGCCCAGCAATCGCCCATCGTGGCCCCATACTACTCTCCACAATGCTATCCAGTTCCTCTACTGAAACGACCCCCTCGTCGACAAGATGAACTGCTTCGCGTAAGAGTGCAAACGCCAGTCTATTCGCTACAAAGCCCGTTGTTTCCTTCTTGATATGTATTGGCACTCTTCCACGGAGAGTCCAGAACTCCTGCGTTCGTTGGATGACCTCTTTTGATGTATCTGGCGATGGAACAAGTTCCAGCAATGGCATAATGTGCGGTGGGTTGTACGGGTGCACTACCAATAATCTCGATTTGTCCTGCATGTCTTGTGCTTGCTCTGATGCCGGTATTCCGGAAGTGCTACTCCAGAATAGAGAATGCTCAGGCGCGTGTTTCTCTACATTGGCCCATAGTTCCTTTTTGAAGGCTAGATTCTCCGGACCTGATTCCTGGATGATATGTGCGTCTTCCACGGCTGATTCGAGGGATGTAGCGATGCGAATGTTGGATATAGCGGCGGCTGAAGGCTCCTCTGCGAAGAATTTAGGTAGGTTCTCCTTGACGTATTCATCGACATTTGACCGGGTATCATAGATGGTGAGCTGAGAAGGGCCAAGTAGGTGTGACAGGTGGAACGCGGCGAAAGATAGACCAATAGTTCCGGTGCCAATAAGAGTGATCCTGAGGTCTTTGTTGCTTTCTACCTTCAGGATAGGGTCGTGTTGCGATTCTTCTGCCTCGGACATTTTGGTCGTATAAGTAATGTTTCGCTCTGTCGGGTCGTAGTACGATGTGTGCAAGCTGCAGCGGCCACAAGAAGCTACTGCATCTAGACTTTATGTGCAAACGATTCCGGTTCTCCGACTAAGTCTCGAGACTGTGACGATCTGCTGTGTGACAATGATGCGGCTCTTACCTACCCTGGCTTGGATGTTACCCGGGAGAATGTCAGAGAGCGTGCCGATCTTTGCTGTTTTTGGATGGCTCGGTTGCTGCTATAACCCCGCCTTGTACCTATCCCCGCTCCACGATCGACTCGAGTGGTGCGAATCCGATAGGAATGGGCGCGCCGAGGAAGGATGATGACGGTCACCTATTAGAAGACATGGACGCAGGATTTCCGCTTGTAAGTCGTCCCTTGTCCTGATCCGTTGCGACTTTGGCATTTGCTTCCTCGTTTCCACATCACCGATCATAAGGCGCGCCTTGCTTTGTAGCTGTTGACGAGCTGATCGTATCAACATGGTGATCTTCAAGTCAAGACAGCCGCCCATCGACTGTTCGTTTCCACTAGTCGCCACGAGACCGCATTGCTAACACTGATAGTGCCCACCGAGCTAACAGATTGGGACTGGCTATTCGATTCCGCCTACTCACCCATCAAAAAATATGCACCAAATGAACTTGCTGGATTTCAAAATGCGATTACAAAAGAACGTGTGAACTGGGCTGATGTCAAGAAATACTCGACGTACATCTCTACGGCGCTTGTCAAGAAGTATGGTCTTAAAGAGGGCGAAACGGTGGCGCTCTTCAGCCAGAACACTGTGTGGTACCCAGTAGCCATGTTTGCGGGACTCCGTGTGGGAGCAAAGATTAGCGGTGCTAGCCCGGCATACAATATCGAGGAAATGACTTTTGCGCTAAAGACTGCGGATGCAAAATTTCTTATGACGACGCCAGGTAGTATGGAAATTGCTGCGGCGAGTGCAAAAGCTGCAGGTCTACCCCAATCGAATGTTTTCTTGCTAGAGGGCGAATTGCCGGGATATACCACCGTTCAAGATCTGATCCATATGGGAGAGTCGTATGGCGAGTCTGGGCAGACACCATCTTTCAAACTACCGCCTGGTAAAAAGAACAAAGACGTCTGCGGGTTTCTGTCCTTCTCGTCAGGAACGACCGGATTGCCAAAAGCTGTTATGATCAGCCATCAGAATGTCATAGCGCAATGTCTCCAAGTTCAGCAGATTACGCCAACGAACCAAAAGAAGATCATGGCCGTACTGCCGCTTTTTCATATCACCGGACTGGTCCACCAGATGCATCTCCCTGTTCTTCTGAATGCAGAGGTCGTCATGCTCCCGCAGTTCACGATGGAGAAGATGCTCGATGTCATTGTTGAGTATAAGCTGAACGAGCTGCTGCTAGTTCCACCGATTCTCATCAGACTAGTGCGCGATCCTTTGGTCGACAAGTACGACCTTAGCCATGTCACACGCTTTTCTTCTGGTGCAGCTCCACTGTCAGAAGAGATCATCCAGCAGCTCCAAAAGAAGTTTCCCAAGACAGGCTTTAAGCAAGGATATGGCATGACGGAATCGTGTTCTTGCATCACTGCGCATCCACCGGAGAAGTTCTCATACAAGTACGCGCACTCAGGTGGTGCAATCGTAGCCTCCACCGAGGTCAAGATTATCAAAGACGATGGTACTGAGGGCGATGTTGGCGAAGATGGTGAAGTACTGGCTCGCGGTCCGCAAGTCGTAATGGGCTATCTCAATAACGAGAAGGCTACTCGCGACACTTTCGATGCCGATGGTTTCCTCCATACCGGTGACCGGGGCGCTATCGACGAAGAGGGAATGATCCACATCTCCGATCGTATCAAAGAACTCATCAAAGTAAAGGGCATTGGCGTCGCGCCGGCTGAGCTCGAAGATTTGCTTCTAGGCCACCCGAAGGTCGAAGATGTTGCAGTGATGAGCGTGAAGGACGATTACTCTGGTGAGCTTCCGAAGGCTTATGTTGTCTTGAAGCCAGGAACGGAGGAGAGTACAGCTATAGGAAAGGAAATCATTGAGTATGTCAAGGAGAAGAAGGTGAGGTACAAATGGGTAAAGGAAGTGGAGTTCATCAGCGAGATACCGAAGAGTCCTTCTGGTAAGATACTAAGAAGAATTCTAAGGGATAAGGAGAAGAGTGGAAAATTTGGGCTTGTTGTTAAGGATGAGGCTAGGGCGAGGCTATAGACGCTGCATGTTATTGGTTCTTGCACCCAGAAGGTCTGGTGGCATTACAGTCACATTTAGGCAAAGACGAGACCAGTGGCTGACAGCGGTAGCCTGAATATTTGTTTCTTCTAGTCACTGATGTGTTCGGTGAGTTAAAGACCTCATGACAGGAAGGCTGTACTTCTGGTAGGTTCTGACTGGCTAAGCTGAGCTTTGCTGCGCCACCGCATTTCCTGACAAAGTATACATACCGGTTTTCAGCACTTTCGCCAGCGCATCTCCAAGGTCTAAGCCCCAGAGATTCCGAATATTTTCCAAGGCGAGTTCTGTTAGGCAGATGGTGCTTTATCATGCTTATACTCATAAATACTTTGTCTATTTATCCGGCTGTTGGACCACCTCAAGAGTCTTAGTCTACACCATAGACCTTAGCGTCATTGAAATATGATGTGGTCGAAAGATGTTATCCTCAGCATTGTTGGCGTTGTGGTCGCGATCGTATCAATTGTCGCGGCGATAAGCAGCATCTGCTACCATCGCAATTTCGTCCTTCCTGTTGCACGTAGCGCCATATACAAGGCGTCTCGTCTACACTTCTTCCTCAAACACTACGGTCCTATCGGTATAGCGCTTTGGTGCTTTGCTAGTCGGGAGGTATGGCAGATCCAGCTACAGGTCATGCGCAGCGTCAATGATGCGGATGCCACAGATTACAAGAAGTCGGCTCAAGAAGACAGTAGTATTGTGGCCGTAGCAGTAAGTCCATAAGGCTGTTCTCGTTCGTCTTGCTCAGCTAGTTGGATACTAGGGAACAATCATCGCTCAGATCGCTATCACCGCTCTTTCCTTGGAAGGGCTTAGCAAGACCCATTGGGTTGCGCAGGCGTTCTTTACTTTCAGCTTAGTCTCGGCAATTATGGCGGTCTATTATGCCACTAGACAGTATCGTACCCTGGGACGCTGTTTGCGGATTGACCAAGTGAAGACTTGGATCTGTGGAAAGAACTGTTCCACAGGCCCAACCTCATCTCTACCTCCAGGAAGTACGTCCAAGTGAACCCAAAATGTACACCGAATCCCACAAGCAAACAGTTTAGCGAGGCCGACATGAGCATGTTCGGAGCAGATACGGTCAAGACCGAGACCGCGGAGGGTAGTTCAGGATGATTAGAAAAGAGACTTGGATGTAGATTCTGGAAAAGATGGAAGTCGTGCTGTATTCACCACATACATCGTAGGGCTAATCTTCTGTTACGGAGTATACACGCTCTCTGGCGCAGTCGTTGCTAGTGACAGCCACATGAGTGAGCACGACCTGCTCTATGGAGTGGGGACTGCTTGCTCGACAGCTCCGCAAATCAACGGAGATGAAGAAAGCTTAGCGGGTACTAACAATCAGCCAGATATCGACACTTCAATATACAGGAGTGGGAATGATGGAGGCTTGCGACAAAGAAGCTCTTCCCAGACGCTCTGTAGGCCAAACCAAGATGCTTTTCAATGTAGCGGCATCTTTGCACAAGATTCAAATCGCGGCGAAGAGCTCTTGCAACTCTTCCAAGAGGCCACTAATTTGCGAAAGACATCAGCCGAGTTGGACGAACGCTTCGCATACCTGTTTGGGAGGCTTCAGTGAGCTCAGTGTTGGGTTGCGAGCTACGTTTGGTGATCGGTCAGGATGTATTCGGCAGGGCAACTTCGCGGATTTCTGGAATGGCTGGAATCGGCTATCGCAACAGTATTTATGAGCTGTGTGTATGGTCCATTTAGGAAATGGGCGTAGTACTCATCTTGACTTGCCAAGCAGTCTATGTGAGTACACGGATGACAAATGACGTGTGAGGGGTCGGCGTTGTGCCCCTCCGACGGGGTTTTGGGCAAAAAAAGTTCCTCCCGAAGGTGCAATTCGACATTTCTAAGCAATACACTACAAGGACTCATATAACATCGCACATACTGCAGTGCGCATTCTGTACACGTCCTGTACCTACTATTCCCCCTGCAAAAATCGTTATCGAGCAAGCCCACAACATGTCAAGCACAAACCCCATGTCGAACCAGCCTCAACACGACGAGGACGACATCGATGTACACGATGTAGACAACACACTTGACGCCGAGGAGGCCGACGAAATCGTAGAGGACGATGGCGACGTTCCCATGGACTCAGACGACGAGGGCGACGAGGGTCGCCAAGAAATGCAAATGGAGATCAACCTACAAAACGACTCCGTCGCGCATTTTGACCAACACAAGGACAGCATCTTTTGCATAGCGCAACATCCAGTGCACCACGAGGTCATCGCCACAGGAGGCGGCGACGATGTCGGCTACATTGTCGACGTGTCTTCGGCGGCAGCAGCGCAACCAAGCAGCGACGGACAACCCACCGAGCGCGACGGCCTGAAGAGCATCTTCACGCTAGACGGACACAAGGACTCGGTCAATGCCATTACATTCACTCAGCCAAAGGGACAATTCGTAGCAACAGCTGGCCTGGACGGCAAACTGCGTGTTTGGCAGGGCGTTCCCGACGGCAAGAAGTGGAAGTTCCTAGCAGAGGCGCAGGAGGTTGAGGAGATCAACTGGGTCGCCTCGAACCCGTCGCCCGACCATCCCAATGTTATCGCGCTTGGCGCAAACGACGGCTCAGTATGGGTGTACCAGATTAGCACAGAGAAGAACAACGAGCTACAGGTGCTACAAGCTTACTACCTCCACACCGAGACCTGCACTGCCGGCACATGGTCGCCCGACGGTTCCCTCCTCGCTACCATCTCCGAAGACTCGAGTCTGTACGTGTGGGATGTATTCGGAGATGCTGCCTCCCAGGGTCTCACAGCGACTACCGACTCGCAAGCCGTGGTTGGTCTCACAGGCCTGGACGAGCGTTTCCGTGTTGAGGGCGGACTTTACTCTGTCGGTATCCCGCCATCTGGCGCATTCGTCGCAGTCGGTGGCCCCGAAGGTCAAATCCGAATCGTCGGTCTACCGCGCCTTTCCCTCGCCGCGCCCGCTCAAGCATCAACATCGTCGAGTGGTGGAGGCGCAAAGAACAAGGCTGGCGGAGGCAAGCAGGCTGGTGCCAAGGGCGGTGCGTCATCAGCCGGTCAAGCTGGACAGATCCTGGCTAGTCTCCAGGCAGGAAGCGACAACGTCGAGTGCATGAGCTTCTCGTCCGCGCCCCTCACCCTCATGGCCGCCGGCAACGTCGACGGCTCCATCACCCTCTTCGACACCGCACATCGCTTTGCCGTCCGAAGGCGAATAGAAGATGCGCACGCCGACGAAGAGTCCCCACAGGCTGTCGTCAAGCTCGAGTTTGTCGCCAAGGAAGGTCCAGGAGGTTGGTTGCTGACGAGCGCGGGATACGACGGTGTCCTGAAGCGATGGGATGCACGAGGCGGAACAGCTGCGGCTGGAAAAGGCCTCGTGGGCGAATGGAAGGGACACAGGGGAGGCGGTGAGGGAGGAGGTATCATGGCCTTTGTACAAGGAGCTGGTGAGGCAGTTGTCACAGCTGGCGACGACCATGTCGCGCTAGTCTTCAAGACGCCCATCTCACAGTAGACACTTTTCCAGCTCAATGTTCAGGAAACACTATCTGACCTGGTATACACGAACATCTCACTCACCCATACCGTTCCGTGTGCACGTTATCGGTTCCTGGCTACCATATACAACACAACGCCGAAAACCCGAGTCAAACAAGTATGAAACCACCTACCCAAGCACGACCGAACAATCTCACAAACTCGTCTGTATGGCCCCGGGTAACGCCTCCACTACCATCAACACTCTTTCCATAAGTTGCTTCATCTGGTAGGTACTATTGGTAGCGGATATAGCTTGCTGGCCGTCGTGTTCTAGATGTGCTACACGCTACGGGGCAATGCAGAGCGTATGTGCGGGGAGAGGGGGGGAATTTGAGCCATGGAAAGCCTGTGAGAGTACGGATGTGCGTTATTAAAAGAATGGATATCCACGTCTTGCACTACATGAACGCACTAAGGGAGAGGTGGGAAGTTTAAGGGAGCTGGTTGTGAGGGGCAGTTAGATAGACTAAAATGGTACATTCAATTACACTAACAGTTTCGGTATCTGTACAACTTCGAGTGCTTGGGCAGGACTACGTGTGGGTACCTCGCCATATTGACTTGGCTTATTCGTCTATAAGACAAGGATAAGACAGCAATGCCCGATAACAACCCAACATTCTCTCTCTCGTAGATAAGATTGTCGACCCAATCTATTCACGAAACCAAAAACACGGGAAGTCGTCGTACCTCACGGGTGCAGTACCCATCTTCCCTCCTTCGCTTAGGCATCTGGAGAAGGAATGGATCGTCCAACGGCACATGTGATGCGCGGCACAAACGTCCGCCGCGAATCCCGTACAGAGGAACAACTGTGAACCCTGGAACATGTTGTCCAGACCAGTAACGCCACTCTGTCGCGGATTTCGCTACTGTGAGTGTAGTAAACAAATAAAAAAGTTGAGTTTGGTAATGCCTTCCGAAAACAGAGGCACCGTCATCTCGCTTCCCCTTCCCCTGCTACACATGTCGTTCTCAAACGAGAGATCTCCGCGGCAACCTCATCCGCCGAACCTTTTTTCTTTCCAAAACAGAAAATCCTCTTTCGGACCGAAACGAGGAGCATTACGCAAGATAGGAGAATGGGGTGATATGATGCAATAGCAAGACCCCGTTGTCTCTGTTTCCAACGTGTCCGATGCACGAGGGGCCAGAGACCAGGGAAAAGGTGCGGAATTCTGAGCACGCTAACCCAGGGTGAAGCAGTGGCGATTATCCCGGACATCATGCCCGTTGAGCAAATTTGAAGATCGCTAGGCAATAAAAGCAATTTCTCCGTAACCAATGGAGGATCACTCAGCAGGAAACTTTGTGCAGTTGTTGGTACTGGCGGAGACGAGCTGAGGCTTTCGTCATAGCTGAATGTATGGTTCACCTTTCGCTACTATACGAGAATACTACAGACCAATTGCAATTTGGGATGAGCACACAAAGTTCAACTTCGTATATGTGCATGAATGGTTAGTTCCTACAGCATACTCCTAGGAAACTTCTGCGATCGAGCACATGGCTCACTGGTATGTAGCTATGACATGCACCTGGCAGTCTCCCCCGTTGAACCTCCACTATATTGTGGATATCTGCCGCTCGCTCTCGGCATTAGACATCATTCTTGTGGAGCTAGAGAAGTCAGATAGGCTCACCATGTACTATGGACTCGGGTTCTCTGTGGGGTATAAATTGCTAGTTTAGGTGCATGTATGTCCGGCATGAACGGGGCTGCCGCGCGGGACAAAGGGCCGTTGTAGAAGGCCCGAATCAGCCTGTGGTACGCAACGCGTACTAACGCTGACAGCAACGAGGTACGCCAGAAGTTGGTGTCTTGAACAGTGTTGGACTTCGTGTGCTCCGGAGAGACCTTCCGGGAGCCAATAAGAGTGGTCGCTTGATACGTCATCTCTGGTTGCGGCTGACTTGACGTTTGACAAGAAGTGGGGACTGCTAGGCGTAGCGGGTAAGCGAGGCGTGATCAGAACGACAGGTCGTGGGGCAACAGGATGCGTGTTGTTGGGATTTAGATCGGTCAGGATGGCCATGGAGGAAGTGCAGACCACCACACCACACCACAAGGAAGACAGTATGTTGATCAAGGTATCCGTTGATGTATAGCCAACTACTTGAGAGAGATGTCTAGTAATGATCCCTCCACATTTTGCTTTATTATGTGTAAACAGTAAACTCGTAGGCGGTGAAATATCCCACCTCTGGTTCAAACGCCATGTCATCAGTCGTGGCCACTGCAGCTCGAACTAGCTGGTCATTGCAGCAAATGCAATAAAGAAAAGAAGAAGAAGCTTTTAGTTGCTCAAAGTAGGGCAAGGCCCAGGGGTATCGTGAAGTGATTGGAAGAAGTGAGGAAAACTTGCAACCCAACAATCTACACTCGGTATCGAAGAAGTCAGGGTGGTGCGGGATGCGTTAACAATAAAAGGCCTTGAATGCGAGAATGTTCAACTTGGCTTCCTATGCCTCCAAATCATCCATGTCTTCATCGGTAAAGTCCTTGAGGAGTTCGAGGCCGCCAAAGTCATCGGCATCACCGGAACTCATGGATCCCATACTGGTCTCCCGGGCATGTTGGTGAACGGTGTTAGGGGAAGTCATGACGGGGCTGTGGTTGCTGTTGTTGAGCCGTGGTGCAGCGTGGTGGCCAGGCATACCAGGTGCAGGTGCATCCATACCGAGAAGGCCACCAGCACATCTTGCTAGGTACTCGTCGATGGCCCAGAAGCCACAGCCAGCATGGGCCAGTACTTCGTTCTTAAGGTCAAGGACTTCCTCACGTAAGAGAGCGACATTCTCCTTGAGCATCTTGTTCTTTGCGGAGAATTCGCGTGCGCGGCCTTCGAGGCTGTTGATGTACTCCTTCTTGCGCTGCCTGCATTTGTGAGCAGCGACACGGTTCTTCTCGAGATGAGTCTGTCGGGCCGAAGAGACCTGGAAGGGATAGCCGTCTGCAGTGTAGGCCTCAATCATCTGAGGTTGCGACTTGGGCCTGCCCCGCTTACGCTTTGGCGGCTGGGGGTTGCCGTCGGCATTGTCTTGGTGTTGCGGGACGGCGGCGCTAGGCAGTTCGCCGGCAACCATATCCTGATTGGCCGAATCATGGCGACTAGGGCGTTGTCGCTTTGCGGGCGACATGTGTGGCGAGGGTTCTTGCTTTGGCCTTAGGGCGGTCTCGTTCCGCAATTCGTCGACGGGAATTGAGCCTTCGCGATCTTCGCGATTGGGTTGAACTGGGGAGTGTTCTTCTGGCGGGGTGACTTGACCATAGCGCTCCATTGTGGCGTGTGTAAGCAGGGAAGGTGGAATGGAGAAGGACTGCTGGGGCGGCATAGAGGTGGGATTGCTGAAGGCAGTCGCCCACTTGGCTTGCTGTGGGCTTGCGTTGGACTGCTGCATGGCAGTGAAAGCATCGCCAGCCCAGTCAAATGAATATGACTGTTGAATTGCTGTCATGGTGGATTGCGGTGTGTGTTGCTGCTGTGAAGTGATGGTGATGGTGTAGTGTGGTGTGGTGTGGTGGGGGAATGTGTCGTGCAGCCTGAGGCCGGGGCCTTGTTATAAGTAAGAGGGCAGGCAATTGCAGAGCGGAGAAAAGGACCGAGAAAGGGTAGATGAACGTTGGTTTCGAAGGAGCAGATTTGGGCAAAGCGGATGGGGACGGAGAAGTTAAAAGTACCGCAGAGGGAAGATCGCCTGGCATGGGAATTCAAACAATGGGGGCTTTAGCAACATGCGGAACTGAGGAAAGCGATTTGGACGAGCAGGGGCAGGGACAGGGGGGTCATGCGATTGGTGTGTAGCGCGCCGAGTTACGTAGTGCGCCTTCCAGATCGACGATGTGTAGGGTAATCGTGGCCCAGCCCGCGCCAGTATGGGAAACGCAGGCTTGGATCTCGATCCTTTTGTCACAGCCTGCAAAGCTTTCCCATCTATCGATTAGCACTCCGTGCTGACTTTACTGTCTTTTGGGTACGCGCTTGTAGTGATGTTGCATCCATGCCCGCTGGTGGTCCCGCTTGTTCTCCAGATGGCTGGCTTCAGTCCTCTCCCGACGCCGTCGAAAAACCGGACAGACCAAGGTGCGGATTATTCCCGGTCATAGATGGCTCTGCCCCGAATATCTGTCTGCATGGTTTGCTAAGTTGCTAGAGTTTGCGCAGCCCCGGGCAGTTATCCCGAATCGTTCCCATAGCACAAGACTGGGCCAATGACGATGACGTTCCAGCGGGTCGCTCCGCGGGACAGGTCGACGGTCAACCGTCACGCTATGGCTCCACATTAACCGTCCATGGCCATCTTCATGGAAACTCGTTCCTCACCAATCAGCGCGACATTTGCCTGCTGTTCCACCTCGAACCTCGCGAGAGCTGAACGAACATTGTATCAAACACCATGCTAATCAAGCGTTCCCAACTCCAACTCTCAATCACAGACGCCTTCTGCGCTCATCCTTCTGCATAGGTGCTAGCAGGTACCGGGGTTGCCAGTTAGCCAAAACTAACACATACTCAGTAGCGCACAACAACAGGAGGCCGCAGTACTTTGCCTCCAATACCCTTGCATGCATTCTGTCGATCACTAGGTGTAAGCCCGGACAAGGTTCGCCGCTTCCGATGCAGAAATCGAGACATGGATTGAAGCGCATGGAAAAGTCGTCTATTCGACATGGGGAAGTTGCAAATTGCCATGTTTTGCTTTGAAATCCGATCAGACCCCGCCCCAACCAAGCCATTTTTGCATCATCGCACATTAGCTCCATGTTCCACCTAGATGCCGCTTCACTCATCACCATGCAAATTGACGTATCATGCTCGGAGTACGCTCGCTCCGTTGTTGCGGTTTCCAGCCTCTTCTATACCCCACATAAAAGAGTTTTACGAAACTGGTCCTTCGTCTATCGTATTTGCCCTTCGGGTAAATATGCCGTCGGCGGACACGCCGCGTCTGAATGCCCGGGCAAACTGCGAAGTGTCATTTTTTGTACTTCGTAGTACCCTTCCTGGCATGCCCCGCTGTCACTTCCATGCTGCTGAACCCTGATTGCAGACTGGGGAATTGTGGGTACCGTACCTAACTTTAGGGCTGCCCAAATCATTACCAGAGCTGACATTGGATAGTGGGCCTTCGATCAACGGCCCAAGAGTTTCCGCTCAACGTCGTGCGCCGTTGCGCCGTGCCTAGTTATTGGCCGACTTGCGCTACGATGTGATGCTTGCAGAAGCCATCGTATGGCGTGGGTTATTTGGATCTTCTGGAGGGATCGACCTCTTCAAGACAGTCCAAATTATGCAAGAACCATGGTCTATGGGCACGACAGTGTAGCTCGAAAGATGGGTATGAAACCTGTGCTGTGTCTGCAATAGAGCTGTGTAGACCTCTTCCAATTACCATGTCGCCTTTATCCTTGTGGCCGACTATGGAATGCTGCCTGGATGTTACACTAACGTCAGGTGTGAAAGATAAGCTGTTTCAACAGTGAGATAGTAACATCTCAGAGTCGCAGAGGTATTCGATCTGAGACGAAATAATAAAAGTGACAGGAAACCTTCTCAGCGAGTCGATAGATGAAGAGGTGGCAGTGAGACCACTCAAGCATAGAATGCTTATAATGTTCCTCGTCGCAATCATTCTGGTCGAATGCAGATGTTTAGATCTGCACTCTCCTTCTTTGTAAGCCTAGCGCTCAGCCACACAGGCATGTCTGCTACAACATTGAAGGTTTTCGTGACGACGTCACGTGTGGTGATTGATGCGTGGAAGACGATTGGGGTTAGCATGTCTTGGCAGGAAAGCGCGACGCGCACCGCGTCGTCGGTGCAACAGTGGGCAAACACGAGCTCACCATCACCACCGCAACCCCGCTATGTCCTGAAGTTTCCCATCGCGATCGCATACACATACCATACGCGACCGCCAATTTCACCCGATCCGATCTCTCGCGCGCCGTGATCGCGCTCCACCGCCGCGATGGGATACATCAAGCAGATAACGATCCAGGGCTTCAAGAGCTACAAGGAGCAAATGCAAATCGAACCTTTCTCGCCCAACTGCAATGTCGTCGTTGGTCGCAATGGATCTGGAAAGAGTAACTTCTTTGCTGCTGTGCGCTTCGTGCTGGGCGACGATTACCACAATTTGGGTCGTGAAGAGCGTCAGGCGCTGCTACACGAGGGATCTGGTTCAGCCGTCATGTCAGCATACGTGGAAGTATGCTTTGACAACACAGAGGACCGCTTCCAGACTGGCAAGCCCGAATTCTTCTTGCGCCGGACCATTGGCGCAAAGAAAGATGAGTACTCGGTCAACCGCAAGAACGCTACTAAATCCGAGGTCATGCAGATTCTTGAATCTGCTGGCTTTTCACGGTCAAATCCATACTATATCGTTCCGCAGGGTCGTGTTACGGCGCTCACCAACATGAAGGATTCTGAGCGCTTGAAATTGCTGAAAGAAATCTCCGGTTCCAATGTATACGAAGAGCGACGCGCAAACAGTTTAAAGCTACTAGCTGAGACCGAGAACAAATGCTCCAGCGTTGACGTTGTAATCGAATCCATCAACGGGCGTCTAAATGAACTCGAAGGTGAGAAGGAGGAGTTGGAGGCGTGGAGCAGGAACGACAGGGAGCGCCGGTCGTTGATGTACGTACTGAAGTCGCGCGAAGAAGCCGATCTGGAGGCCTTGATCGAGAACATTGATCACCTCGAAAACCAGGGTCGTGAGATGAAAGAGAGCAACGAGGCAGCCTTTGTTCAAACCGAGGCCGACATTGCGCAAATCGACATGGACATCAACCGACGCAAAGGTGACCTAGACGTCCTTCGAGAGGATCGTGTGCAGTCTGAACAGGAACGCAAGTCGGCGACACTGGAAAAGGCCAAGATCGAGCTTGAGCTCAAGGCATTGCAAGACAACCAGTCAGTCACCCAGCGAACGAGGAAATCGCGGGACACGCAGATCAAATCGCTCCAACAGCAAATACGCGCACGAGAGGTAGAGCTCAAGCAGCTGCTTCCTCAATACAATGCCAAGAAGGAAGAGGAGGAAGCTGTCAGATCGCAATTGCTCGAAGCTGAGGGCCAACAGAAGCGGCTGGAGGAAAAGCAAGGTCGTACAGCATTCTACACGACCAAGCGACAGCGAGATGACGCATTGCGTGCTCAGATTGAGGCTGCCAACGCCGACCTCAGCCGCCGCAAAGCTGTGCTCATGCAGACCAACGAGGAGATTACTCAGTTGGAGAGCGATGTCGAGCGTCTTGAGAATGAGATTGCTGAACTCAGGTCAAACATCGAGAGCGAGGGAGACGCAAGTGTCAATCTTGCGGCCAAGGTTGAGCAAGCGAAAGACGCCTACAAAGCTGTACACGATGAGCAGACGAGTCTCTACCGAGAAGAGAACAGAGTCAACACTCAACTTACAAACTCACAAGCCGAGCTTCGGAAAGCGGAAAGTGCCTTCTCCCGGCTACTTGATCATGGCACAAGCCGGGGGCTGGAGTCTCTCCGTCGGTACCAAAAAGAAGGAGAACTGGAGGGAGTACATGGCACCATCGCAGACCTGCTCGATGTCAGCAACGACTACAGGGCCGTCACTGAAGCAGCAGCTGAGGGTGCACTCTTCAATGTTGTTGTGGATAACGACGAAGTGTCCACGAAGCTGATCGACAGGCTTATCAAGGACAAGGGCGGACGTATTACTTTTATTCCCCTCAACCGCATTCGGACTCATGACTTGGACCTTCCTGCGACCGGCGACATGCAGCCGCTGCTACCGAAGCTGAGGTATGACGAGAGATTCGAGGATGCTTTCAGGCATGTGTTCGGCAAGATCGTGGTCTGTCCTGACCTGACTGCCTGCAAGAAGAACGCAAAGCAATACAACGTCCGTGCGTATACTCTCGACGGAGATAACGCCTCACGGAAGGGACAGTACCGAGGTGGTTACCACGACATGTCTAAGTCCAAGATTCGGGCTTATCAAGCACTGGCCGAAATCCGCACTCAGCACGACGAGTTGCAGCAGCGGAAGCGGGACATCGCTATGGAACTCGAGCAAAAGCGTCAGCAGCTTACCGCAGCACTAAGCGAGGTTCGCAGACGGGAACACGAAAAGGACAAGGGCGAGAACAGCTACGCGCCCATGCGAGAAGAAGTACGCGTGAAGCAGAGGATTCTGCGAGATACCCAGGATAGCCTCGCGAGGAAACAGACAACCGCTTCGTCGTTACAATCAACAATCAACCAGCTAGGCGCGCAACAGAGCGACTGGGAGGCAGAAATTGCTTCCAAATTCGAGAAGGCACTGTCAAATGATGAGGAGCAGATGTTGATCACGTTACGGAGTACTGTGCAAGACCTGAGGCGGCAATTTGCGCGAACAAAAGAAGAGCGCGCCACGCTAGAAACTCGGAAAGACGAGGCTGAGCTGGATCTCAACGAGAACTTGCAGCCAGCGCTGGATGATATCCAAATACAGCAGGGTGGCGCAAGCGGCTCTGCTGGCCAGTCAACCCGGTTACGAGAATGCGAACGAGCACTAGATGCAGTCAATCAAACCATCGCGAACCTTGATCAACAGATACAGGAGATCGACGCTCAGATCGAAGACATCCGAGCCCAGTTGAGCGAACTGGAGGACGCAAGAAACGAAAAGGAGACTAGCAATCGACAGTTAGCAAAGACAATGGCGAGACAAGAGCAGGCCATGTCCAAGAAGGACTCGGATCGTAGCCGCCATACAGACCGATTGGCAGAGGTCAAGCGGGATATCCGAGATTTGGGTACTCTTCCTGAAGACGTCGATCGGAAGTACACTCGATGGGACACTACCAAGGTAAGCTCGATGCTGATCTTTCGAATTCGCATATAGCTAACATTTCGAAAAAGGTCACTAAAGAACTTACCAAAGCCAACCAAGCCCTCAAGAGCTTCGCGCACGTCAACAAGAAAGCTTTCGAACATTATGAGAACTTCACACGCCAAAGACGCACCCTTACAGAACGCCGCGCCGAACTCGACACATCGCGCAAATCCATTGAGAACCTCATCGACGTGTTAGACCAACGCAAAGACGAAGCCATCGCCCGAACCTTCAAACAAGTCGCCGCCGCCTTTGGCGAAGTCTTCCAACAACTCGTGCCCATCGGCCGCGGCCGTCTAATCATCAACCGCAAATCCGACCGCGATGCACGAGGCGACATATCCGACGATGACGACATGGAAGAAGAAGAGACACAAGGCAAGAAGAGCAAAGTCGAAGAGTACACAGGTGTCAGCATCGCCGTATCCTTTAACAGCAAGCACGACGAGCAGCAAAAGATTGGCCAACTCTCTGGTGGTCAAAAGTCGCTCTGCGCACTCGCCCTCATATTTGCTATCCAAAAGTGCGACCCTGCACCCTTTTACCTCTTTGATGAAATCGATGCCAATCTTGATGCGCAGTACCGTACTGCTGTTGCGCAGATGCTGGAACGATTGAGTGGTCAGGGTGGTAAGAACAAGGATGGAGGAGGCCAGTTCATCTGTACGACCTTCAGACCTGAGATGGTGCATGTGGCGGATCGATGTTATGGTGTTACCTATACGAACAAGACGAGTAGCATTGATGTTGTTGATAGAAAAGCGGCGCTTGAGTTCGTCGAGGGTATGCAGAAGGCATAGGCATGGCCCTAAAATGCGAAGCCTGAAGGAGAGAGGATAGGTAATATGGAGGCTTTTTTCAGATGTCAACGTCTCAGATGGCTGTTCGGTTTGTTTCTTTGATATCAGGTCTTCATGATGCATGTATATGTTTGCGACTGGGAAAGTCAGAAATGCGTTTTCGTGTATTAAGTAGCTATATTACGCAGTCTCTACTTTGCTGTTCTTCCGCGTCCTACCTTTCTTATTCCACCAATGCTGATCCAATACTTGAAACGAGTTTCCTCGTGCAGCGTCAGCATCCTTTGCAATTCCTGCCCCTTCCCTTCTGTATAGATTGAAACCTTCCACCACATATGCTATACGGATTGTTGCCAAGAGCGCGAAGCATATTTCAGGCTCTTTCTGCGTCGCTGTTCCATCAGACAACGCCTTATCATCCAAGCTACAAGGAGTTGGTTTGATCGTGTCCCTTCTTGCGGTCATGTGTGCAGATGCGGTACCTAGACCTATCCTAGTTGGATGCGAATTCCTTTTTCCCTTAGTTATGGTATCTGTGCAAGTGGATCTCGTGCCGTAAGAGTTCGTCTAGAGATCGGACACATCGTTGTACATCGTTGTATGCACTGCTCCTGCGACGAAGCGTAACCCCTGTGACGCATGCGCTGCGAAAAGAGCAATTCGTGTCGAGGATCGGACTTTACTAGGGGGATCGCGAAGTATGACATTCGCGATCTAGCCGGGTTCCGCTCGATAGGGCGCGGAAGGCTCTTCCGGAGCCGCCTGTGCTTGTGTTCGACAACAGCAAGTGCTCTGAATCGAGACCACTCAGCGCTTCCGGCCTAAGCTGTCAGATGTTTTTTTGGTACTAGATGTTGCCGTATTCTCTCTAGTGCTAGTGCGCTAATGCCGGACATGGGCTTATTGATCCAGCGCTCGAAACAAGCAGTAGCCTTTTCCTTCTGGCTAGATGCGGGAGAATGCAGTGCTACCAGTAGTAGAGGCGTGGCCATACGCATGTATGCAAAACCGTTTGTGTTGGTCTGCAGATACTGTGAAGCTTGCAGTATGATCGAATGTTGATGTGGTGTCGTGAGTAGAGAATCCGTATATCGTGACATAACGATGCAAAGAAGAATGCGGGCTGCGCTGAAGTATGCGACGGTCAGAGCCGTGAATTCGTCGCGGAATTGGATGGCTTCAGTCGTGACATCTTGCCAGAAGACCGGCGTGTCATTACTCGCTGCTCCACCTGCATACTCAAGCCAGAGCTCCTCGATATTGGTCGCGACCTCCGTATATGTCTCGAGGTCAACAGGGTGTTGTGTCGCATCACTTTTCTGTGCAGCGTTTTCTTCTATCAGGTAGGATACATGGCTCAGCAATCTCTGGAACACGGGTAGTCGAATGTAATCTAGTGACCCGTACAAGATTCTCTGTACTTGGAAGGGTGTTTCTTCGCCATCCCTAGTCAAATTGATGAATACCGTCTGGGTCCGGAGATGGTCTGCATAAGAAAGAGGGGAGGTTAGCCTATACCCCAAATATACCCGTATATGAGTGCTTACAGAAGATCTGACATAATGCCCCTCCTGAACATTGTTTTGGTTTGGTCACTTCAAGCATCCGGACAGCTCCGTAGATGTGTGAGCGATATGCTTCGGCATCTGTAGCCTGGATAGCCTCGAAGAAGCTGAACAGGACGCTCGTAGATACCATATGTACTGTAATTTCATACTTGTTCTGTGGCCGGGAAATGAATCGATAGTGTGTCCGTAACGCTTCGCCGTATAGTTTTCGAGAGTATTGCGTCAATGCTATATTACCAGTTTCGACAGCACAGTAGACAGATGCAGTAGCTTGTACTGCCAATACCAACGCTTCATTCGTGCCATCTGTGGTCAAGACAGGCAGGCTATGCAACCAAGTACGCCGATTCCTGATATCTGTCCCTTCGCCATCGGACGTGAAGTATGCCAGGAAGCGTGCGTAGAATGACTCGGTCACAGTTGTTCGTTGCGAGGTCCGATACAATGGCAGGCCATCACAACGCATCCGAGCCTGAGTATTGAATCCCGAGCTCCTGATCAGTACCTTTGGCTTGCGCTTTTGCATTCCATTCTTTGCAATGTTCGTCATATCTACGAACAAGGGTCCATCTGGAAGTCCAGGACATTCGCGACCGGTGCGGATGCACATTAGACATTGCGGAACCGTCGCATCGCACCTAATGCGTTTCTTTCGACACATTGCACATGACTTTGTTCTTGAAGGCATTGGAAGATCTCGAGATGTTCAGAAGAAAAGAGTGCATGGTATAGGTGTGGGATACTTGAAAGCAACCCAAGATGTTCACGGATTGATGCCGAGCCCCATTTTACGCTAGCCGGGATTGGTGAGCTAGCAAAAATTTCCAAAAGTGGAATAACGCGACCCACATTTGAACATCCCCTGCGCAGGGCAGAACTCGGGTCATTTAGCTCTTGTTTGCGCCAGCAAGCAAACCTCGGCCGTTCTATGTGGCCGCTGGATTTTAACGTGAACCCAAGGCACTATAACACATGCACACCAGACAGTGTCGCCAAAATTGCTAAGCTAAAGCTACCTAGGTACCCTGGAGCGAGACACATAGGCTGCTCTGTACGATTGTGATCGAGCGAGGATTGGAGAATCAGTCGCAACCCGATAGTATCTGGCGTTACTTCGCATACCCAAATAGAGCATCGCCTGCCCCGTAGCACGAACATGGACGTCCGAAGGCTGGCCCAAGGAGGTATAGAAGTTTTCTTACAAGGTGTACGGAATGCCTCTTGACAGCACGCAAAGTCTGTGAGTATATGCCACCAAATTCGATACCCTGATGACCACAAGCACTCCATCTAACATATCTGCAGCAATGAATAGAAGCGAGATATTTCTGGTGGATATGACGTGTATCATCGCGCATACTGCAAAATAGCGCGCTGGCTACCTACGTACGCTCAAATAGCACGCCGGCTCGAGGACCTTCTCAGGCTTTCTCCAGGTCGTTTATGCTGCGTGTCTTCCGAATCCTTCGTACAGTTTTTGTTGCGATAATCTGACAGCCGGGGATGCCATGCCGGGTCGCAGGCCTCTTCTGCGGGGCCATTCGCCGCCCTGCCTCGAATCTCGATCCCGGCTGGGCAATACCCGCTTGTATGTAGAGCCATTGCTAAATCCATTCAGCTTTATCTGCCCACCTCAAGACCGCAACACGACGCTTTTTCTGATTGTGGACTAACATTGCAGACCTTGATTGGCTGATAGGTAATCCGCCTGTCATTCTTCTGAAAGGTCTAGGTCTTATTCCCCAGTAGCGGCACCTTTACAACAGCCCGTTCGCGTTTACAGAAGTGGACTACCTCTTGTCTAAATCGTCCGCCAGAGCCACTCAGCGTTGTGCTTCTTCAACTACTGTACGTCACAGGGTCCCTCCGCGCGCCACACCGTCCTGGAGACCTGTTTCCCCTCATACCTCTAATATCGTACAAGGTGTACAGAGACCTTGCCTGGAACTCAACACGTGACTTGTTCGCTTCTTTGGAAGCGGATCTATGCGCAAGCTGCATCTGCATTGGCAGTACCGGTCCTCTACTGGTCTCCAAACGTCGTCAGCCTGTGCTATGCAGCAGATCCCACTTGGTCAGTCCAGCGATGGACAGGGTAGGAAGACCGCGACTCAAAAGACGGCGCCGCAGCAGGGTAACGAAAACTCAGAGAGACCCGAGAGAGAAGAAAGAGTGTCGGTGACTCCACTCCCCACACTAAGACAGTATATTCTAACCTGTTCTTTTAGAGCAAGAGCATGCAAAACGTGCCGTAAACGAAGTATACAGCCTTATACATCCGCACCCAATTGTCGGTGCTGACAAAATCCCAGAAGTCAGGTGTTCTGGTGATACACCGCGTTGCACCAACTGCGAACGCAACAACCTGGCGTGTGTGTACGATCCAGCACGGCGAGATCGTCTAGGAGAGTATGTAAAACTAGACTCCTTACTTGGCTACATGTACGCTAACTCTACAGGGCCATGCGGCTGAACAAAAATCTCATCAATCTCCTGAAAGATCTCGAAGGGCGCGTCGATGAGGAAGATAGGAAGATCATCAATCAGACGTTGCACGATGTAGGCGGCCATTTGATCATGTGTTTTCCTATCATATCCTGCAAGGCAACCGTTAACATTACTTCCATTGTAGGTAGAAGATGATTTGGTTTCGTCGGGTTCATTGCAGTCCGTAAGAATACGGGGAAAGAGACCGCGCGATCATTCACCAACACGTCAAGATGGGAACCACAGTGACCACGGAGAGGCCTTCGTGACGGCCTCAGTGGGATCCAACGAAGATCTCGACTTCCTTGATGAAGATTTGATGCGTGATCCGCGTGCAAGAGAAACCGGCTATATGGGTCAGAACTCTGAGGTCCAATGGCTACGAAGCGTCCAGCGCCAAGCAGAACGCGGCAACACAGATCCCCGTGGTCAACGGTACGGCCCCCCTGGTGCGAGTACTGAAGCGATTGATGAACGATCCGACGCTTTACATGAACGGAGGCAGAATGCTAGATCAGGATCGATGCACCATATCACGGACGCGACTTTCTATCTTGACAGCGACGACATCGAGATTGACATTGCGGTGGACCCTAGGGAGATGCCAAGCCCAGAGATCGCTGAGAAGTTCTTTGCTTGTTACATGGACACTGTGCACGGTACATTCCCACTCATGCCTACCAATTTCGAGGACCAATTTCGCCGCTATATCCAAGCTTCTAAATATGGGCACCCGTTTTTCGTACCTGATTCATGGCGTGCAACCATGAATTTGCTCTTCGCGATTGGCGCAAAGTATTCACACCTTGTTGGCGCAGAGTGGAGAGGCGACGAGAGGGACCATCTGATATACATGACAAGAGCAGTCCAGCTTCTGGGTTTGAAAGACACTCTGACCTTTCTTGCGGCTCCCAGCCTAGACAAAATCCAAGCTGTGAGTTCCCATCAGTCCTATCTGCTGAGAACTACCTAACACGCACTCTCAGACAGGAACGTTGGCCTTTTACTTCCTTGTAATTGGGCATGTGAGTAGAGCATGGATTATGATAGGACTCTCTATCAGGCTTGCCTTGGCGCTCGGTCTGCACTTGCGTAACGAGGACACTTCATTGAGCGATTCCAAGAGGGAGCCGCTGGTAAAAACATGGTGGTGTTTGCACTCAATAGAGTGTCTCGTCTCTTCTATTACCGGCCGTCCTCCAGTCATCGGGAACGAGGATTGTACTGTATCGTTGCCACAACAATCACCCGAATCGCCAACTCGACAAACGTCTCGCATTCGCACCAACTACGGCTCGCCTCAGACGACGGCAAATAGTAGAGCCTCCGAGTCTAGCAAACGGAAGACAGACAAGAGTCACTATCACCATACGTATATTACCCTTAATCTCATTCAACAAAAGGTCCTTCTCAGTCTGTATGCACCTCGAACTGCGGTGCGATCTTGGCAGGTACGTGTACTTTTCCTCCAATTGGTTTTTTCCATTGCCAGCGAACAGTTTCTCATACGAATCTATGGCCATCTCCTGACTAGTATGCCTATAGTACGTTCAAACGAAAATCGCGGAGTTACTCAAGGAACTAGAAAACTGGGTGCAGACGGCTTTACCGCCTGAGGATGCCCGTCCCAGTACTTGGACTCAACGATCCGATCTCAACCGTGAGCGGTTCCTGCTCAGAATCTACTATTGGAGTGCGAAAGTTCTTATTACCAGACCTTGTCTTTGCAGAATCGAACGGAGGATAGCAACGGAGAGTTCGAAGTCCATGAACTTCAACACCGACACTGCCGAGACTTGTGTCGAAGCAGCTCGACAGATGACAATGCTGTTTCCCGAGCAGCCAGATACAGGCTTTATCTACTCCCAAGGGCCATGGTGGGATGTGGTTCATATCAGTAAGTCTACCATGGCTGAAGCACTGTCTCATTAAAGCTGACTGTTATCACGTTAGTTATGCAAGCTCTAGCCGTACTTCTGCTCGAGATGGCTTATGAGGGCAAGCATCTGAAAGACGAGAAAGCCGATATCCTTGCGTGTATCAAAAAAATGATACGCTGGCTTCGGGCTATGAAAGCGAACGACCCAGTTGCGGCTCGGGCTCACGACGTCGTTTACAAGATTCTGAATACCTGCGCTCCAGTTCTTCGGGAGCAGGTGAAGGAGCTTGTTGACGATGATAATAATTGGACCTCGCAGCCTGCGCGGCCGGCCCGTTCCGGTGCATCCCCTACGTTTCAGTCACAGTCAACTTCATGGGATACACCAAGTGGTACGGGTTACTCGGAAGAAATGCCGCCAAACTACCCACCCCCACTATCCCATGATCATTTCGTGGATCCGCTGCTCCAATATCCTTTATCCACACAACAACTAACACCTTCTACTTTTGGTAACCCATTCTTCACGAGCTTCGACCAAGGAGTGCCTATTGTTGAAATGCAACAATTGTGGCAGTCAGCGCCTTTCAGTAATTTGGACTGGGATGCTTCCGGGATGAGTATATCGCAGCAGCAGCTCATGCAACAACAGATGCAGCAGGACGATCCCATAGAGCAGGAACATGAAGGAGGCGATTTTTCGGAGCCGCCTAGTTAGCAGTTGGGTGAAGTGATGACCCAAACCCATTCCTCCTGTCATCGGCTATGTAAGGGACGCTGGATGTCCGAACATAGGCAGCTCAGTCCGCGACACATACACGGAGACAACTCATTCAGAACTGGTTTCCACTTGAAATAGCCTCTTTCATGCGTGTGGTCTCTGTGAATCCTCCATTTCATCCATCCCACTCTCCATCGACGGTCTGTCAAAACTTGACAACGACTTAATTACACGTGTAAATCAGCGTGCCTTCTTGTACTGCAAATCATCGACGTCGACTTACCTCATTAGGAGACAAGGTACTGTAGAAGACGAAGCTCCGATATGTGGGATCGTAATCGTCCTTTCATCTTTTTTGAGCATTGGTCATGATTGCAGGCCGCAAGCCCAAACGAACAACTGCTCACCTTTCCGTTGAAGTGTTTAGGCAACAATATGCGAGATAGAGTGCGGCAGATGGTTACAGCGCTGTTCCATATCCATGTCATGGTATTTGCAATGTAGCTTAGGGTGTTGCTGGTCTCGGGCGCGTTCCGCAGGATCGAAAAGTGATTGGTTGGCATCTATAGCATTGTTGCAAACACGTAGCCTAGGTAAGAGTGAAGTAATATTGAGGTCTCGTTACGCTGCAGAGGTGCAGCGGCGCCGGATTCCGTGGCCAATCACGTTTGTGAAGGTGGCCTGAAGTGGGGTTGAGACGGTGCCGTGGAGTATTGGAAAGGGTTCATCGATCCTTCTCCTTTGTACACGAGATAGATGCTGTTCGAGAAATTGCAAATTCCAAAGCCGCTATGAGGTAGCCATGAAGATTCTTGTCATTCAATTTGCAAACAACAGGTAATACACAAATGGTCGTCACTCGTCACATCAACCACTAGATGGATGCCTCTTCTTCAAGACGTTCCTCCGCTGTTTCCTATCCGCCTCCAGTAGTCTTTCCCGATCGATTTGACTCTTGTTACTACTGCTCTCGCCGAAGTTGAATCCTTCTCCTTGTGTGAGTCCGCTGACGGCTTTGCTCGCGCCAAGAGTGATACCATTGGCTCCGAATTTGCCCGCCATACTCTTCGTGCTCTGCTGGCTGTCGAAGCTTGACCTCCTGGCGGGGGTTTGGTTAGCGGGTGTGGTAGTTTGAGACGGATCCGTACCAGCGACTTCGTCCGAGGACCACCATCCCTCAGGTCGAGACGTGGAGGTCTTTTCCGTGATTTGCGAATCGCCAACTGACGCACCTGGGGAGTTGAAGGATATGGTTGATATCCTATTTGAAGGATCTGGTGTAGATATGGTTGATATCCTGTTTGTGGGGTCTGGTGTAGACATGGTTGACATTCTGTGTGACGGAGGTGGTGACATGATTCTACTGCGGACAGGCGAGGGCTTCTCCTCTGTAACAGTCCTCCGATGCGTAGCAGGTCGTGTTGTCTTGGGTGGGGAGACGGCACTGGCTAACGACAACGGCCTTTCCGCTAATGTCGTACCATCGATGGAGCTCGGCGTCCGCGAGGGCTGGGACACCTTTCTTGTCCGTAGCGCTACTGGAGCTGTCGCGCTCTCGTCTCCCGCATCGTCTTCGTCGTAGTCTTCGGCGTCCAACCCAGGGAGCTTACTGGATTCTGGCAAAAGACCTTGATACCTGCCCGGTGATCGCAAGCGTCGTTGTTTTTGACCCTCTAGAGCTGCCGCTTCTGAAGTTGCAAATTTATCCAGTGCTTCAAAGACATGTGGAAAAACGAGAGTGTCGACCGACTCGGCCCACAAAAAGTCCAGATGCTCGTAGTGAGGGATCTCCTTTGCTATGGTATGAGACGGCAGCTCCTTTAGCATAACATCAATGTCGACTAGACTGTCTGAACCACCGTAGACAAGCACAATGGGCGTTTTGATGTTCTTGGTTGGAAATTTGGCGACTTTGTAGTACTTGGACCGATTCGAGGTGATGGGGTTTGGCGCTTCATCGTCGTACATTTGAAATGTGCCATTTCGAATGATCTGAAACCAGTGCACCACGCTCTTGGTCGATGTGTATGAATACAGATGTGGGTATGCTGCGAGCTTTTGCTCGGGCAGAATGTTGACAGCGGACCAGTTGAACAGGAAGCGCAGGGATGTGTCAATGAAGCGAACGAAGATGGGTGGATATAGGATAGACTGCCACATGGTTGCCGAAGGGAGAATGGTTTTGCGCCCAAATGCCAAGTACAGTATGTCCGGAGAGGCCTTGACGAAAGCGTCGACAATGCCTGACGCAACGCCCTTGGGCGACATGGCTGGGGCGAGGGCAATGAAAACATCGACCTTCTCGTTGAGGGTAGGGTGGATAGATAATGTTGCAAAGGCCTGGGCGGTTCCTTGGGAAAAGCCAATGTACGATAGCGAGGGCTGATGGGTAGTCTCGAGAATGTAGGCAATGGAGTCGGGAATGTCGTGGAAGGCGAATTGGTCCATGCTGAAGTTCCAGAAGCTGCTCGAGGTAGGGGGAGTATGGACGCTCTTCTTGGAGTACTTGTTTCCGCGGTTGTTGCCGAGCCAGACGTCGTATCCTCGCTCCACCAGCTCAAACGGCAAGCATCGCTGCTTATCGGTCAAGCAAACCCAGACCTCGCTGTTCATCATCAGGCCGTGGTGGAGGTAGACGACCTTCTTCTTGAGGCCTTTTGCCTTGTCTCGGCTGTTGACGCGCATGTTTTCTTCGCCCTGTCGCCAGCCCAGGCGGTGCAGACCCAGGAGATAGCCATCACCGGTCTGTACAATGTGTTCCTCGCAGTAGTAGCCGTAGAGGTCGCATAGCTCGGTAAAATCGGATGCGTTGGCGATGGAGCTCCACACGCCCTTCTTCTTCTGGCGCGAGCGCTTGGACGAGGGCGAGGAGAGGTGGTTGAACAGGCGGCGGGTCAGGCGGTAGCAGAAGTTGATGATGGGCGTGGGCAGGGCGAGGGTGATGACGGCGATGATGGATTCGAGGATGATGAGACACACGGAAACCGACAGGGCGACGTACTCGCGGATGTGCAGGCGCGACAGGAAGGGGATGTGGAGCGCCATGGTGCCCGCGGGCGTGGCGAGAGTTGAGGGCACACGAGCAATTAAAGCGTCGACAAAAGACTTGCAGGACAACGCATAGCCCCTCTGGAGCGCGGGCCTCTGGAAAGTCGAAGCTTGAGCCCCTCCTGAAGTACGGTGAGGAAGGGCTCCAGGGCGGGTAGCAGGATCCAGCAGCCAATGTCCAAATTGAAATGACGTTCCACCCTGACATGTGACAACGCATTGAGCCCCGGAGCTTAGCGCGACGTTTCTGCCGACGGGCTTTTGCTCCACCAAGTCACTCCACACATGCATTGTTGGATGCGCTGGTAGCCACACACGACCACCCAGCCAACATGCCGCAATCATGTAAAGACATCCGTATGGCCTGTTTCACCATCCCTCGACTGCCTCGGCTAACCGTAGTGGCTAGGCGCTGCGCTGGCATTCTGCCTCCAGAATAGCGACTGCATAATGGTCGACCGGCACACGCCAGGCGAATGTCTGCGTCCGCCCCTCAAATACACCCTCCCCACCCAGTGCCAGCAGCTGCAGAAGGGATACGCCGAATGCAAAAAAGGCATGATTGACATGCGCAAGCGCTTCCGCGGCAACCGACCCATCGCCGTCCAGGGACAACTCGAGACGGGCGCATTTGGCCAGGGACGAGCCGAGGCAGACGAGAAGACGGGCACCATTGAGGAGAAGGGGTATATGCTCTACGCCGGCCGCCCCTACAAAGACGTCAAGGAGACCAAGGGCGATGAGGACCCAGACAACAAGGGCCTGGAGCGGTAGTGCTGGCTCTCTGTTACGACAACTCTGTATAGCAAGCCTGTACATTACGCACACTAGCGATACAACACAAAGTTTTTGCTACCATGAGACCAAAGACACTACACTGCCTTGACTAGCCCGCTTCCTACATGACAAACACATACGGCCGATCGAAACACTCATCCCACCCTGAAACCCCGCCCTTCCAATACCTCCTCAATACCGAACACGCCTTGATCGGACCACTCGTGCCTAGCGTCCTGCTCAACTCCTCCAAACTTGCTCCGATCCAGTCCCTTGTCGCCTCTCCACGGTATATAGCTTCTACACCCGCCACCACCAGCGGCCATGCCATGAATCTAGCTACACGCGGATCCTTGAGTGCTGTGCGCAGGTTGCTGAGTAGGACATCGCCGTGACCTGTTTGAATGTCAAGCAGTGAAGCATCTGCTGGGAGGACAGTGAGCGAGCCCAAGGATAAGATGGCGTACAGTGTGAGGGCCGACTTGTACACTGTGCCAACAATCAACCATTCATTGTAAAAGGTGCCGGGTTGTGCCCAATCTTCAACCGAGAAGGCCTCGATGCGAGCAAGCAGATCATAGGCCTTCAATGTGTGGTCTACATCGAAATCGCACTGCAAGACTGCCGCAGATGCCTTGGCCCGCAGTCGGTTTATATGCAGCATCTCGGTGAACAGCTCGGGTGGACAAAGCGTGTACGGAAAGATGAGACTGTAGATACTGGTGATGTCCTCGATCACATCATCTGCAGTGCTGTTGATCTCAACTTGGTCCCACGACGGACTGCACGTGTTGGCCACGGACACAATACTGTTCATTCAAGTTAGACCCTGGCCGCAGTTAACATCACAAAGCAACGTACAGCAGGTAAAGTACCAACGACGGTACCAAGTGCGGCGCTTCCTTCATGAGCTTCTTCGGCCCACCTCTTAGGTCGACTATTCGCTTCATGCCATTCACATGCGAGCGCCAGTCGGCAAAGCTAGGATTCTGGAGCTGGGACTACTTATCAGTACTTGATTCGAAGCCGACCGATTGGCACAGGCTCAACATACCTCCAAGCACATGAACATGAGAATGGTAGTGATTGTCATATCTGAACATCTTGTCTTGTCTTGGCCAATGTGTTGGCTTAATGCCCGCAAAGCTGCTCCACGGTGGTGATATACCTTCCACCGATTAGGGGCTAGCACTGCGCGGTCGGTTCCCAACGGTGAGGTATGGATAAAATGATTGAGTGACAGGCAAACTAGCGTATGGTGGATTGCTGGGGTGAGCAGATGTAAGGCCTGTTGAGGGAAAGGCACAAGTGCAGGATTAGGCGCTAGCTCTCCAGCTGCCTTGTATGTTGTGTGTATGCGTAGGTTGTCTGGTAGCATCAGCGACTAGTCCTAGATGCGCTTCTAACGTCAGGTCAGGAATTACTCACAGTATTGAACAGCTTGCACCACTTCCGAGGTTTCATCCATAAGATCCCCGTATCTCGGTACGTCCTGCAGTTGTAAAACCTCGAGTAGACGTTTCAGTCGTTGAAGTGGATTACGGTCTGAGCGTAACAGCTTTGCAGCCTCCTCATGTGAGCCACTTTCGACAATCTCTTCAATCTTAGCCCTTCCCCCGATCTGGAATATCCTGCCCGCTTCTCTGGCACTTGCTGTCATCTTGAAAGACAACGCATGGAGGTCCGTGATCCGATCTCCAGGGTGAGAGACCCGATCCTTCTCCCAAGACGACAGGGCTGCTTCGTAATCTACAGGCTCACAAATGTAGTCTTCTTCATGCATCATCGGCTTACAGCCCGTTTGTTCAGGTACGTTAACATCCTGACACGTTCTCGTCTCACTATTGGCTGTGGGTTCAATGGTGTAGGTTTTCGGCGAGCTACCATCTTTCTTCCTCCTCCGCCTAGAAGTTACCTTGCCTGGCTGGATCCACTGAAGCGGTTTTGCGTCCTCATAACCAGAGCATTGACGACCGGCTTTCTGACACTTCATACAATGTGGGAGCGTGTTGTCGCATACTAAACGCCTTTTTAGACAATCCCAGCATTGACGCGTTGCTTTATTTTCTCCTTTTTGGGCCATGGTCGCTTTCGACATCGGATAGCACTGCTTAGGTTCAACCGGAGGATATGGTTCAAGGTGGTGGTTGTGGCGGATCTGAACGCCTCATACAAGCGAGTATTTCTGTAGCTTTATTACTACAGATGGCTTAAGCTTACACTCCATCATAACGGTACCTAGGTAGTGATCGACCGATGGTGATAGGTGTAGCTGAACGACGTGCCCGTCTTGGCCATGATTGCTACTGCATTGGGTCTAGCCGCCGCTAGGCGGCTTACTCGCGGGGCTACGTGTGGCCGGGGGCCTTAGGTCAATTGGGATTCGGAGGTGCCGAACAGAAGGCTGTGCTACCAGCTGCGTTGGACAAACGCGATGATTCGAAGCATAGCGAGAATGCTTTGGCATCTGGTTGGCTGCGATAAGATTATGAATGGTGCGGCAGAGACGAGCGATGCGCGCCTAGGAAGCATTTGCGTCATTCAAGGTCTTACAATTAGCACCACAATGAAGCTGGCATCTCATCTTCCATGCCACTATCGTGACCCTTTGAACGTATCTACCATATTGAAAAATCGCCAAGGCATAAAGATTCGGACTGTGAATACCATCGCTTCATGGATAACGCCGGTGAGGTTGCTATCTCACAACGCATTTGAACTGCGCAGTCCCGACATTGGTAAACACCCAACCGTCCAATACAGTTTTGTAATTCTGCACCTCTTTTCAAACCTTATCAGTCTCTTACCAAGAAAGTGAGATGCCTCTACTGTCTCGCTGATTGGCCGTTCGCGGAGGTGAGAGGCTGTTGCGTGGGAGTAATGGACGACAGTTCGGTGATGGTTCATATAATGGCCCGATCAACGACGTGAACTTTGGGTGGCAGGGCTGGACATGGAGAGAAGAATTGTGAGCCCGCAAGGTTCCCGATGAATATCAGATGTTCCGGGCTGGAAAACAACTCCGTGGTATGCCTGAGTCAGCCCACACTCACCCAATCAGCATCTGGTATCTTACCTCTCCGCTTTCCAGGCCCTCGACTTTCCTCCACATTCCGCGTCGGCGCCGTTCCGCCCTCCCGCTTGGAGAGGCCGACGCAACCCATACTAAAGATTCCCGAGGCTGCGACGATGCTTGGGTCTATAGATTTCGGGGGCGCAGCATCCCTCTCCACGGCCACTTGTACATATCTTTCCAGTCTGTACATTGAGGGTTGAACATAATATTCTGGAAGTTTGTTTACCTGTACCAAGCTCTGCCCAGAATGCCGTCGATATCCCTCACCCTTCGCACGGCGCGCACCTTTTCGCGAAGCACAACAAAAGTACACAGATATCATTGAACCCATGCTGAGCAACAACTGACTCTGGCAGACATACCTCAACCTCTCGCGCTCCTTCTCGTCGTCTCTCCGCCGCAATGAGATCAACAAGGTTTACCCAAGTGCCGCAGCGGCCATCGAAGACATGTCATCCGACAGTACGCTTTTGTGCGGAGGCTTCGGTCTTTCAGGTGTTCCAGATACGCTCATCCACCAAGTAAAAAGCACACCAAAAATCACAGGCCTCACTGCTGTATCTAATAATGCTGGCGTGGTTGGGGGAGGTCTAGGTTTATTGCTGGAAAGCAAACAAGTCAAGAAGATGATTGCAAGCTACGTGGGCGAGAACAAGGTCCTCGAACAGATGTATCTGACTGGCGAGTTGGAGCTGGAACTCACACCCCAAGGCACACTAGCAGAGAGGTGTAGAGCCGGTGGCGCCGGCATTCCAGCTTTCTACACACCCGCTGCTTTCGGCACCGTTGTGCAGACCGGCGAATTAGCACTCAAGCATAACAGTGACGGCAGCGTAGCACAATACTCGACACCTCGCGACGTCAAAGTCTTCGCTGGCAAGAGCTATGTCATGGAAGAGAGTATCAAGGGCGACTACGCTTTTATCAAAGCATACAAAGCCGACCGCCTGGGAAACGTCCAGTTCCGCTTCTCAGCACAGAACTTTAACGGCGCCATGGCTCGCAATGCCAAAGTAACAATCGTAGAAGCTGAGCACATTGTCGAAGTCGGTGACATTCCACCAAACGCCGTCCATGTCCCAGGCATCTATGTCGACCGCGTAATCCAATCGACGGCTGAAAAGAAGATTGAAAAAGTCGTCAACGCAAAGGACCCTCAGGAAGCGGTTTCTGCCTTGGGCGCTGGCGACGCAGCCTCGAAACGCGAACGCATCGTCCGTCGTGCAGCCAAGGAGTTCAAGAACGGCATGTACGCCAACCTCGGGATCGGCATGCCTATGCTCGCTCCTTCCTTCGTTGACCCCTCTGTCGAAGTCCAACTTCAATCCGAAAACGGCATCCTGGGTCTCGGTCCCTATCCACAGAAGGGTCTTGAAGATCCCGATCTCATCAACGCGGGCAAAGAAACCGTCACACTTCTCCCTGGCGCATCATGCTTCGGCTCAGAAGAAAGTTTCGGCATGATTCGTGCTGGTAAGATCAACCTGACAATCCTCGGCGCTATGCAAGTTTCTGCAAGAGGCGACCTGGCAAATTGGATGTTGCCGGGTAAGGTCAAGGGCTTTGGTGGTGCTATGGATTTAGTGTCGAATCCGCAGGCCACCAAGGTTGTTGTTACCATGGAACACACCGACAAGAAGGGAAGGCCGAAGATTCTTAAGCAGTGCGAGTTTCCGCTTACGGGCAAGGCGTGTGTAAGCCGGATTATTACGGATTTGGTGAGTAACCTCTTTTCGATCCGAATGCTGGTGTTGGAAACTGACATTGGATAGTGTGTGTTCGATGTCGACTTTACCGAGGGCTTGACCCTGGTTGAGCTTGCGGATGGTGTTACCGTAGACGAAGTGCGGTCGAAGACTGGTGCAGAATTCAAGGAAGCAGCGGAGATCAAGCCCATGTTGTAGAGACTCCAGCTGATTTACCACACTAGTCCTTGTGCTTGCTCAAAATACCAACATGTTTCCCTGCACATATAATGCATGTCCATATCTATATCCCAGAGTCGCCGTGAGACGTCGACAACAAACATGTCCTAATGAAGATGCGAATACAACAATCAAAACACATCATCAATCTACTCCGTCCTGGTCTTGAGGCTGCCACTTGCTCCGTCAGTCGCAGGATCGTAGTCGCCGCCAGTCTTCAGACTACGGCTCCTTGCAGGGACTACAGTAGGGTTGGCCTCCTTCAACGGATCACCCTCAGCAGCCTCAACATCACTATCCTCGCCATCGATGCCCGCCTCACGCCTGCGCCTCTGCCTCTCTAACCATTCCTCATCATCCTCATCCTCACTATCCTCGTCCCCAATAACGCCATACCTGCCCTCAGTGCCATTGCCGCTACCATGCTCAGGATCCTTGATAAAGCTATCGATGATCCAGTACTGTAACGCGTTCATAATCAAGGGGAAAATAAACATGACGAAAGTGATCTGTAGTGCGGTGTTTCCTTCTGTCCAGCGAAGTGCCCAGTCTCCTACCCATGCGATCCAAGGCAAGAAAGCGAAGATGGCGAGGACGCAGAGTTTCATGCCGATAAGACCGAGGAAGTAGATTATGGACTGCTTAAGCCACCATGTTGCGCGTGGTGGCTGGCCGTAGTTGCCGCTGCGGATGGACTCCGGGGGGTTGGCAAGGGGCGTCTTCGCGAATGCGGCGTGGAGGATCTTGAGGAGCAGCACGAGAATGGGTATGCCGATCGTAGTCTGAAGCTTGTTAGTCGCGGAACACAGGGGTCAGTAGGAATGTACTTACGTCGATGGCCAGGTTGAGGAGATAGAACGAACATGGGTTCGGCTGATCACCCTCTTCGTTCGTTCCAGCATACTTGGTGGTTGCACTTGTGGTCGCTGCTACGTCGAATTTGCCAGAAGACAACATGGACATCAGAACATTTGCAAGATGCAACAGAACTGAACCAAAGACCTGCTTCGAAACATCGAAAAACCAAATCTTCATAGGTCGTCGCGGAGACTCTCTCAGTCTCTTAATAGCGAGAGAAGACACTGCGAGAAGTCCGAGAGCACCCTGCACAAGCAAGGCGAAGTTGCCAAGGAGGTTGCACTCGCCCTTGCCGCTCTCGCCATCCATGGGATTTTCTTGCGCTTCGGCGATCTTACTAGGCTCAGCAGCAGGTGCTGCAGTCTTCTCAGGCTTCGCCTCCACAGGAGCGGCTTCGGATGGCGGTGTGGAGGTAGGGACCGGTACGTTTTCGGGCGCCGCTTCTTCGTCGTTGGAGTTGACATTATCATCTGTAACGGCAGTGGTTGACTTCTCAGGAGCTGGCGGCGTAGGCTCAACAGGCTTCGGCGGTTCGGCCTTGACACCATCAATGCCCATGAGTTCTGTCTCAAAAACTGCATACACGGTTAGACAGGGCCAGATGGCTGTAACTGACCACACATACCCAGTGTGGAACCCGCAGGAATCTTGGTGCCCATAGCCCGATTGCCATATGCCAGGTTGGGCGGGATGATCAACTTCCTTCCTTCTCCTATACACATGTCCAACAATCCCTGGTCCCAGCCTTTGATGACCTGGCCCTTGCCAATCGTGAAGCTGAAGGGGGTTCCTCGGTCATAACTCGAGTCGAACTTGCTGCCGTCGCTTTGCAGCGTGCCCTTGTACATCATCGACACGGTGTCGCCCTTCTGAGTCTTGCGCGTACATTCGGCCGGTTTTGTGACTTGGACTTCGAGATCCTGCGCAAAGGCGAGCGAAGGCAGCAGCGCCAAAGGGAGCGCCAGGAGGGTAGTGAGAGGCCGCATGGCGGCAGTAGAGCGACGTGAGGTCGCTGTCGAAGGGGGAAAGCGAAGAGAGTACTGCGCGTTTCTCGGGAGGTAGAAAAGCGGCGGTAGAGTGGTGCACGCAGGCAGGCAGTACTACTTAAGCCACGATGAGGCTTACTGCCGGGCTTTCGGGGCTTCTGAAACCTGCGTTGTGCGAAACAAGCCCTGGAAGCGCCGCACGCTTATAAGTCGGACGTTTGCCCGAAACAGAATGCCGTGAGCAAACGGCAGGAGGAGGAGGAGTGAAGGAGATGTGCATGTGCATGCGTGGGTGGGAGTGGCAGGTGTTCACGACGTGCATGACCCTGATGAGGTAACTGCGGCCAAAGGGTTATGCCTAGACTGCAATTCCGCGGCTCATGGCGATCACCGAAGTGTCTCCATTGTGGCTGATTGGTCTTTGCACCGAGCTACAACATGCACTACCACACGTAGTACCGTATAAACACGTTCACGTCCACCGTCAACCAGATTAAAAGCTTGTCCAACATGTGAAATAGTTATTGATAGTACATAGCGAATGTGGTTCAGATGTAGTCTCAAGGAAAGGGTATAGTAATCCCACGGCGGCATTTGAACGCTCGCCTTTCACTACCCACATGTTCCAAACGCCCATGATGCTACAAAATGCGATAAAACACCCAATGCACACGCTAGAATCAGAATAATCGCTGCACACTTGCATGCTACTCAGTGTCCCGAGCGGTTTTTATCGGGCTTGCTCTCGCAGGAGCTTCAGTTACTGGTCCCCCACTTAGTCCGGGCGCAAGCTGGAGACTGTTGCGTACAATGCCTTGTCCTGGTCGCACAACGACACTGCCTCTTCTGTCGCGCTCCAAGGGATCCACGGTGTTGACAGGCGCATACACCTCTTGGTTCTGGAGATGCGCATTCATGCGAGCTTCCTCTCTCATCTTCTTGATCTTCATGTAATTGTATGCCGCGATGCTGCCGATCGTGACAACAAGCCCAGTCAGGTTGATAGGCGTCAGGGGATCCTTGAAAACGAGGTTTGCGGTTCCAATGGTAACAACTTCCTTGAAAATGCCGCAAATGCTAAGAGTGACGACCGAAGTGCGCTTCAACAGAGCGAACTCGGACGAAGTCATGAGGAAGGCTAGGACTCCCGGGAACAAAAGAATGCCAATGCCGAGGCCAGTGCCTTTAGTTTCGAATAGGTGTGAAAGACCCTCCAGGAGCGCGGAGAAGCCTTCCACGGGTATCGCGAGAATAAGTATGCTGATGAACATGACGGGTGCGAGGAAAAAGATGGAGGAAAATGGGTTCGCGGTCGCGGGGTTGCGCAGGAGCAGAATCTGGGTCAAAGACCAGCGAAAGCCGGATGAGCAGGCTGAGACCATGACGAGAATGAAGCCGAGGGTGTGAAAGGCAGCCTCGCCGGCTACCATCATGACGACACCAGCGGTCATGATAAGGATGATGAATACAAGTCGCCAGGATGGCTGTTCGAGGCGAAAGAGGAATGCGAAGATGAGCACGAAGCCGAGTGCAGATGATTTGCACATGGCTGTTGTTGTTAGCCGCGTTCTGAGAAACGAGATTTCATCCCTTACTGAAAAATGTCAACGAGATGAACTTCAAGCTCGTATTGCCCAGGCCAATGTCCATGCCAGTAGCCGCACCACACGGCCCGAGTCTGCTGAAGTAGAACCATTTGGTCATAAGCGGCTTGTTTGGGTCCAAGGGCTCCACACGCGCGCCGGCCGCGTGAGGGTTAAGGGAATCGTGTCGAGGTCGAAAGGAGGGTATTAGGAAGAGAACGAGCGACGCGAGCGTGAATTGGACAATCATATGCAGGCATGTTGTGAAGAGCGGAAATGGAAAGATGTTCTTGGTCTCGCCGTCGCCCTTGGCTTCCTTGAACATCCATTTGTTGTAGACAGATATCGAAATGGAGAAGAGGTACCTAGACACATTAGTTGGGCTGAGACAGCACGAGGGGTTGTGTCGTACCATAGGCCTATCAGGGCTCCGTTGACCAGCATGGACTTGAGCAAGTTCTGGTCGGCGAGCTTCTTCTCCTCCTTTGTATACGTATCGTCGGGGACGATGCGCTGGTCGAGCAACGTGTTCCTCCTCTTTCTTCTCCGGCGTCTCCGCCTGTCTCTCTTGGTGAGGCCCGTCTCCTCATCGTCTTCGAGCCCGTCTGCGCTCATGTCGTCGAGGTCGGGGTCGTCGCTGTCAGAGTCTGAATCGGAACGGTCCGCACCGGACGAGGATTCTTCTCCTTCTTCAGCAATGTGGTCGGAACGGTGCCGGCGGTGCTTCTTCAGGTCTGTTTTGGTGGGCAGGGTTGCGCCGGCGAGCGAGGAGGAACGTCTTCGAGCCGCCGTCTGCTCATCCGTCATGGTAGGGGTGGGCGGATGGATGAGTTTCGCGATGTTGGTGCGTGGTTGCGAGACTCGGGGGCCGTCATCCGAATCCAGGTCGGAGAGGGAGCTGGCGGAGGGAAGAGACGGTAAGGTTCTCAGAGGAAATTCATTCCCCGGACTAAGCAGCGGGCCTTGGTGTGTAGCGGTGTCCTGCAACTGCAGCCAGCGAGTTATCCGGGCCCCCTCTGAAGTCATGCTGCTCGATGGCGTGCACCTGATTCGCTTTAGTCTGGCCGCCAAGCAGAGAAGGAGGAAGAGCCGGTTTCCTACCTAGACTAGCGACGGGCTAGCATCAGGGGCTTAGCGGGAGGATGCGTCAAGGGATGCTTCAACGCGACAGAAACGATGCAGGTACAATTCTCCAAACGCGACAATGTAAGCCGTCTGCCGCAGGTACGACGTTTTGATTGTTACGGCCCTGCTACCTGCGACACCGGCTTGGCCGCGGGCTCAGACAGACGGCCACCATAGCAGCCAATCACCACCACGTGTCATAGTTAGCGATTAAGCGGGGAAGCTCGCCGCGGGAGATCCACCGCGTGATGAAATATGGAGTCTAGATGTCTTTGCGGACCCGAGATGCCGGCTACAGCACGCGAGCACTTGGTATCTACCATAGTATGTAATGCTGCATGTTGCTTTCTGTCACATTGCTCGCACACTTTCACCACTCCTTGAACAGCTATTTTTGGGGCTCCAAGGGGTTGACATGCGCAAACATACTTTTGAAAAAGCAGGCCGACCATGATCCGCTGTCTGCGCACAACGTACTGCGGGCCCTGCATCTGCAAGCCCGCCCTGCATCCACAACATCCATCCATTGAAAATGCGCCGATGATGCTGCGCCTGTCTTGTGAACAACTCCATGGATATCAAACCTCAAACGCCATGATATGCAAAACCTAACAGATGGACATCATACTCGCTTCCAACACTGGCTATTGCGCTGTCGGTGGCACGACCGGAGCTGGCGGAAGCTGCTCAATCTGTCGGATCAAGAAGCTCTTCTCGTCGATGAACTGCTCGTCTTCTGTGCGGTCGTCCAAGAATGACGGCAAGAACCGTAACAGCTTGTCCCGGTTGCTAATCAGGATCCGTTGTACTGCGACCGATTTATTCGGGTTGGCAACGAACACCTGCCTTTATCAATACACACACGCACAATCACGCCTGTCAACACCTACCTTGAAGACATGGAAACCCTCGTAGTTGATCATCTTCCTGTCGTCTCGCAGTAGCTTCATGATGATCTTGAGATGCTCCCCCGAGTCCACATATTGCGTCATAACGTTGTAATTTGCTCGATCGAGCAAAATCTCGCCCAGCAGTTTGATAGACTGGCGCTTCGTCACATAGCTCTCAGACTGGATCAGCATCGAGTTGTACTTGGTGAAGAAGGTGTCAAAGTTGGTCTGCAGGAATGTAGCGACTAAAGGCTTGTGCTTTGTCAGGATTTCCTGTCGTGTGTCAGCGTGTCCGTTCACATGTTCCAGCCGGACAGCCTACCCTGAATGTGTTGAATGCATCGGCACTGACTTCAAAAGCGCCCTTGTCTATCCAGTCAAAGAACTTCCAGAAGACACCGTTACCAGAAGACGGCAGATCAGGGTTCACGTTGCCCAAGTCAAGCGTCTTTCCGTCTTCCATTGGCTCGTCATAGAGCAGCAGCGCAGCGATGGCATCGTACTTGAGCGCTTCACGAAGGATGCCACCACATGGCATGGCGCTTTCTCGCCGGTCGTAGCCTCGACATAGCGCTATTATAATATCCGGTCGGTATGCGACGACGTGTTCCAATACCTGCGGTGTAGCTTGTCCTGCGGGCTTGTAGCGGAAAGCAGTGGAAAAGATGACTTGGGCATCTTTCCGCGACTCGAACGGGAGCTTATGAATGTTGATTGCTAGCGCATAGAGGAGGTCCTCGTTGAGGATGTTTGTAAGAAGCTGGAAGACAGCCTCCGGGTTGACTTCTGTGTCTTTGGCGCCGTCAGCAGCTAGCCCTGCAGGTGCATGGTGAAAGGACAGCAAACCTACCGGGTGTGCCCTGAAGTCTAACTTTCATCTGTTGCAGGTCCAGAGCAAGTCCTTCCTCTAGCTATCACATGTCAGCCATGTCGCCCAAGGCGCCCCGTAGCAGTCGTCTGGTCGCACCTTGGGGTTGGGCCTGTCTTCTTGCCCAAGCCGCAGCGTAAGCTCTTTGATAGAGCGGGTAAGCTCCAGGTTATTCTTCTGCTTGTTTCGGAATAGGAATGCCATGTTGAGTGGGTTGGGAAGTTTTCCAGGGCGGGGATCGATGTGGGACAGCGGCGGTGCTATGAGGGGCTGTGACTTGAGGCCAGGGCCGGAAAGCTGCTATCTTGACGGCGGCAACATACAGGCGACTGCAGGGGAATATGTCTGGAAGTCGTTGGGCGGTATTGGGTATACAGGGGGACAGTGCGGTTGTTGCTCTACGTCTACTTTGCCGTGGTGATGCTGTTGCTTGTGAGCGGCCGAGGATCAACCCTGCGTCGCTAGCGCAGTTTGTGTACGTCCACTCGCCCACAGCTGGTTACTCTAGATTGCAATTACTCGGCCAGTGCATCCCTGGCCAAAATGGTTATATCACTATTTCACTAATATTTACAAGTTATGTTATGCATGTGTCAGGCTATTCGGCGCGTGCGGAATCGCCCCGCGCCTCAAATTGTGTCCTGACACGAATTATCCCCAACATAAACCCAGAAACCTATTCTGCAGACGAAAAGTAGGCATGCTTGAGCACCTGTCATACACAGTCAGCTATGTCTCCGCATTGGGCGCACCACCTCACCTCGGATGCACTCATTCTCGAGCCACTCTCATATTTGACTAGGCTGGCGACGACACCTCGCTCTACCCCGGAAAGGGTTGGCAGCAAAGCCGACCAGTCCTGTGTTGGATACTCGTAGAATTGCACCTTGCCCCAGTCACGGAAACTCGCAGCCTCCTACTTCAGTTAGCAGAGTCCAGAATCAGACAAGATAGATCGACTCACCGGCCAGACATCTAGGTTTGGGGTTCCGAGCTTCTTGAATACGCTCTGTATCAAGGCCAAATCGCTTCCTAATTCTCCGGAGTCGAACAGCGTCTCGTGGCTGGGGTCGAGAGCTTCAGCGACTGTGCAACCAGCAGCCCACAGGTCCAAGCTACAGCCATACTTTTGGTTCCCAAAGAGTAACTCTGGGGGTCGGTAGCAGGTAGTGCCAACATCGGTAATCTTCGCATCCGCGGATTCTGGCCCTGGCACTTCAGGCGCCCATGCGATACCAAAGTCGGAAAGGTATGCTGGCCCGTCGAGAGACTTGAGGAGTATGTTGGAAGGCTTGACATCGCGGTGTATGATCCCTTTGCTATGGATGTCGGCGAGTCCAACGAAGAGGTCCTTCAAGCACGACTTGATCTGGCTCTTGGAAAGCTTCTTGTCCCGAAGTAGGTCGCTGAAATCGTAGCGCACGAACGGGAAGACCAGAACGAAGTGGCTTCCATTCTCACGAAAGGTTTCTATCAGCGGAATGACTCGCTCCGATGCTGCCATGGCTAATATCTTAGCCTCTCGCTGTGAATCGTGCGGAGGCTCCATTACTGATGGTGTAGTAATCTTCAACGCTACGACTTTGGTCTTTGAAGGCGACTCTGCTGGAAAGTAGCTTTCACCACCCAGCGCAGGTGCCTTGTAAATGACAGAGAAGAGACCCTCACGATGGTAGAGTGCATTTTGGTAGTTGCCAATGGGCTTCCCGCCCGGTGTCGGGACATAATCTTCATCCTGGAGTTTAGGTTAGCAAGCTTGCATGCACTTGTAGTGCAAGTCCTGACCTCTGGTGTGGGGAAGTCGAGCGACGGTCTGGGAAGGGTTGTTATCTTTTCATTGCAAAGTCTATCGTAGTCGTCCTGCAACATGGTCAAAACGAATTCACCAAATTCAAAAGGCGGTCTGTACCAGAGATGTAGCGTTTGCGTAGATGGTCGTCTCAGCTACGGTAGCGTTTTTACGAGCATCATCTGCAGACAGTGATGGGTCCGCTGTCTGGTAGGCTGATGTCCTGCAATGCTGTCAGTCCTGGAGTATGACGTTGGACGCATATTGATTGGGCCGATGTGTCTTTTGCACGCCAGGGGTGAATTGCGATGAAGCAAATATGCCATGCACAAGGTCGGGCCCTGTTCCGTGCTAGCATGCACCGGGCTCCCTAGCGCGACAGTATAAACATGTTACTTGCATTTTCGTGACAGCCATCAGGCGAGCAGTGAAGCCCAGGCTCGGTCGCCAGTCCGAGGAAGCCATGGGGCGCAATGGGTGTTGTCGGACAGGTATCAGGGTAGCAGTCAAGCAGCGGTGTCGTCAAGGCAGGAAAAGAAGAAGAGTCGCCCCGAATCAGCGACGCGACACTACCCAAGCCGACGCGGTCGGTGCCCAAGGACGGGCTGGCCGTGCTCAGCAAGTGGCATAGTCATGCAATGGCTAGACAGGCTCTGGCGCGTCTCGAGTCCATGTGGGAGGCAGCTGGCGACTGGCGACTGGGTCCAGGGAGGCATCTCGAGGGTTAGTCGTTACCAAGGTTACGTCAGATGCCGGACACAACCGCGTGTCTTGGACTAGGCCAAAAGCGACGAGCCCCAAGCCATGACTGACAGCGCAGTTGTGACAGCTCCACGACACCCGACAAGCTCGCCGAGCTTCCTCTCTATGTAAATATCCCGAATTGCTACCCTGTGGCTGTGCGCCTGTCCCCCGCATTCGTCGCCATGGAGCTCCAACGCAAAGAATACCCGGCATTGCTGGTGAGAGCTGTCTGAATGCCCTCCCCCAGCTTCGGCTCACACCATGTCTAGACATCGCTTTCGCCCGCCCAAGCCGTCACCGTCCTCGACAGTCGCATGAGACATGTCGGCCAGCTCAACAACCACATTGCCGACTGGCTACAGGTGGGTCGGCCCCCGGTGCCGCGCATCGTCATGGGTGCTCACCAATGCGCAGGAACGTCGTCGCGTCGAAGAACAATATGTCCAGGGCCTGCGGAAGCTCGCAAACAGACATCCGCCCGATGAGTCGTCGGATCTGGGGTATCTTCCCGCCCCATTCGCCTCGCAGCGCACGAGCTGAGCTAACACGGGGCAGCATCTTCGCAACCCCATGGCAGAAGATTGTGAGCGCAACCGAGTCGGTTGCCCAATCCCACGCGCACCTGGCCACCAAGATCCAAGCCGACGTCGAACGCCCCCTGCGCGACTTCACCGCCAGCAACCGAGATGTGCTGGCCATGGCCAACATCCAGGGAAACCTGTCCGCAATCGCAAAGGACATCGACACGGCGCAGAAGAAGCAGGGCAAACTTCGCGATAAGGGATCCAAGGCCAAAGCGTCCGCCGTTGCCGATGCCGTGCAGGACATTGAGAAGGCTGAGCTGCAATGGGACTCGCAAGCACCCTACGTCTTCGAGCAACTGCAGGCCATTGATGAGACCCGGCTGAACCACCTACGCGATGTGCTCACGCAATTCCAAACCCATGAAGTCGACCAGGTGGAGCGCAGCAGGACCACAGCTGAAGAGACGTTGAACGCCATGCTGAACATCGAAACCGCCGATGAGATACAAACGTGGGCATTGAGGATGCGGAACGGAGATGCACCGCAACCTGTGCGAAAGCCGAGCATTCCAGGCACTCCTTCGAGAAACCTCGCACCGCCTCCTCCTCTGCCAACATCGCCCACTGCAGCGGATGACAACAGGAGCCAGAAGAGCGGCTCTGTCGAGAAACACAGCTCCAATCCTCTCAAGCGATTTGGGACAGTTTTGGGCCGACGGAGACAGAGTGCGCATCCATACGGCAGAGCGACATCACCAGACCGAAACTCTTCGGCAAACCTTGGTTCGGTATTCGGCGGATTCGGCAAGGGCAAAGCAAAGAATAACGACAACCAGGGCTCCTCGTTGAGCACCACTGCAGAACGGCCAACTTCGCCTCTACGACGCCTCTCACAGAGACCCAGTACTTCCCAAAGATCTGACTCACCAAGCCTCACCCGCCAGGGCAGCACTGAGGCTGCCCCAAACGGCACCATACCTGAGTCGTCCGCCGAGGCAGACGCGCCAGGCGCCGTAAACGGAACAACGCCAGCTCAAGATTCTATACCAGAGCTCAAAGAGCCCCTGTCACCGCCTCCAGTCATAGAGACGCAGCCAGAACCAGAAAAGGATTCTGAAGGTTTCTCTGTACCCCCGTCCGCTCTGGATGCCATCTCGGAAGCCGAGAGGGAAGCAGGACTGTAAGTTTGTTTACGTCCCAAAAGTCTGTGTAGCTAACCGGAAGCAGGGCACAAAACGAGGGCAATCCACCGCCACAATTCAAGCTTGACATTAGAAATGCTCCCATCCAAGAAGAAGACGGTGACGCTGATGCAGCTACCGCCAATCTGGTCAACACTCTGCGCGCAGTAAGCAACAGTGAAAATACTCCGAGGACGTATGCTAAGACTTGTACAGCAAGCCGCACAGCCAAAACGATCAAGCACGCTGCGTGGTCGCCGAGATGTTCGTAATACGATATTCGTACCGAACCCCGCAACACCAGAACTTCAAAGCATAGGCGAGGTGCCTCCGCTCCCAACAAGTGAATCTGGTCCCGCTTCCGGCTCTGGTTCAGCAACGTTTCCTGCTCCTGCCATCCCTCCTCAACCTACATCTCCAGCTTTCAAGCCTCCACATCGTGCATTGTTATCGGAAGACCATGCCACATCGGATACACAATCCATCCGCTCGGGCCGATCGCTAAGTAGCTCCGCTAGTACCACAATCAGACACCCGGACCTGCATGAACCGGGGCTCAATGCGTCGTTAGTGGAGACCGTCAGCGCGTGGTTCGAGCAGGGCAACGTTACCAAAGCAATGGTAATCGGGCAGGTTGCGCTTGCGTATAACCCTGTCGACATCTCTGCCGGTCCTTTCGGCACTGAGAGTATACGTTTAGAGAACTTTCCTGTACTCGAGAAGGTTGCCCCTAACCCTGCATTCATCGAGCAGTCGGCAGATAGCCCGGGTAATTACACCGTAGATTTGTCAAAGATCATGAAAACATCGGTAGCCTTTCACTACCAGTTACACATCGAAGACAGCAACATCGGCTCCCTCCCACCAATTCTTTTGTCCCCAGCCTGGAAATCAGAACCGACACAGACGTCTGCCATCCTCAACTACTCCCTCAACCCCAGATTCGAACTTGGCGGTGCCACAAGCATCACCATTCGCAACCTCATCCTTGTGATTCGTCTCGAGCCTGGGTCGAAAGCGACGTCGTGCCAATCGAAGCCCACTGGTACCTTCTCACGCGACAAGGGACTCATTTACTGGCGTCTAGGCGACGTAACCCTCTTTCAAGGCTCCGCCCCCCAAACCCTACGCGCACGCTTCGTAACTGACGGCCAGGCCAAACCTGGTAACACGGAAGCCCGCTGGGAGATTAGCGATGAGCAGTCTTTGACTCTGGGTAGCGGGCTAGGTGTTAGCATGATGGCGCCTCTCAACGCGAAGAAGGACGATGGCGAGGCTGATCCGTTTGCGGATGCAGAGGAGAATGCGCCGGCTAGTCCGGCGATTGGATGGAACTCTGTAGCTACTGTTAAGAAGATTACCAGCGGGACGTATTTGGGTGTTTAGACAGGAATAGTGTTGGCCTGAATAATGGATAGATGCAGAAAGAGACGGGAATACGGACAAGCTTTAATATCAAGTGTGGATGCAGTACGAAGATGTTAATCAACACAATCTTTTCAAAGTTTATTTTCCAAGTGTGTGTGTGTGTGTGTGCGTATCGAGAGCAGCGTATAGCCTTTCCTATTTCCTCAATCTTTCTGTATACACGTTTTCCATGTGAATATAGTGTTGCTTCATGTTCAGTATTCATCTTGTCTTTCCTCCTTTTTCCCACTCACAACATTTTGGTATTCTTGGCGAATCATGGAGTAGGAATGACAAGACAAGGATCGAAGCGATGGAAGTATGCATTACTGAGAGTTGGTATTGATTGACTGCGCATAAAAGCCTAGGCCAAATACAAATACGAAAGAACAAGTTCTACCCTTACTCAAGCCGAGTCCGCTACTGCACTACAGCAATGGCACCCCCATGATACTGGATCTGTTCCGGCGACTGCACCCCAGGCATGCCAGTCTTCGGCATCTCCGCACACTGCCTCCATGATCCCGAAAGAACCTTGCTTACTATCGAAACGACAAGATTCGACATTTTCCAGAAGTCTGGGACCCACTGATGCAACTTCCATATCACCATCGCTGCCGTTGCCATGACGCATATGAAGATCCAGAAGATCACAAAGATCTGGCGTGATTTCGACGCCGTACGGAGAGGGTGGCCTGAGACGTGAAGGTGAAGAGATCGTCTTCGCATCATTGTTCAGTCTATCGAGAGACATCGTAGACCTCCGGTAAGCCGCTCTTGCTCGTGTCCTTGCACACCTCTCATCAAACCTATCGCTAATCCAATCCTAGTCGCCTTCGGCAAGACGAGCCTCACCGTAACATGTGGGCCAACTTGTTTCCTCAGCTATGCGACTTGTTTCGTAGGAATCTCATTGGTGAAGAGAATAGCATTGCACAGTGCCGGCTCTATTCGACGGATGTACGTGTTCGGCATAACTCTGCCTTTATCGACCCCAAAAGACATCTCGAAACGTACGAGCGTGTCCGTACCACGGCCTTGGACCTCATGCTGGATGTAGCGACCTACGGCGACTTCAATCAGATCCCTATCTTGAGCATGGGCCATCGCGGATACAAGCGCAAGATGGAAGCCAACCATATCCCACGCGCCAAACGGACTGAAGTGCAAGACTATGCCGCTAGACTCCCGGCATAGACGAAAACCTGCAGCATGTCAATCCGTGTGCTGCGATACAAGCATGATTATGGGGAAGTTCAGGGGGCTTCGACCTCGTTCGATTGGTCGAGCTGATCGTCCGAGGAGAGGAAGGACCGTAGGCGGAGTCTCCTCCGTTAGTATCGCTGACCCCTGATCTATAACATAGAGGGCTAGCTGAGATCAATCAGTGAATTTTCTTCGAAACTTGGGTGAAAGCAATGCAAGGGAGAACTAACCTCCGATCTGACCCAGTCTCACCAACTGGCACCTACAAAAAACTATTTTGCTCAGGTAAAAATATGGTGCCAAACCCTGCATATGATAATGATTGTTAGTATAGTGATATGCATTGTGATAAAATATACTACAGAAACGAAGACGAAGCCACCCAAGTATTATATACCCCACCAATTGTTTACCGCTAGTGAGCGCGCAAGTGCCCAGCTCCTCCCATCTTCCTACAATAGAAAGAACACTGAGCATGCACATGGTACGCCTTAAGCATGGGCCTGGATAACTTCGCAGCGTTCTTAGCCTACGTAGGACAGCTCAAAGTATCTTGAGTGCCGCCAAGCATCATTGACTGAGGTATGCGTTGAGAGAAGGTAAAACAATAAAGCTCTCACGGTAGACTACTAAATTGCTGGAAATTGTGTTGCAATACCTGCACGCATTCCACCGAGGAGAACACACAGTCCTCGCTGCCGGCGTAGGAGGGAGGTTATGAGGTAGCGTGGAGGCATTCGTAGCGAACAGTCTGGTAAGTGCGCCCAACCCGCTATCTAGGGGACTACGACCAGCATTTTGCTAAGGCCAACGAGCCTGCTGAAAGTGGATCCTGGGGCGACTCGGCCAAGAAAACAATCTACTTTGAAAACTTGATGAACAAGTGTTGCCGCGTATGCACGAGGAAGAGAATAGGAGAAGCAATTGAGGTAAAAATTAGAAACGACTAAGCACGAGAAATAAACCTACGCTGATGCTTGTTTCGACTTATGCCAGAAAGTCTTCACAGTAGAGGACGGATACTGCAGCACTTACCGTAGATCACTACAAGGTAACTTGGGGCAATAGATCGAACAGGCTCTGTCACGGCACGACGAGCCTAGACTAAGTAGATCTGAATTACACGCAACATCACAATTGCGAGGCTGGACCAAGAAAGGTGTGCATTAATACGTATATTCCAAACTATGGAATTATGAGTAAACTTACATTTGGCATGAAAAGAAGTCCTTCGCGAATTCGCTTGCCCAAACGAGCGTCCTGAAATGGTGTATGTCCGATGCAAAGTCGTATAAAGTCGCCAAATATGTTGTATAGTCCCGGACTGTCCAGAACTCGAAAAGCAGAAGTGCTCACTCCATACTTTTGGCCAGGGCCCACAGGCTGTCAAGTTTGGCCCTTCCAAGTGTCTCGCGAGCCTCTCCAGCGGTTTCGCAGACTCTTGAGCCCCACTTCCGAAAAGAGCGCTCTTTGATCTCACCCTCGAAGATAAGGATACATTTATTGGATGAATGGTCCTTTACATCTCCAGTATCCGTGACTGGCCTCAGCCACTTTGGATCATGCGCTTGCTTCTCGACCTGATTCTCTGTAGGTGGCCCGTTCTCATGCCACTTGATACGTTGGAGCATAAGCTTCTTGTATTTGTTGATTGCATATGCGCCACCTTCGACGACAACCAGATTGAGATCGGGATTGAACAAGGTGATACCGGTAAGTGCGTATTCTTTTGCGTTGTTGTCGATCTGGAAGCGATGTTTGCCATAGGCGAGTGTGTTGATCTTGAAAACGCACATGTAAAGACCCTTTTGCGCGTCCTTATCCTGGTTGGCAGCAAGCTTGGCCTGCCGCTCTTCCTTGGTCAACTTGCGGTCTTCGTTTGCGGTGATGTGGTCATCGTGACGCTGCTGGATCTGCGATTCGACAAGCATCTCTACGGCAGTAGGGTCTGCAATAGCCTGCTCGCCCATGACACGCATCATGTTTCCACGCTTGACCTTGGGTGGTGGCGGCGGCTCCAATCCAAGACGAATCTTGGCTTGGTGCTCCTTAAGGTCGGCGGCACGGCGCATTCTTCTTAGCTTCTGTGTCTCCTTTGTGGTGAGATACATAGGCTTCACTTGGACTAAACGCTGGTCCTGAGGCGCTTTTAGGAGAGGGGGGTGCTGTACGTAGAGAGTGATGATGGAATCGTCAGTCTCCACCTTGACCTTGCTTGAGTCATGCATGCACTCGTAGGTGGGCTCGGCCAAAATGCCCTCGTCCCACCATTCTATGTCTGGAGGGGCCTGAACAAGGAATCCGCGCTCGCTATTCTCGTCCAAGCCAGCACGGCGGGCTTGGATGGCCAAAGTCTTCTTGATCTCTTCCAGGCGACGTTGCGCGCGCAGCTTGGAGGCCTGGTCGAGGTACTTTCCATGCTCATTGAAGGCCAGAACACGAGGACCTCTCTTCTTGGCAAGGGCAGCAGCCTTGGGATCGAAGTAGGGATTCTCTAGCTCCTCCTCTTGTTGTTGTTTCGGCTTGGAGGCGGCAGGCTTGGCCTTGGGATCGACTTTGGGCGTCTCGGAGCGGCGGTTGCCCAGTGTTGTCGCAAAGCGAGGCCCGGTGGAATCGGGCGTTGGGGCTTTGGCGATTCCTGAGCCAGCCTTGAGCGCCTCCATCCTCGCCTTCATGGCGGCTAATTTGTCTTGAACAGACTCACTTGCGCCAGCCGACGCCGACGGAGGAGCCGCAGCAGCAGCAGGCGGCTTTGCGAAACGGGCAGCAATCTCGGCAGCCTTTGCCTTTGCTTTCGCCTTTGCGGCTTCGACAGCATCAGAGCCCTTTGCGCGCTTTGCGTCTCCGTTGGGGCCCTGGCCGTCGGGGTACGGGCGCTTCTCTGCCATGGTCATGGTGTGTGGTTGGGCTATGCGGAGGTGCGGAGGTCGAGTTTGATTGCAACGGCGCGTCGTCGTTGTCGTCGCGGGATGGCTGTGCAGACTCGGGGCAATCCACTACATTCGATGCGCGGAGGAGGTAGTCGGCGACTGTCGACGGGATGCGACGAGTGAGTGGGGTGAGGTTGATTTGATGATGGAAACCAGTCGCTGCGGAGTGACGCGAAATCAACGCTGCCGCTCAGCAAGCGTCTTGGCGCGTGCCGGCTAAACCCTGGCCGAACTTTTTTGGTCCCGAAAAAACTCCCCGCAAGTCTCGCGCCTGCTGCGAACCTTCACTGAACGCCTTTGCGCGCGATTCTCTCCCGGCAGAAAGCGCAACAGGCAAATAGGTGCAGTCATGAACACCCACCAGCCAACTTCCTCGGCCATTAACGGCGTCGAGTTTGGCTTCTTGACCACAAGCGACATCAAGTCGCTCTCGGTGAAGCGCATCACGAACCCGACCACCTTCGATACACTGCTTCACCCCGTACCCGGCGGTCTGCACGATGCTGCACTGGGCGCTTTCTTGGACAACCCGTGAGCTTCACCCTGTTTCTGCCAGCTCCCTTCATTCCGCTAACAAACTTCAAGATGCGGAACATGCGGTCTCACCAGCTTCCTGGGCTGTCCTGGCCACTGCGGCCACATCGAGCTTCCCGTACCCGTATACCACCTCACCTTCATGGATCAGCTGCTGCGACTGCTCCGGGGCAAGTGTGCATACTGCCACCAGCTCAAGCTCGCCCGGGTCCAGATCAACGAATTCGTCTCCAAGCTGCGGTTAATACGATGTGGATTGGTAAAAGAGGCGGCCGAGATGCACGAGCATATCAACATGGAGAAGGGCAAGTCCAACACTCAAAATGCAGACAATTCGGAAGACGACGACGACGATGACAACACCGACATCATCACACAGCGCAACAGCTACGTCAAGAAGTGCATGAAACGGGCAAACATCTCCAAGCACGATGCACGATCGATACGCGACAAGAATGAGACCATCTCTGACGCGCGGCGACAAGTGGTCAAGGACTTCTACGCCGATCTCAGCAAGCGCAAGACCTGCGGCAATTGCCAGGGCATCAGCCCAACATACCGCAAGGACCGTGGCATCAAGATCTTCCGAAAGGCCATGAGCCAGAAAGACAAGGCCAAGATGGCTCAGCTGGAAAAGCGCATACAGAACCCGCTGGATGTCCTGGCTCGCAGAGACGCCAGGGCGAAGAAGCAACACGTACACGCGGATGAAGGAGTTGCGGACCTGGACCCCATCTCGGACGAAGACGAAGGCGTTGATATGGAGGACATACAGCAGGCCGACGGGTCGCTCCTTGCTACCGAGTCGCGCATGGCACGGAAAGCGAAGCCCGCAACCGATGCCTCCGAGAGTCTGCAGGAGTACGTGAGTGCAACAGAAGTCAAGGCGGCCATGACTCTGCTCTTCGAAGGCGAGCCTGAGATAATGCGGCTGCTCTACAGCCCTTACGGAACCAAGTCTCTTGTCGATGTAAACGCCGACATGTTCTTTACCCAAGCCGTCATTGTACCACCAAACAAGTACAGACCGGAGGACAAGACCGGCGACTCCATTGCCGAATCCGCCAGAAACAAGCTCTACAAGAGCATTCTCGAAGCATGCGACACGATCCGTCAAATCAGCCAGGAGATGCAGGGCAAACCCAACGAACTTGGATACCGACAGCGCAACTTCGACGACATGCAGACCCAGTTCGTCGCTCTTCAAGGCGCTGTGAACGCGCTCATCGACCGTGATGCAAACCCCGTACAGGGCCGCGCGGCAGTCACAAATGCTGATGGTATCAAGCAGGGTCTGGAAAAGAAGGAGGGTCTCTTCCGAAAAAACATGATGGGCAAGCGTGTCAACTTCGCCGCGCGCAGTGTCATTTCGCCCGACCCGAACATCGAGACGAACGAGATCGGTGTCCCCCCAGTGTTCGCCATGAAGCTTACATACCCGGAACCCGTCACAAACCACAACTTTTACGATCTCAAAGAAGCCGTCCTAAACGGCCCAGACAAGTGGCCAGGAGCGCATGCTATTGAGAACGAGTTTGGGCAAGTCATCTCCCTGAGGAAGAAGAACTACGAGGAGCGACTAGCTCTGGCGAACCAGCTGCTCGCACCCTCGAATTCGTACTCGAACGGTGCTCGGAACAAGAAGGTGCATCGTCATCTGAACAACGGCGACGTTGTCATCATGAACCGACAACCGACACTGCATAAGCCTTCGATGATGGCGCATCGAGCACGTGTTCTACCAGGAGAGAAGACCATTCGCATGCACTACGCCAACTGTAACACATACAACGCCGATTTCGACGGTGACGAGATGAACATGCATTTCCCCCAGAACGAGCTTGCCCGAGCGGAGGCTATGACGGTAGCGGACACAGATCACCAATACCTATCTGCGACTGCTGGAAAGCCGCTGCGTGGTTTGATTCAGGACCATATTTCCATGGGAGTCTGGCTTTCGAACAAGGACACATTCTTCACACGGGAAGAGTACCACCAACTACTATACTCTTGTCTGCGACCTGAAGATGGACATACGACATCAGGCAGACTTGAGACTGTGATCCCTGCAGTACTAAAGCCCCGGCCAATGTGGACAGGAAAGCAGATCATCAGCACTGTTCTGAAGAACATTAAGCCTGCAGAATATCAGGAATTGACGCTCATGTCCAAGTCATCAACCAATGGCAAGCTTTGGGGTGCCCACGTTGAAGAGCAGATTGTCATTGTCAAGGATGGCCAACTGCTTTCCGGTATCATGGACAAGAGTCAAATTGGACCTGCCGCAGGTGGACTGATTAACGGTATCTACGAAGCTTATGGGGAGACGATTGCCGGACGCGCCCTGAGTATTATCGGTCGGCTGCTTACCAAGATGCTTCACATGCGCGCCTTCTCCTGTGGTGTTCAGGATCTGATTCTTACAGAGGAAGGAGACCGCGCTAGATTGGAAGAACTTCGAAAGGCAGAGAAGATTGGGTTCGAGGTGGCCTCCAAGTACGTCACTATGGATGCGGAAAAGATTGACCCTACCAACCCAGAGTTACGGCGACGCCTTGAAGCTGTCCTGCGAGACGATACCAAGCAACACGGTCTCGATCTGCTTACAAACACTGCCAACGGCAAGATCTCCTCCACGGTCACCGCAGCCTGTTTGCCTGACAAGCTCATCAAGCCATTCCCGAAGAACCAAATGCAAGCCATGACAGGTTCTGGTGCCAAGGGTAGTATGGTCAACGCCAACCAGATTTCATGTAATCTCGGTCAGCAAGTCTTGGAAGGTCGAAGAGTTCCAGTTATGATTTCTGGTAAAACGCTGCCATGCTTCAAGCCCTTCGAGACCAGTGTTCGTGCTGGTGGCTACATTGTCAATCGTTTCTTGACTGGTATCCGACCGCAAGAGTACTACTTCCATATGATGGCTGGTCGCGAAGGTCTCATTGATACCGCTGTCAAGACTTCGCGCTCTGGTTACTTGCAACGATGTATTATCAAGGGTATGGAAGGTCTCAAGGTCGAATACGACACTTCAGTCCGCGACTCCGACGGTACCATGGTTCAGTTCCTGTACGGTGAAGACGGTCTCGACACGACAAAGCAGAAGTACCTCAACGACTTCAAGTTCCAGGCGGAGAACTTCTATTCGCTAGCCCAAGCGCTCCACACCACAGAAGCCTACCCGAAGGTCTCTAGTAATGAAGCAGCTGAGCACAACAAGAAGGCTGCGAAGAAGGCCAGGAAGGGTGATGTGGCAGCAATGGATCCTGCCACTGCAGTTTACACGCCATCACGGCATAGTGGCAGTACCTCTGAGAAGTTTTTGCAGGCTAAGCGCGACGTAAGTTCCTTGAATTCGTGTCGTTGGAATTTACTAACTATCACAGTACTGTGACCAAAACCCCGACAAGCTGCTCAAGAACAAGAAGAAAGACGAAGAGGGTGAGATTCTCAAGCGTACTTTCGAGCAGATGCTTGATCTCAAGTACCTCAGATCTCTTGTTGAACCTGGCGAAGCTGTCGGTGTCGTCGCTGGGCAGTCTATTGGTGAGCCCTCCACACAGATGACGTTGAACACTTTCCATTTGGCTGGTCACTCTGCCAAGAACGTCACACTCGGTATCCCACGTCTACGAGAAATTGTCATGACTGCTAGTGCGAATATTTCCACTCCATCGATGCAGCTGTATCCTCACCCCGAGTTGTCCAAGGAAGACAACGAGAAGTTTGCCAAGAGTATCACTCGTCTGCCGCTCTCAGCTGTGCTCGACAAGGTCACTGTCACTGAGACATCTGGCCCTGGTGAACAATTCGGCCAATCCAGGAGCTACAAGATTCGCCTGGACTTCTACCCAGCAAAGGAATACACAAAAGAGTATGCCATCAAGGTTCGCGACGTCGCCGAGTCCATTGAACAAAAATTCTGTCCACGTCTCCAGAAGATCGTTCGTGTCGATCTCAAGAAGAAGGCTGCAGAAAAGTCCTTGTCAACGGCGAAGTCGGCTGCTATCCCTACTATCGGTGAGAAGACTGGTAGGAGTGGAGAGCAGACAGTCGAAGAGTCCGAGGAGACTATCCGGGCTGGTCGGGAAGGCGGAGCAGAAGACGATGACAGTGACGACGGCGAGGGCGATAACGATACTACTCATGCCAAGGATCGCGGCCGACGGGAGGACAGTGTAGCTTACGAAGAGCCGGAAGAGGAGGAACAGGCTGTCAACGATAGGCTTGACCGAGAAGACGAGGTCAGCGAAGACGATGAGACGTACGGTGGCAGCCCCAAGCCCTCGCGTGCGGTTACCCCTGACCCCAACTCCGACGATGAGGATGAACGTATGCTCGTCCCCACCGACGAGTCCTCGGAAATCCGCCACGACCGTATCTGCCACAAGAACAGTGACATTTTTGACTTCAAGTTCGATGACCGCAAAGGAGCTTTCTGCGAGATTACTTTTGAATTCTCCGCATCTACACCGAAGCTTCTCATGCTGCACCATGTGGAAGACGCTGCCAATTTCGCCACTATCCACGTCATTCCCGGTATTACTGCCGCCCAATTTTCAGCCAAGTCAAAGGACAACCCTGAGGATGTCATCAATACCGAAGGCTCCAACCTCATTGCCATGCGCGAGTACGCACACATCATCGATGTAAACCGTACTACAACCAACGACATTGTGGCTATGTTGCATCTCTACGGTGTCGAGGCTGCTCGTGCGACGATCGTCCGCGAGATGCACGGCGTCTTCTCTGGTCACGGTATCTCCGTTGACCAACGCCATCTCAACCTCATCGCCGATACCATGACCAAGGGCGGTGGTTTCACACCATTCAACCGTATCGGTATGAAGGGTAACGTGAGCCCCTTCATGAAGATGAGTTTCGAAACCACCGTTGGTTTCCTCAAGGACGCTGTCATGGAGCGCGATTGGGATGAGCTCAAGAACCCCAGTGCACGTATTGTCGTTGGTAGATTGGGTGGTATCGGCACGGGTGCGTTTGACGTACTCGCACCAGTCAAGATTAGGGATCCGTTGAAGGACGTTGCTGAGGAGGTCAATGACGTCGTGCTCAACGACGTTCGTGAGAAGCGTGATTCCGATTCGGAGTCTGAGGAAGAAGAAGAAGAGGATGAGGATGTCGATAGTGATATTCAAATGAACGACGTGGAGATGGAGGATGTCGATGCTGCCGAAGAAGAGGTTGTTCAGCAATCACCCAAGAAGAAGGACAAGAAGAGTAAGAAGCACAGGCGGAGTAGCGATTAGGCGCCGTTGATTTTGTTTGCTTGTACGTTACATTAAGAGGTGTTTCTGGGCATGGTACGGGCGTTTGACAAAAGGCGGGATAATATTGATGTAGTTTAGCATGTCGACAATGTGAAATGGCAAAAGTGTTCCAATTCGAAAGTCCTTTGATATCGATGGTGTCCGGGTTGAATTCAAAATTGAGCATCCAGAGCCCACTGGGACTGTCACCAACACTCATGACCAAGATGGTACTAGCTATGCTATAGCAAAGATCGATATCTGCTACTGCTTTAGGTATAGGTCGTCATTATCGTGATCTTTTACATCGTATAGATCGGCGGCCCGCCTCCCACACATCTGGAATACGCCTGTCGGAACTGGCATCTGCTTTTCGTCTTCGTATAGCCCGTAGTTGAGTAACGTTTCTACATCGGACGTGTACGAACACATCATCATTCGCTATACGGAGAGGACCCTTGTTCAAAATGTACGGCCGATTACTCTCAGTTCTGAAAGGCAGGATAAGATGGCATGTCGAGGTGCTCGACAACCCTAGTACCCACTGTATGACCTTGTATCAACATGTCTACATACTTGTATCGTACCACTCGCTGACGGATAGCTGCCGTCTTGCGCAACCGTCATTGCGGCCTTCTCCTTATCCACAAGAACGCATGTCGTCGAACTAGCCTCAACAAACGACAGCGATCATCGATGGACCGTCCTCGCTTAAGCTGTCGATCTGCCACAGCGCATAAGCACGTGAAAGCTGCCGTTGTGGTGAAAGTGGCGGGCGTGGGCCTTGTTTATCGCATCCTTCCCGGCAGTCCGGCCTTGTCAAGAAGGAATGCCGATTATCGAGGTTTCGAGGCAGGTGTATGCCGCGGTTGCATCGAGGCTCGGTGGCAGCTGATCGTGAGTATCGTCACTCGTGATAGCCAAGCCATTGAAGAAATAATGAGAGGAGACTTGTTTGCGAGCTTGAGCCGCAAGGCGTGACATGCAAAGCTCCGCTATGGCGCGATGAGTAAGCTCGCGCAACATGTGCGAAAAACGCGATTCGTGCACTAGCAGTACGCCAAACCTCGTCATCCACTTTCACATGTGATACTTCAGCCCTCGAAGTTTCGATGCTATTTCAGGACCTAGAACGGCCTCAACACGTCCCACTACCTGCTGCATTGATGCCAATATGCCCGCCGTCCTGCATTCCTGCTGATGCACAAGAGGACTACTTGTGCGGCACGCACGACGGAACCAGTCCCTGAGGCCGCTCAATGGCAACGAGGGGGTTGTCGACGTGATAAGGGTTCTCCAATTGAGGGGCGCAATCCCTAGCTGTAATGCACTGTTGCCAATCGATCCACGGTCGTTTCTCAGCTAGGAATTGGAGCTCACCCGATAGCTGACGCGCAAGCGGAGGCGACGCACGGTATGACCAGGACGCGATAGGATACAAAGGGGAAGCCGGCACTCCGGTGTATACAGGGCAACCGAGTGGTTTGAGTATCTCGCCAACGAGAGAGCACGTGGCTGATCTTATCTGATGTCGCTGAGTTGTGACTGGCCAAAGCGCCCTTCTTTCACATGTCAGGCGCAAGCTGTACGCCCTGCATCCCAACTCCTCAACGCTCTACATGCGCCAGATAGAGTTGGAGACGCGGGGCACATGGAAAAAAGCATATTGCGGCGTGTTTGTGTAGCGTCAGGCTTGCATCGACTCCGCACGCTGAATCTCAACGTTCGAAATGAGAAGCGGCGCGAGAAGTTAACTTGGGTAGTGACGTTTTGGTAGGCCCCAGTGTAGATTGACATAGCGCTTGTCGATAGCCACTTTCACATGCCACTGCATCTTGTTCACCCCAGCCCACTGAACCACACCGTTTTCAGCAAAGCCTCCCAACCAAAGACAGTCACATCATAGCGCACCGCCGTATAATAAGGTCGACCGAAACCCGTTCTCTCTCTACGTTACTGTTACTCCTCCACTGCCTCCCAGCTCAACAATCATCCAGCACCCACAACAGTAGACGGCAACACTGCATATCTGCTACTGCAATTAATGGCACCGCACGCTACTGACGACGGCAACAACATGAGCTCTGAAGCGCCTATGACCAATGGCGAGACGCCCACCTCCAAGGCTCTATCGGTACGTACTGTTCTCTTTCCTATACGCTCATTGGCGGTCTCTGCCTCTTAGTGGCCACAATGGAAAGAGTATGACTTGGCGTTTCAGCGCAATTTGATATCAATCGTGAATGATTGCGAAGTCTGGACGACTTTAGGACCGCAATCTATTTGGGTCAGCAATATGGCGCACGAATCCCATGATGCAGATGCGGAGCTTACGGCCCAGCCAATCAACCTGCCATGCTCGGAACCTTCTTACAGCATGAACTTTATTTGGCAGAAGCTATCCGAAAGCAATCGCATCTTGAACTGTGACCTCTAAAGTATGAACCGTGAGCTAATGAATATCAGCATCTGCACTCCTACCCTGTAGTTCACGACAGCGTTGAGACCTTCAAGTCCAATCCCTATGGTTCGCGCGCCTTGAACCTCGCCAACAACACCTACCAGTCCATCGTCGCACCCTTTCATCCATACTTGCGCACACCCTACTCCTACATCTCACCCTACCTGGCACGCGCCGACCAGCTCGGGGACTCTGGCCTATCCACCCTAGAGACACACCTACCCATTGTCAAGGAAGACACTTCAAAATTGAAAGAATATGCTTTCTCGCCCGTCACATACGTGCAAGGTACCTGGCAAAACGAATACAACAAGACACATTACAACAACGGCGTTGTCAAGATGGGTGTTGCGACAGTCAGCTTCGAGCTCAGGATGTTGAGCGATGCGTGTGACGTTGTGTTGAATTACCTGAACAAGGGAAAGGAGCAGACGAAGAAGAAGGTTGACGAGGTCAAGCAGTAGAGTAAGGCGCTAATGTGCAAAGTCTGGCGGCGTGTTTGTACGATGAGAGACAATCGGAAAAGCAAGGGCAAAGGGGCGTCCATCAGTGTGGCCTTGTTGACGTAACGTGGAGTAACTTTCTTGCGTCCGTTTGCGCACCTTTCCTTAGAAGATAGACCAATTAATAAATGATATCCCTTCTGTTCAATTGCTGTTCTTCGTACACAGGTTTTTATGTGAAATGTTTGGGTCGTTTGGACTGCAACCACTTGGTTAATGGCTCGGTACATCGGTCCGATGGTATCGTCAGGTCGTCCTCACCCTTCCATAGTCCCATCAGCACGAGACATTTTACTAGCATCACCCAGTAGTGGAAACAGAGGCCAACTTGAAGATCATGTGCATTTCATGAAGTTCGTGAATTGAGCCGGATGCCGGATTTTTCATGCTTTGATTATCAAGCCGAAATACACGCCTGGATGGCAGGCCACTTTTGGGGTCCTGTCCTCCTATGATATCCACCGCTCATGCAGCATCTTCCGTATCAAATCATGCCCATCTGCGCCCAGCCGTAACCGAAGGAAAGCCTAGAACTGTAAGGGAGTGAAGAACCACCTGTTCTTTCCGGACTGGTATCGCTCCTCGAAGGCCTTCTTGACGGTCTTCTTGGCCTCCTCCCGTTGCGAGACCTCCTTGAATGTGTCGGCGGAAACGACGCCCTTGAGGTTCTCGAGCTCGATGGTGTACCGGGTGGGCATGATGTGGGTGTCTGCGTCTATCAGCGTCTGCCCAGGGATTGCGTCCTCATGTCCACATACAGTTGACCTGCTTGACGAAAGGCTTGACCTTGCTCTTCTTGGCCTGCTTGGTCTTTGACATGCGGCGGGTGACCTTGGATGGGTAGGTCTCGATACCGGCAACGAGCGCGTGGGGGAAGGGGTGGCTCTTGGTGCCGTTGTCAAGTGGTGAGATGATCACACACTTCTTTCCGGCATAGCGGCCCCTGGTGATGATCTAGGCGGACTGTGAGTGCATGCGAGGGAGCTGGATCGAGCGATTTCAACGTACGACAACGCGTCCGACCTTGAGGCTGGAGGATGTGTTAGCAGCTGCTCTGTCGCATGTTGTGGATTTTCAAGGGTGCAGCAAATGGCGGCCCCGGGCACAGGATAACGCATCGCGGGCGCCAATTTGCATCGCAGAGAGATTCGTGGGTATCGGGGCACTCACAACTTCATTTTGGCTGTTGTCCGGGTTAGTGATGGGTACTTGGTCGCGGTTCGAGGTTGAGGAAAATGGGTGCAATATTCGCTTCCTCGTTGTGTCCGGCGCCGCCACGCTAACGTCTTTGGGGCTGGCGGGCCCCGCCCATGCCTAGAAATCCTCAAGACCCGCCAAAACTTCGCGGCGGCGACTGTCGAGAGCTGGACACCCACGAAAATGAAGATCAAGGCCCTCAGCCGGTCCACGGCGTCTACACAGGCTCCCGGCTCCAATGTCGCCAAAGTCACGAGGAATCTGGACCCCAACCTCCACCCGTTCGAACGCGCGCGCGAATACACCAGAGCCCTGAATGCGACAAAAGTTGAGCGCATGTTTGCGCAGCCCTTCCTTGGCGATTTCGAGCCTGGCCATGTAGACGGCGTGTACTCGTTCGCAAAGGACCCCAACTCGCTCGAGCACTTTGCCAGTGGAAGTGGAGACGGCATCGTCAAAGTCTGGGACTTTACGAGCAGGGAGGAGAAATGGCAGGCGCAGGCGCATGAAAACCTGGTCAAGGGCATGTGCTGGACCCGAGACAAGAAACTGATAACGTGCGGATCAGACCGCCAGATCCAGTTGTTCGAACCATATGCACAGTCATCCAAATCGCCGCCGAAAGCGACATGGCACGGCAACTCGGCCTTCACATCCGTCTCGCACCACCGCTCGCTGCCTACCTTCGCTGCTGGATCTAGTGTCATTTCTATATACGATACATCAAGGACGTCCGGAGCTCCTGTCTCGAGCCTTGTGTGGCCATCGGTAGGTCGCGATGCCCGGTGAATTCAACGCATGTACTGACTGTGTGACAGGCCATTGATACCATCACCGACGTCAAGTTCAACCAGGTCGAAACATCGATACTGGCATCGTGCGCAACTGATCGCGCTGTCATTCTTTACGACGCCCGAACGAACTCTCCTCTACACCGCACTGTGCTCAACTTCCCGGCAAATTGCATCTCCTGGAATCCTATGGAGGCCTACAACTTCGCTGTCGCGTCCGAAGACCATAACGGATACATCTTCGATATGCGCAACATGAAGCGGGCTCTGCAAGTCCTGGTAAGCTTGCCATCATCATGCCATGACTACGACCAGGTACTAACAACAAACAGAAAGGACATGTTGCGGCAGTCATGTCGATTGAGTTCTCTCCCACTGGAGAAGAGCTCATCACGGGCTCTTACGACCGATCCGTAAGACTTTGGGAGCGACAAAAGGGCCATTCCCGGGACGTCTACCACACCAAGCGGATGCAGCGCGTCTTCTCCGTCGCATGGAGTCCCGACAACAACTACGTACTCAGCGGCTCAGACGACGGTAACGTCCGTTTATGGAGAGCGAGGGCTTCCGAGAGACAGGGCGTCAAGTCTTTCGCTCTACGACAGAAGCTTGAGTATGACGCAGCGCTCAAGGAGCGATATAAGCATATGCCAGAGATTAAGCGTATCGAGAGACATAGGCATCTGCCCAAGACTGTCAAGAAGGCTGGCGAGATCAAGAACGAGGAGCTAAAGGCCCTTAAGAGGAAGGAAGAGAACGAGAGAAGGCACACAAAGAAGGGCACAGTCCGAAGGAAGGCAGAGCGTGAGAAGATGATCTTGGCAAGAGAGCAATGATGTATCAAAAGGGGGAGGTTAGTATATTTTCTGCATAGCGATGGCGTTCTTGGTATTCAAGTTGAGGACCTGGTATACTGCACGGCACACCTGAGGGTGTATATGGTAGTTCGAAAGATATAAGGCATGCCGACTCTGTCAGATTGTCTCTCCAAGAACAATTATTAGCTTTCGAACTGAAGCTTTTTGAACGTCGATCCACGTGATGTCGCGTAATTGCGTCATACCTCGGTCTGGCGTACACCCCAACGTGTATTCCGCAGTACGGAAGGACGTGGGAAGTGACATTTGCCTTACACCGTACAACTTGCCAAAGTACACCAATTGCTGACCCCATTCACCTCTCATCTCGATACTCTGGTCTCTAGCAACACCTTCTCAATTTAGACGTATTACGTCGCAGCCATGACATCTATATCTGCCCTCAAGATCCAAGACACCAAGCTAAGCAGCCTCGGCCTCTCAAAGTCGATTGTAAACAAGGAGAAAGTCTGCTGTTACACGCGTTCTCTAGAAAACGCAGACGACAGGAATCCCATACTTGTTCTGATCCATGGCTACCCGCAGTCAGCTTACATGTGATTGCTCCTTTGTACTCTCTATACCCCCACGGTGTAGACTGACACGAGACCAGGTGGCGACATTTAATTCCCCAGCTTCCATCCCAGGCACCGCTCTTCGTTCCGGACCTGCCCGGTTATGGCGCTAGTCCACCAATCGAGCGGAACGATAAATTGAGTGTTGGAACGGCAGTACTCGAGGCGCTGAAGACAGAGGTCAAGAAGAGTAAGAGTAAAGACAGGGACGTGAAGATTATGCTTGTCGGGCACGATCGTGGAGCGAGAGTTGCGCACCGCCTTACCGTCAGCGGGGTAGACGGACTGGACATCCTTGGTGTTTGTCTAATCGATATCGTATGATGCAACCCTATGCATTGTTTGAGATTTCGAAATACTGACCATACCAGGTCCCGACTTCAACGCAATGGCAACATTTTGCTTCCCCAGCGACTGCGGCGAAGGAGGTTACGGGGTATTTCCACTGGCCGTTGCTCGCAAACGTGGATTTGGCGACACGTATGATCGCCGCTTTTGGGCCGTCCAACTGGTGTCAGGAAATGATCTTGCTTTGGTCGGGCAAAAGCAACACGGGTGTCGAGAAGCTAAAGGCTGATGAAGCACTGACTGTATATGGCGATTTTTTCGCACAGGAACATACGCTGAAAGCAAGCTGCGAAGACTACAAGGAGGGCGCTACGACGGATGTTAAGGAACAGGAGAAAGATCAGACAGAAGGGAGGAAGATTGGAGTCCCGGTTTTGTTGCTGTACAGTGAGGCGGGCATTGGTAGCAGATTCAACTTTCCAGATGTGTGGAGGGAGTGGGTTGGTGAGGGCGTAAGGATCGAGAATCATGGACTAGGAAACGGAACTGGACACTTTGGGGCTGAAGAGGCGCCTGATGAGTGTGCGGAGGCTATTGTAAGCTGGCTTGGAACAGTGGTTTGATGGATTTGTGTACTCGAACCACACAAGCTCGTACTCCTCTGCCTGTGAACTCAATCCCGGAAGACCTCTGTAACGGACGCACTTTGAAAGCGTCAACTCGATTGAATGCATAGGCATGTATGTGCTAGCGCGTCATGGCCCCATAGGCCTTGTGTTGCATATCGACATCTGCTCTCTCTCAATGCTGCTACCACTCAGAATCTGCACGAATGCTTGTCGCCTCGCGGGCAGTCGACTTCATGCAATCGGAAAGTTACGCTCATGTTGATTTCGATCTTGTAGGAAGAATTCAGTGATCTTTGGTCAAGGTTGTACACCATAGCTTGTCCAGTTGGAGCCTTTGACAGAGTTGCGTAGCTGGTTGAGGGTTGCGAACCTCAATGCAGCCCAATACTTGCGATTGCCCCATAAGCATTAAGCTATGCAGTAGGTCCTACAAGGAGAACGTTGATCTGGTGGACAGACTCTCGAGCGTGGCTATGAGCAAGCAATAGAAGTATTTGCCAGACCACTATTTGAAGGTGAGAAGGATAGTGACCAGGAGTTCAGCGCCATTAGACCTGTGAGCGTCAGTATATACCACGCGCATGAGAGATACTCTGCCAAACGTTATGTCATGCCTGCGAGAGCTATGAATACGATTGCCTCGAGCGTCGAGTCCAATGGCCCTATCATTGAACCTTGCTGCGTGAATGCCATCGAGCGAAAGCTAATACAGAAGCTCGGTTGAGAGTAAGTTTGGTCCTCCGAATCAAAACGAAAAGTGTCTGAAAAGGCTCCTCGTACTGCTAACCTGGAGAGTGGCGTGTGTTCTGAATGCAAATCGTTACGGCGTGGACAGACAGACATTGCATTGATAGAGCACCATGTCCTGTTGGTGAGTATCCGCAAGGCCAATGACGATAAGCCAGTACCATGGTCCAAATCTCATTCTCCAGGGCTTGCATCGTAGGATGTCTTCATGTAATTTCCGTTGCCACAGGCTCTGTGGCTAAGCAAGATGTGATGCTTTGAGCGGCGTACAGTGGGATGCCTCCAGTGCCGACACAATGAGATTGTATGCATCGACCTTTTGCCTTCTGACTTATCAATATCGTAACGGTATTGAGGTGAAAAAACGGGTTGTGAGTGAGCTGTTGGGGAATGGAGTTCCTCTTGACGGTCCATGGAGAGCCGCCCCCGTGCCGCCTTGGCAGCTTCTTCGCGTACGCCCGGCAGGTGGACGCTACCGCCTTCCTGCTCCTGCACGCCAGGCATCGAATCAGCTTAACAGGCTCATTACACAGACAACCAGACTAACTGTATCCAACGGTCGCAACAGTATGACTGCACAAAAGCGATACAATCACCGAAAGACATTTCCGCCACTACGGCACCCTGGTGCGCCCGTCCGCATTCTTTACTCCAGATCGTCGAATGAGCGACATAATACGGTAGCGACACGGTTGTACTATGGGCTGAAGTCCGTGATCCGTTTACCGACATTTGCAGTGCAGCAAAGGTACCGTCTGGCCCACGGTCGGCACCTGTCAGATGCTTTGTGAGGCTTAATCCAATACAAAGAGCGACACGCATGTCTTGTCCCCAGTATCTCAAGAGATCTTCTTCTCCTCGTTCTACACTCCCCATCTGAGCGTCAGTACAAGTAGTCGCCCATTATGCTTTTTTCTACTGTTGCAGCTTGGCTGTTGTGTGTCGTCCATAGCTCATCTGCGTGCAAAAGAGACGATCTGAAGCTCGCAGTATCTACATTAAACCTGCGCCTATCCGAAGCTGCCACCGTCACCTTCCCATGGGATGCCCGTTGGAACGATCTCCAAGTCCGTGGCTCTTCTCCACGCATATCTCCCGACTACAACGTGGTGGTTGAGGTAGCGACAGAGTCCGACGTGCAAACAACGGTCGCATTGGCCAGTCGTCTCAACATCCCGTTTTTGGCCGTGACAGGGGGCCATGGATGGACTCAAACGCTCAATAAACTGCCCTATGGTATCCAGATTAACATGCGGAAGCTGAACACTACAACACTCAGCCAAAATGGCAGAACTGCGATGGTCGGGGGCGGAACAATGCAACACGAAATCACTCGCTCGTTATTCGCCTTGGGCAAGTATGCAGGTGAGATCACGCCTATATCTGCAGACGTACACATACTGAACGTTCTCGTTGCCAGTTACTGGGCTTTCGGCATGTGTGTCGGTTGCAGGTCCATTGTTAGGCGGCGGTCACAGTCTGCTCCAGAACCAACATGGCTATTCCCTAGACGGTCTCATTTCTGCGCGCGTAGTTCTTGCTAGCGGAAAAGTTGTAGAAGCCTCTCGAACAACCAATGCCGACTTGTTCTGGGCCCTGCAAGGAGCAGGACATAATTTTGGCATTGTGACTAGCCTTGAGGTTCAGACCTACGATATCCCTTCCAGCTGGACTGTCTACTCGCTCGTTTTCACGACCGACAAGGTTGAGGCGCTCTTCCGGCTGATCAACGAGTTTGAAGAGCCGGCTGTGAAACGTCCCGCGAAGCTAGCGCTCACAGGAGTGTTCGTGAGGATACCTGCTGTCGATCCCATCAATGTAAGACGGTCCCACGTCATAGTGCCAGGTGCTTACTCTCCACTAGCCGGTCGTCGCATACAATGTAATATACGAGGGCACGGAAGCGGAAGCTGAACCATACGCCTTACGTTTCAAAGCGCTCGGTCCAGTATCGACCACAGTATCGACGGACGTCGACTACGTAGAGCTTTATACGGTGACTGGAAACAATCTTCAAAGCCAAGCTTGTACGAGGAACGAGAATATTGCAGGAGCCGGCGTCTCGCTACCTGCTTGGGATCTTGAAGGTGTCCGTAAAGCATTCACAATATTCGGTAACATCACAGCCGATCCCCGCTTTAATACTTCCATTACCTTGCTGGAGAACTACGGCATGCAAGGTGTACGGGCTGTTGAAACAGCTTCCACGGCAATGCCACCCGAGGAACGCGAGTATCCAATCCTCGCGTCTCCAGTGCTGTGGTGGGCTGGCAATGATGCGCAGACGACCAAAGACGCCTATGTATATACGCGTGCGATGCGCAATGCGCTGTATACTGGCCTTGACAAGAGCAACAGAAAACGACACTGCTATGTGAATTACGCTAGTGGGGAGGAGAGTAAGCCCGAGATGTATGGATATGATGCTAGGCTTACGAAGTTAGCCAAGCTGAAGAATGAGTGGGATCCAGAGAACAGGTTCAGGTTTTACAACCCGATAGTGTAGACATAAGAGATGTCACGATATCAGAAGATGAGGTGTTTCGAATCAGACTGCTATTAGACGAAATGCAAGCACGGCCAATGATGGTGCAGGGAGTATCTCGCATCGCGTACCAGTGTCAAATCGAAGCGCCAAACTTTAGCCAGAAGTCATGTAATTCTCTCTTGCCAAGGCCAACCCAAAACTATCGCGAGACTACTACGTAAGCCACTTCCAGACGGCGTCGTTCTCCTCGGCTGAAACGCTGCCCTCCGGGTCCCAGTTGACGTCCTTTGGCTTAGGCGCCCACATTCTTGCACACTCCTCCAGATGCTTCGCAACAGCATCTTCAGTCAGCTCCACCCGTGACTTTACCACCTCTCCCTCCTCGCCCCCTGATACCTCCTCTGACACCTCCCCTTCCATCCCCTCTCGAGCAGGCAGAGCGAAGGTCCTCGCGGCATTGTGGAGCTGCTCTACAGACAGGTTTGAGGTTTTGTCGACCTCAACGCGCGCTAAGCCCCTGGTGGTGAAGATCTTGGCCTCAGGCCCAAAGTCGTCCAAAGTGTCTTGGTCGGTGATCTTCCAAACAGTAACCTCTTTTTCAGAGGCGTTCTGATCGATTTCTTCAACGGTATGCTTGCTAGCAGTAACCGTGAGGTGTGCGTGTAGTGATTCACGGGTTTTTCGCTCACTCGAAACGGTTTCGGTGTTGTTGAACAAACCGCCTTCGACGCAGGATTGGCCAACACCAAGGTACTCTGCTTCTTCTGCCATATACAGCCTGGCTAGTCGCTCAGGCTTACTGCATACGATGTGGAGGCGGCTTGTGGCCGGCAGTGCGTCGCCCAGTACACCCCAGATATCGGTCCATGTGATGTTTAGGGAGGCGGACTTTGATGGTCTGATGACGATCTCTAAAATCGTGTTCTCGGGATCTATGGCCAGATCTTCCCAGTCTTCTGGGCCCCAGATGGGGAATTTTTGGAGAGAAAACGATAGCGCTGTGGCCCGCGCTTCTTTTGAGGTGGTGAGAAGGGCGGATGGTGGTGAGATGCTTGTGACTTGGTATTCGTCTTCGTCGAATTCGACGGTTGCTGTTGTGGGCTTGCTCGCTTGCCAGACGAGACTGCGGAGCTCCATGGGGAGCCTGGAGAATGGTGTAAAGGTAGACATTCTTGTGTTGATACTTCGTTCAGGTTTATCAGGGTTCTGGTAATGCTGGTACTTGAAGAGAATGCAGACAAGTATTGCGAAGTGGTATGAGAGTGAAATGTTGCTTAGAAGGAAGGGAGCGTGGATTTCTCTCTTATATGGCACTCGAGCGAGCTAACTACAGTACCGTAATACACAAGCTTGAACAGTCATAAAGTGGGAAGAAGGTCTTTGCTGCGCTTCAGCTGCCCCATAACACGCACTTTCCCATGTTCGTAGCACACTGTACCAAAGAACGAGACCCAAAGTCCAAACCGGATGTATTTGCCGCACCATAGAGAACTTCGAAGATGCGATTCCATGGCGAAGACCTCTAGGCTACAATACAAGATCCACGTTCCTGGATGGGGGGAAAATATACTATGGTACCGGGATGTAGAGGTTACTATTTAGCACGCGTGTATTGGCTGTGTTCTGAGCTGCGTCTATTTATTGTTACGTGATGGCGGCTTCTACCACGGTATGGTGTGGAGTTCTCTGCATGAACTTGTAGCTTGTACAAACTTCTTCACGATAACAGCCCAGCTCTGCGACCACTCGGGATTTTTGCATTGCGCCCAAAAGCATCGTTCGCGCAGAATTTACCTAGCTGCTGGCTTGCGAGTTCATATTCACTGCACCCGCGACTTGTCTTTACAGGCGGACTCATGGTTGTGGAATGCGTGTAGGTCAGGCAGCAAGTTATCTGTACGAACACAAAGCATGTCAAGGTCACGAATCTGATAGAACAAAGTTGTGTGGAAGATCGGTTCATTGTCCGCTATGTACTATCAGCAGGCTATCGCTGCTATGAGCGCTGAACAGCTGCTCTATCGTGGGTCGAAGTAGCCTTCGCAAACTACAGACTCAAAGTCGTCTTCGGCTGACTTTACGCCCTTGGTGACAGAGCAGAACCAATTGTCTAGCCCTAATGGCAGATCTCCGGTAGGCCGCTGAAGCTGGGTCTCATGAAGTCGACCATTTGTGCCATCTTGCTGATCGGTGTTGATACCATCCCGAAGCAACTCTAGCTTCACGTTGTATGCTGCATTGAAAGCCACCCGGAGCAAGCGGGGTTGAGCACGCAGTTGTGGAAACAATGCGTCTTCTTCTTCGGGTAGAAGCTTGTCCTCGTACATGAGGATATAAGCAGCCATATGGCGCATCGTGTCAAGTAAGACAGGCGGTAAGCTTGCTTTTACAGCATCCACCCTAGCAGCCTCAAAGTCCTGCTGAGACATGAAAATCAGTAATCGTCGTGAAGCGCGTGATCGCGCTGGAATGTGCGATGCATAGCATCGATGATGCGGAGGTAGCCATGTTCTGGCAATCCGTTGTCGGACTCAGCCGAAACTTCTTGCGGCGACGAGTCGCGCAATGTGCGAATGCGTTCCTCGCGTAGATATGGCAAGACATCTGTCAGGTCGTCGTGCTTGTCGCCGACGATGTCGTCCCATCGATCGGTTATGTGTTCCCGTACGACTGGGAGGGGGTCTGGGTCCTCATCGGCCCAGTCATAGTGCTTTGTCAAGGGCTTGTCGCCCGAAAGTTGAGATTTTTTGGATTGAGGCGAATTTTCTGCCATGTCTCGCGTAGGTGGTGTATGTGTTGTGAGTGAGTAGATAGTGTGGTTTGTTTGGATATATCATAAAAACCGTTTGCGTCCGTATCGGGTTAGCCTTGGTTAGTGTTCACCATGAAAGACTTCACGGTCACTCTCACTGGAGACTTTAACAACAAGAACCACATTGCGCTGTAAGTGTAAAAGTCTTGCTTCTTGTTCTCATCACGTACTAACTACTTGAGACTATGGCAGGATTCTCGTATTCTGCTCGCGGCACCGCGCCTACTTCGTCTGACGACAGATTCTCTTTCGGTAGACCTTCGGGTCACCTTGAACACAATCGCCGAAACAACGGCTTGTCTTCGAACAGCTCAGAGTGGGCTGTACGCCCGACCAGCCATGATGCGGAGCGCAGCGCCCTTGCAGCAGGCGGCTTGCCTTTTGGTAGCCCATGCTTCGACGCTCCAGCGGCGTCGGCCTTGAAGATTCATACGCCATCTTCATATACTCGCTCAGGCGGGCTTCCATACAGTATGGTGGCTCCGAGCGCCTCGGATAACAGGTTCCAATCGAACCCAAGCAGTGCTACGGCACCTTTTCGGTACACGGCGCAGAGCCCAGTGACTGGCGTACCGCCATCGTATGGTAGCTCTCTGAATCCGCTCAGGTCTACTGAGCTTCCACCCGCATCAGTCCCGGCACTAAAAGCACGATGGCCGGACATCGACTTTGGACGGCAGTATGATACTGCTGAATATCCCGGTCACGTCTACCCAGACGCTAAGAGCAGCGAGAGGGAGCGTAAGGCCTGGGGTTGGGCTCGCGAGCAACTCGACCTTAGGGCTGTTGATATCGAGCTTCAAGCGCAGCGCCGTCGCCGTGGGGCTGACTTCACCAATGTCAATCCACCGCCACCAGATGCGCAGTCTGTCCTGCAATTGTTTAATAGCATGTAGGCCGAGTATCTCGCCCAAGAGTCTCGTCGCAAAGAGACCCTAATCGAGCCGCTTTCTAAGCCTCAGGATGTGACCGTTGGATTTGCCAACATGTCCCTCTCAGAAGGCGATGCTACTCGCCCAACTAGGAGCGATGTCAATCGCTATGATCAGCCGAAGACATTCGGATCCACAGCAACACCTGCGCAACCCGCAGGCAACCCTGGCGACGACTTCACTCAGGTGCGGTCGAAGAAAGACACGCAACAGGCCAAGAAGGCCACATTTGCGAATGCGTTGAAAACGCCACATAAGAGCAAGGACACTGTCCATGCCTCAGAAGTCGAGGAAGACTTCTCCAGGTGGCATTCGCTCCTACAGGGCAAGATGCCACCAAAAGATTTGAAGTACAACTGCGGTGTCCGCAAGTCTGGTCGCTTGGACTATGCCAAATATAAAGGCACAGCGCGGATGGATCTGAACCTATGCGCCTATCACTTCAGCGATAATTCGCAAGTCAGGTGTCCGTTTGGACCCGCGAAATGCTTCTGGCGTCACTGGAGCATCGAGGCCGGGCCAGGTGGAAAGGAGCGCTGGGTCGACAAAGAGTGGTTGAAGCGCATCAAGGCCAAGAAGGGTTACAAGCATGAGTACCCTCCCGATGACTTCTCTTGCCGTACTCAGTACGCGGGTTTACCGCGATACTACATGAACGGAGATGTCATTCTCCCAGGCGGTCAGGTCGTACCGCAAAAAGACGAGAACTCGCTCAAAGAAGAGCACAAGATGATACTGAGGTATCAGGTTGCGCCCCCGGCGCAATAGAGCTACCATGATCGGTGCACATCTTCTAATTTTATTAGAGCATCATGACGCCCCAAGGTACTTGGAGGGGGGCGACTTGATAGGGCGAGGCAGGGGCCCTATCCATCAATGACGCTGCGCATTTGCGCAGAATTGTACTTTTAGGACGCTTTCTAACGCGGGTCTCCATCGCCACGACAAGCTGCGTTTGGATGACAACGCATTTCTCCATCCGGCGTGAATCAGCCGATCGGCAGTTAGCATACGAGTCCTACTAGATAGATAATTTGACTCGTTATCCCACATTTGGAGTTCGTGACAGAAATTGAGTGAAGTAAAGGGATCTCTGCATTCGACCACCTTGTGGGTCTGCGGCTGTTATGTAGAGCGGGTGTCTATTGATTGCACGTCTTGGTCAAAGCCGCTAATCAGATCAGCCCCACTACCCGCAGGCAACCATCAGCCTAGACCTGATACTACAACCTCCAGACTGCGGTACATAAACTCATCATGTCCTTCAGACGACTCTTATCCACAATAAATCCTAAGCCATAATCCTCTGCAGCTCTCACAATGATGTCTAGTCCTATCTCACTACCCTCCAACTTCCAGCCCCAGAGCCCACTCTTTAACGTCCTACCAGGCGAGATCCGTAATAACATATTCGAGTTAGCACTGATGCAGTATGAAGACGACGCAGCAGGATATCCGGAAGACTCGTACTGGTACAGGCCCGGCTTCTCAGGACCACTCAAGGGAAGTAGTGCGCTTTTGCGCACGTGCAGATTGGCGTTCGCGGAAGGCCAGAAGGTGTTTCTGAGAGAATTGGAGTACGCATTCTGGTTTAGTATGTTGTTTCTTTCTATGAGTGGATGCCAAAACTAACATTCATGGTACAGACCGCGGACCCAATGGCCGCACATGCACCCCGGCGTGCGAGAGATTCTTTAGAGACCTGACTCCACACGCAGCGCAATCACTTCAGAAAGTACGTTTCTTCACGCAAATGTTCTGGCTCGAAGACGGACCACAGCTCTTCTATCTCTTCTCAGTACCGCAGTTCCGGCCCACTCAGCTTACTATCACCATCCGATACTCAGACTGGTGGTTCTGGGAGGACAATGAACCACTCCGTATGAATGAAGGATGGCTGCGCTATTTTGAAGGAAACCCAGGACTCCGCGTACTCAAGGTTGAGTACGAAACACTCAATTGGAAGAAAGCAGAGATGATGCGCATAGTCGAACGAAACAAGAAATGGAGGCTGCCCGTGAGAAGGGAAGGCGAGATGTTTCAAGCAAACAGGCTGGAAGGATACCTAAGTGCCGAAGATACGGCACTAGAGGAATGGAAATGGAAAGGCACAAGCAAGCTAGGTGGGGAAACGTGGAGCCATCATGGTACTGGGGACAAGGTCGAGTACGTCGTCGTGACGGATACCTGGAAGTTTGTGGAAGGCGTGTTGAGCGACAAAGAGATGGAGAGTCGACTGGATCCGATGATGAGGATATCGGAGACGAGACAAGGTAAGGGATCAACTCGTCGGAACGTAGGCGTATGGAGCGCGAGACTTCGTGAGAGGAGTACTACAAATGATTCACCTTAGCGGAGGCCGTGTTCCTCGGTAGTGTACGTTGCATTCATCGCTCTTTTCTTTAGATGTGGTAAGAACTGATATAATATCGTTTGACGCATACATATTATTAACCATCTATAATCGATGAGATATACTAGCCAAGACTCAATGACTCCTAAGCTCGAGGCCGAACCCATCGATACGCCTCAGCGTTTGATAATCCTTAGTTCCAGATTTTCCGGTTGTCTCACATGCAGCAGCAGCGGATCCGCACACGAGTCCTCTAGAATATCCACCACCTTCTGCCTGGCCGCATCCACTTCTTCATCGTCCCTACAAACTGGCTCCACTCTGGTTTCTCTCAAAACGGTACCCAGTACACTGCAAAACTCCACTTGACTGAATTTCATTCCAGGACATATTCTCGACCCAGTACCCCAAGCGACAAAACCGCTACCACTCGTTGGATGTCTCAGTTCTTCTGCAGCTACATCCTCTGGAAGAGCTTTTTCGGTGGCCTCAGAGAGATGTGGTTGAATCCAGCGCTTCGGGTTCCACGTGATTGGATCAGGGAAATTTGCAAATGAGGTTTGGCAGGCCCAAGAGTTAAGCATGATTTGAGTGTTAGCAGGTAGAATTGTAGACACAGTACCTTCCCCTGTGCTGGTATGTGTCATTGGAACGGCAGGCTGAAAGGTAGCTGGAAAAGGTGACCGAGGAAGAGGTGGTGAAGGGCCATAGAGACGTAGCGTTTCGTACTTGCAGCATCATTAGCATTCAACTATACGTGGCGGGTTTGGAATAGCAAGAGAGATCAACAAATCAAGACGTACCATGACAGCCATGACCCTCTTGAACCGCGGAAACACTCTGACATACTCCATCTCGCTATTTACATTGTCACTCAGTACTTCGTCCAACTCTTCCACCACCCAGTCCTGAATATCAGGATGCACAGCCAGTAAAGCTATCGCATACGAAAGAGTGATGGATGTAGACTCCAGCCCACCGACCAAGAAGATGAAGATATTGCCTCTAAGCTCAGTATCTGAGAGTCTGGCTTTTGACGCCCTACTTCCAGTCTTGACTTGGCCACTAGCTTCAATAAGTGTGCTGATAAGAGCAGATACTCTAGTCTGCCCGCTCGTCATCGCTTCTCGCTCTGTTACTATGATTTCATCCATGTATTGTCGGAACTCGTGCATAGCTTGTAAAAGGTCTTTGACATCGCTCGGCAGTAGCGACTGGAGTATTGGAAACTGTAAGAAGGGCAGAATACCCTCCATAGTTGGAGAGATCGAGGTACTCATGACTGTCACCAGCGTGTCGCGGAGCGACAATGCGTGACCCGGTGTTGGTTTGTTGACTTCGATGTTCCCGAAAGCGACTGAAGAGATGACATTTAGTGCCAAAGTACTGGTATCCTTGATCATGCTTTTCCATTTGCCGTCTGATGACGAGAGCCATTGTTCTATCATGATCTTCGACTGTCGCATTGACTCGCTCCATACAGTGGCGGAGGCTCGCTCGTTGAAGCATGGCGCTGTAAGTTTGCGATGGCGAATCCAGTCGTTACCGTTTGACTTTGCACGTCAGTTCACACTAACGCCTACATGAATACAACAACAAAGATTGCTCATGTAGGGAGATTAAGGTGCATACCGTATCCACATTTTGTCCAAAAGTGCCCAGAATCTCTATAACTGCTAATAAGTCTCTTGATCAACTTCTATCTCACATCTGTTGTACTGCTCACCATTAACGTTATCAGGCTTTACAAACTCCCTCCACTTCTTGAGTATATGCTCAATTGTCTTCGGATCACTGGTACATAGTACGTTATGCCCTGGCGCCACGATAATGAAGCAGAGACCCAGCTCTTGATGTAATCTGTCATTGTCTTGCCAACAGCATGTCCAGTCGATGGCACGAAACCATCGATACTGTTGCAAATACGACCCGCAAAGGCTGGTGAGTAGTCGCCATTGAAGGGTATATGGGGTGATTGGGCTGATTATGATGCGTAAGCCAGTCTTGCGTGCGGAGAGGTAGTTGCGAAATAGTTGGTAGAAAGGGGTTACGACGAAGAAATGTGTAAAGACAAGACAGAGTATCGATGTGATGATCATTGCTCGATGATGCAGAGTCGATGACTATAATTACGAGCCTGCTAATGGAGATGAGAGAGCACAGGAGTTCTACTCTACGGGCGGAGGCGCTGAGGCGCACATTATGCGGGGCTGCCCGTGTTTCGTGCTTATCGAAGGAGGCGCAACTTGATATTTGTCGAATGAGGGCCCGAATAGTCGAAACTCCCGCAGACATCACGTACAGGAAAACTCCAGACTCGTCATTCTGTTACCATCACGCTCTCATGTTTAAGGATGGACGGACTGGATCCGCCACTCGCAGAATAATATGACCAAATATTCAGAGGCAACAGTAAATGATATAGGCATGACACGCTGTGCGCACTGCCATATTAATCATGCAAGTAAATTCACTGCACGTGATGCCAGCCGTCTACATGTTTACAACCTCCACGAGCAAGGTTGCCGCTGCATAGTTCCTGCAACATCTGACACGAGCAAGCTGCGCATGCACGCCTCTGCAATGCAGGCAAAGCACATACCGAACGTGTCAAATCTGCAGAGCCGACCCGCGACGCACGTAAATTACTCGACAGGAGGGAGACACCCGTCCTGCTTTCGAACATGACATCGTCTAGTTTGCAACATCGAGTGTTTGATCTGCAACACATGTTCGCAGGAGATTGCGGACGAGGAGTGTGCTGGTTCACCGTAGTAGAAACACTGAGAACTTGTGTGTTTCAGGCTTTAGCCAGGCTTGTTTCATGGATCTGGTACAGTGATTCGGAGTGTGCTGGGGCGAAGCAATAGCCGGCCGTATAGAATGATGATGTTGCAATGAGACACGTAATGCAAGCCGAGGTTATCGGAGAATGCTACATTCCGCGAATTGGAACGAAGCTGCCAACGGTGATGTTGTTTTCCAAAATCACTACATCTCGTTGATGTCAACAAAGGAAAGCCTTGGGACCCAATGTGTGGATACGCACTTCCTGCGTGTACGTTTGGGGCAGAACAGTCCCTACGCGTGGGGAAAGTCGGTGTTCAACATCCGACATTGCCGTCTCTGGTGCGGGGTCAATGGGCATAGACCTAGTATTGGTGTTCGCAGGGTGTGTAGACGTAAATTTACATGCGTGCTCGATGGTAGCATGGCGCTATGCCATCTGGTACCGTGGTTCGCATGATGCGAACCCAGCCACAAGCAGGCGCAAGTCTCAAACAACTTCAACGTAATCAAATGAACTACGACCGTTGACTGCGACACGATCAAAGCGCGACTTATCTCGGCCCGCAATGCATGCAGAGATTTTCACAACGGATCAGCCCATGTTTTCCAGCCACCCCGGCGTATCCCGGGATGGCTGGTCGAGCACGTTCTTTTCGTTGTATTCGGATAGCGATGGAGAAGCTCGAGGATCTTGCGAGTGGTCCACCGTTGACGCGTATCTAACCTCTAGTAACGCTTTGGCGTGAAGTAGTCTGGGCCTGGGCGTCATAGCCCGTTGAATTCGGTGCGTAGTCCGCTCGCATAGCGACGGATTAGAGGTTCGGCCAAAAGCAAGTCGGCTTGAGTTTTTTTTTCCTTTGCTCGGATACGACAGCATGACCTGCTAGTCTTGATTACCTATCGGAATACGCTAGGCGACTCAAGGACTCTGAGGAAACGAGGACGTGCTGGAAACCGCGCCAGTCTTTCTCTCAGAGACCCTCGGACGCGATCTGTAGAATACCGTCATATTGCCGATGCTGCTGAGGTATATTGACAATGCTTCTAAGCGAATATGCTGATTTATCCAGCCGCCCGCTGCCAAGATCGCGGGTGATATTGTTTGCTTTCTTTAGCGAGCTGGCCATGGTATTGAGTAGACACAGTAGATGGCGTGTTTTTGGTAGATAGCGCTATAGCGCGTGCACCCGTTATCTGTTCGCCTGTTGCCCGGCGAAAGTGCATCTTTGGATAAACAAGGGGAAAACTATGGCGCATCGATATTGAGACCGGTCATGCGAATGTGCATACAGCCGCTTCCGCAGTGTTATACCGGGACGTTATGTGTCCGTACAGCTGGGTTTGACGGTCAATGCACGAAGAACGCCGCGGTAGGTTGAATGCACCCGTGGGAATCCATCGCTGTCTATGCATAGTCGCGCTGAGACCTTTCTTAGAACGTATGTTCCTCAAATCGAATTATTGATAGTCACGATTCGCTTCATAGCGTGGGGCATACTGTAGTGTACCCTGAATTGTGGCGAGACATACAATTGACGCACGCAGGTATGTCGTGCGGGCTATACGCCGCCCTAACGACAAGCGACTCTGCTGCTGCGAGATGGCAACCTGCTTTTGGCTGCCGTTGAGATGCTGCATGGAGGCGGAAGTCGACATTTGCCTACCGTCCACATCCTGACTCGAGTGACGACTTCAATGTATCGCTGCCGGCATTTTGGATGTACACTGAGCGTGCGGCGTAGTAGGGGAGCATGGCCGCCGTCTACCTCACCCTAGCTCGCCAGCAAGCTTTTAGATTGCTTCCGCTTACCATTGAAGATCCGAGACGTAAGAATAGAAGAGCGGTGAGGCCTTCGCTTGTAGAAGGTGATTGTTGCCGGCAAAACGGGTAGTCGTCTCAACCGAACAATGAACCCCTCACTTTGATTGTTCATTGTCGAACTTTGTTGAGCATCGAAGAGCATCTGGAGTGTAATCGAAAAGACGCTAGAGAACGTCGCAACAAGCGAGTCGTCCATAGAGCGTGACAAGGGGTGGGGCGAAAACCCATGAAGCCAGACCGGTGAGTGTGTCGACCCACCAATCACAGAGGGACATCACACCCCACGAGCTGCAAGGAGCGGTCGTGGCTTACTTGCTCCGTCGATACCCCGATAACGGCTCTGCTGTCTCCTGACGTGGCCGGTGGTGATTGGTAGCCCGACGCCTATCTGAACGCTTGAGCGAGGATGTGATGCTGATCAATATGGAAGCAAAGGCTCGAGAGTGGCCGTCGCGGTAGAATTCGATATCCTTCAATGTATCAACGACTGTGGCTTCGCACTCGTGTGCTATCAAGCGGAGACGTGAGACTGTCAGTGCAACCGCACGTGAAGGCCATCTTCCAACAGTTCGATCAAGCTATGATCGTGGAAAGGTGAGGGGCACCGGCCTGGCTAAGACTACACAGGGATACCCTACATCACATGCATATGCAGGTGCGGCTTGCTGCATACGCGGCTTTATCCAATCGACGGCTAGATTGTCCCAAGCGCGGCCGCATCGCGGGATTGCCTCACGCTGCAGGAACGTTCGTACAGGTGTTCGAGATGGTCTCCAACGTGAAAACCGTAAAAGGTTTTTGTTTTCTTTAGAGCCACGTTCTTGAATAAGAAGGAGATCAGCTCGTCAGTCGATGTAGACCGGATGTATGGCACGCGTTCCTCCGGGGATACAGAGAACTGTGGCCCGAGTCCAGATTGCGCTTTATTGCCAGTTGGACAGGAATGTACACGGACCCCACTGCGTGGCCACTACACGAGAACACGATGCTCGAGGGGGCTAAGACTGATACAACAGGAGTCGCCCTTCCCTTGAACCCTGTCGGAGGATCGAGAATAGAACGTTTGTCATGTGCTGAGAGGCCGACACTTTTGGGCTATTGTCCAGATCGGTCAAAGGCTGTGTTTATTCTGACACGCTGATGTTGCCGGTTCCGATTGCCAGTCTATTGGTGGTCAGCAAGTGAGAGGTAGAGACAGGCGCGGGCCTTTCTCCACGATCCGCTCCCACATCGCGCCGGCTGCACTGCACGTTTATTTACACCTGTGCATATCTGCTAGACACGGTAGTCCACGCGGCGAGGGTGTGACTGCGCCTCAGTAAAGAGATAGTGCGCATAGCTCTTTGAATGAAGACTTACACATGGTAATACGGTGCGGGTCGCTTGAGCTTCTAGTCCTACCGTTTACCATTAATGTGATTCAAGCACCAGCAATTGTGCCACCAGACTGTAGTGGGGTTCCTGACATGGTTTGTCTAATGTTGGTTAGGATCGACTGATGATGCGATATGCTCCGACAGCCCTCATCTGATACCATCAGTAGTGGTACAGGTGTGCGGGAATGTTGTTCTCGACCAGACTCCAGACCACATGTTGCAAGGAAACATGGGGAGGATTGGTTGTAGGAGCACCAGTGTACGCTCCGTGGCTAGCAGGGGGATCAGATGGATGCGAACAGTTGGTTTGGCGCCTGAGGCGATAACATGGGCAGGACAGGTGCCAACTGTCAAGTGGCTGGGCCTGCTTTGAGTACCAAAGTCGAGGCTGTCACCGTTCGCATGGTTTGAGCAGGGATGGAGGCGGATTCTCCCGTGCGCTGTGCTGGGAGTCCCGTGACGCAGTGACATCGCCGGGCGTTCGTCGCTTTGAGGATTGCGGCGAAGGAGGCGTCTGGCCGTATTGCTGTTTCAGCTGGCCGAAAGGAGTGCCCTTGTGGTACTGTGCTAGATCGAGGCCAGGATACTGGGACGAGAAATTCCGACCGCGAGACACGACGATGAATATTGAGTCGCACTCACAGTGCGGTAGTGCGAGTGGCTGTTGAGGGCGCAGTAAGAAAGCGTGACCATGACTTGGCAAGGCTGGTTATGGCTAGCGTCGCCAGCGCATCTACTCACCGCCACTAGCACACATCCTATCAAACCCTGCGGCGTCCACATCCAACGTCAAGCCTAAGCCTGTGTTACTGTCGGCACGTTTGTCTTTCGATTGCAGTGTGGAGGGCTTTCAGCATCGATAGTCGACGCCGCGGACATGACATGGCTGTCGCACACATTCGAGTCTCCACGTTGCACTTGCTTCACATGCTCGCTTCATGTCTTGCGTGTCTAGGCTGTTGAGTGGATAAGCTCGTGAGAGTGATAGACGCTGGTCTCATTCGATACCGTCGACTACACAGCCAATCATACTACGTCTGACCAATACCAGACCAGACAGCCAGCTGGCTTGCACGGCCTACCGTCCGTCTATCCCGCTCGCTCTCGGGTG